ACGCCGCAAAACCAGTGGCGTCTGTATTACCAGAAACCAACGCCGCCCCAAAATCAACAACAACAGCAGCAGCAACCGGCGAAGCCCACACCCCCGGCTCCGCAAATCGCAGCTAGAGATCCAAACGCGATGGATGTGGATAGGTCACAGAAGGGGCCGATCCGGTGTTACAAGTGCGGAGGATTGGGGCACATGGCCCGGGACTGTAAGAGAAGGTTAGACGTAAGACAGATGACGTATGAGGATCAGCAGGAGTACTGGCGGGAAGAGTTGACCCGTCAGGGTTTTTCCGAAGGAACCCAGGAGGCGTCGACCTGAGTTCCAAGAATAAATATGCAGCACTTGTCTCGGAGCCGGACTCCTCTCTTGTCGAGTCCCATGTACCAGTAGTTACGGACAATATATCTATTACTTCAACACCAAACGAGACACCTAAGATGCAAAAAGAAAAAACAACTAAGGATATTTATGTGCAAAGATCGTTCTCAAACAAGAATTATGTACCCATCGACATTTCCATTACAACGCACGATACCCTGACAGCTTTGAACCCGGAATCGATGCTAGACTGTGGAGCATCGGACTCATTCATTGACCAAGGATTCGTAAAGAAAAACAACATAAAAACCAAAAAACTAGCAAACCCGGCGGTCATCAGGAACGCGGATGGCACGTCTAACAACGCAGGAAGAGTGACGGAGAAGGTGGAGATACGGATGATGTTCAGAGGACATCTAGAGGTCATGGTGTTCTACGTGACCAACCTAGGAAACGTCGACATGATCTTAGGGTTGACCTGGCTAAAAAAGCACAACCCGGAGATTGACTGGAAAACGGGAGAGGTAGTCATGTCGCGATGCCCAAGGCAGTGCCTGAATTACCAGGACCAGCAGGGACAGCTCATGCAAGGAGAGCCGTATCCGGGAGAGGACGAATCAGAGGAAGACGTGGAAGAGGCAGGTGAGGTACTGAAACCCAAGCTGGGCTTGAGGAACATATCGGTAGCAGGAGTAAGGCAGTGGAACCGCCTCAGAAGTGGATACCTGCGTGAACTGGACGAACTGACCAACCAATACTACGAGTCAGTCGCCCGGATGTACGTCAACCGGATGTGGAAGATGCACATGCATGTTGAAACCGAAGAGGAAGAGGAGATGCACTTGAGGGCAGTAGGGAAGTATGATTATGTTATTGAGCACGACCAAGAAAAACTAAGGGAACAAAAAGAAAAAACGGAAGAAGAGATGGTACCAGATTACTATCACGACTTCATGAAAGTATTTAGGAAACGAGACTCGGAAAGAATGCCGGTGGAAAGACCATGGGACCACGCCATTGAACTCACCCCAGATTTCGAACCGAAAGCCTCGAAGGTTTATCCATTGTCGCCGGTCGAACAACAAGAGCTCAACGATTTCCTTGACGGAAACTTGAAAAAGGGATACATTAGACCCTCGAGGTCCCCACAGACGTCGCCGGTTTTCTTTGTCCAGAAAAAAGACGGAAAAAAACGATTGGTACAGGACTATCGATATTTAAATAAACACACCGTGCGGAACGCCTATCCTTTGCCGTTAATCTCGCAGTTGGTGGACAAGGTAGCGAAGGCGCGGCTATTCACGAAAATGGACCTCCGATGGGGGTACAACAATGTACGAATAAAGGAAGGAGACCAATGGAAGGCCGCCTTTCAGACGCCAAGAGGGGCATTCGAGCCTATGGTTATGTATTTCGGACTCAGTAACTCCCCTTCCACTTTCCAAACTATGATGAATGAACTCTTCAAGGACCTCATCGACGAAGGACTCGTAGTTATATATCTAGACGATTTACTTATTTTTACGGACAACAATGTACAAAAACACCGAGAAGTAGTACGCAGAGCGCTAAAGATTCTCGAAGACAATGATTTATATGTAAAACCAGAAAAGTGCGCGTTCGAGGTGGATGAAGTAGAATTCCTGGGAGTAGTGGTGAAAGACGGCGAAGTACAGATGGAGGAAGCAAAAATAGAAGCGGTAAAAAATTGGCCGGTTCCGAAGAACGTGCAACAAGTACAGCAGTTCCTAGGATTTAGCAACTACTACCGACGGTTCATAAAGGACTTCGCCACCGTCGCTAAACCGTTGCACGAACTTACAAAAAAGGAGGAGCAGTTCGTATGGAGCAAAAAGAGGCAAGAAGCTTTTGAGAAGCTCAAAACTCTATTTACAGAAGAACCGATCCTAGTGCTACCAGACACGGATCGAGAAATGAAAATTGAGGCAGACTCGTCCAACTATGCGTCGGGAGCAGTGCTCTCCATGTTATGTGAAGATGAGAAGTGGAGACCCTGCGCCTTCCTTTCGAAAGGATTCTCGGAGACGGAGAGAAACTACGACATTCATGACAAGGAGATGCTAGCCATCATTCGCGCCCTGGAGGCCTGGAGACACTATTTAGAAGGAAACAGCCGTCAGTTCACTATTTGGACGGACCATAAAAATCTGGAGTACTTCATGACAACCAAAAAATTAAACAGACGCCAGGCGCGCTGGGCACTATATCTGTCAAGGTTTAACTTTATTTTAAAACACAAGCCAGGAGCCTCGAATATGAAGGCAGACGTCCTGTCGAGACGACCGGATCTTGACAGGGGGGAGGACGACAACACGATGGTCCTTCTGAAGCCAGAATATTTTCGAATCAAGGCCATGCAGCAGGGTCATGTCTTAATTGACGGCGCAGAGTCGCCCATTCTATCGAAAATCAGAAAATCAAAAAACTACAATGAATCAGTAGTCAAGGCAGTGACTGAACTAAAGAGGTCGCCGACCAAGGTACTGAGAGAAGCAGAATGGTCGGAAGAGCAGGATCTCGTATTATATCACGGAAAGGTGTACGTACCTAAGGATGTTGACATCAGAAGGGAAATCGTAAAATTACACCACGACTCAACCGTCGCAGGGCACCCAGGGAGGTGGAAAACCATCAAGCTGGTCTCGCGTAACTATTGGTGGCCAGGAATGAATAGATTTATTGCGGAATACGTCAAGGGCTGCGACCAATGCCAACGTAGCAAGGCCTACTCCCGACAACCGCAAGGCAAGCTCCAACCAAACCCCATCCCATCTGAACCGTGGACAGACATATCTGCGGACTTTATCGTTAAACTTCCCAAGTCGTCAGGATATGATACAATCCTAGTAGTCGTTGACCGATTCACCAAGATGGTTCACCTCGTACCAACGACCGAGGAACTGTCGGCCCTGGGACTCACTAAGTTATACCGGGACAACGTCTGGAAAATCCACGGACTTCCCAACACTATTATATCAGATCGTGGACCACAGTTCGCGTCGCAAGTAATGAAAGAACTGAATAACTTATTGGGAATTCAAACCAAACTGTCCACGGCCTTCCACCCCCAGACAGATGGACAAACGGAGCGAGCGAATCGAGAAATCGAAACCTACCTCCAAATGTTCATCAACCACAGGCAGGACGACTGGGCGGAATGGCTGGCCATTTGCGAATTCTCTCTAAACAATAAAACCCAAACGAGCTCCAGGCAGAGCCCGTTCTACCTTAATTACGGGAAACACCCCCGGATGGGAGTCGAGCCGCGGAAAGAGTCCAAGATAGAGACGGTGGACGAATTCGCAAAGCGGATGAAGCAAACGTGGGAGGAGGCGCGGTCCGCATTGGCAAAAGCAGGAGAAGAGATGAAAAAATACGCGGACCGACGAGTAGGAGAGATGCCAAAGTATCAAGTTGGGGACAAGGCATTTATCTTCACGGATAACTTAAACACGACCAGGCCGTCGCGTAAACTGGAGCAAAAGAAAATCGGGCCGTACGAGGTGATCGCGGTACCCACAAAAAACGCAATAACACTAAAACTCCCTAAAAAATTATCTATCCATCCCACCATTTCCACCCATCGAACCGAAAAGGCCAACGCCCCGACTATACCAGGACAACAAGCTCTACCACCCCCACCAGTGATCATCAGGGGCGAAAACGAGTGGGAGGTCGAGGACATCCTAGACAGCCGACTCCGACGCGGACGGCTGGAATACTTGGTTAGATGGAAAGGCTACACCCCCGAACACGACTCCTGGGAGCCGGAAACAGGCCTGAAGCACGCACCGGAGCGAATACGAGCATTTCATTCGCGACATGCGGCCGCACCAAGGCGGATCGCCGCCGTAGCGTTCGATCTTGTTGGCTTTAAACCACGACACGTTTTTACTGAGCCTACGTTCGTAACTGACACCAAGATTTACGAACCGGAGGAACCAGATTATGGCACCCACCCAAGCCCCCACAATAACGAGGATGAGGAAGACAGCCAAAACAAAAAGAAAACATCGATAAATAGGCCACGAGAGGAAGAAGGCGTTCAGGCTGATAGTGCTCATATTGAGGAAATAATGTCGTCAAACGGAGTTGACGAGTCGTAGAGGGGGGGTGATGTTATGGTTCGACTTTTCTCTTTTCCTTTTCCCCTATATATCACATGACGGACACACAGTAGCTTACTACAGACTGCTTACAACCCTCGGCCCGTATTACTAAACACCTTAGTCAGAACCTCACCGTAGACGCATGGGCGCAGTACATGACATCACACCTCACGGTGATGTGCTAAGCATTCCATGGAAAGCCGACAGGCTACGGCGTGTAGATAGACATGAGGATTATGCATGTACCATAGTATATAAGACTGAATATTATAGCCAGAGACGTTAACTCGTTCTCTTGGGAATACTGCTAGTAACTAGTGCCTGAGTCAGCGTCTTCGACCTTACTCCTCTCGTCTCTGAAAACTCTTACTTTTCACTCCTATTCTTGTTGGGCCTGCGTACGCCTTGTTGTGTATTAGTGTCGCCCTAACACAGTGGCTGGGGCGCCATATGTGTGAAATCGTCGTCGATTCGTGTGAGCGTCTGCAAGTTGAATCAACCATCACCTGGTCGACGTGTACGTGGCTGTCACAGCTATGACAAGTCCTACCCATGGCATATTCTGGTGTTATTCTTGCATATCTTTGACGCTTCAAAATATAAAAAATATAGGTATGTGTATTCTATGGCTTTGATATTCAATGCATATTCTATCATATTTTCAGACTTTACAACATTTTACCGGTAACATATTTTGTTATCTTTCGCTGTGTAATAGCTTTCATTTGAAGTACAATGGATGTCACGAGATAGCGGTCGGCTTCGCTGCCTCTGACTGGTGGATTTCCCCGTAAGGTGCGCAATTCCGGGAGCATTTAGGAGAGTTAACAGGCTGGCAAAGTAGAAGCCGATGAAACCGATGGCAACTCCTTCATCGATGACAGCATCTTTGAATCCGATGAGTTCATAGACCACACTGAGTTACCAGACACAGCAATACATAAAGAAGATGTAGAAGCTCCCCTCGGAGCCCTCGGAGTACAGGAAGAATACCTTGCCACTGTTCTCAACCAGGTTAGGACCGAGATTGCGGCTCGCGCAAGGCATAAATGCTATCGTGAAGGCACCTGCTGGATTCGGCCGAAGGACACCATCTTCGCTCTGAAGGATACCTACAATGCGCCTTCTGGTATATCCCCAGTGCAGTCATTCACCATGTTCTCTTTGACTATCGCGACGAAGGAAGGACTTGAAGCCCACTGGCGCAGAGGCGATGTGCTGCCTGGTTATGGTGCCTAGGGACTTGGAGGCGGTGTCTGGTAGCAGAATTACAGCAAAAAGCCTTGCGAAAGCGGCATGGTATGGACGCCTGGAGGAGATATTGAGTATGATTTTAATACGAGAGAAAATTGAGGGAGACTTTTACATTAGCAAAGTCGCGCGGCTGATAGCACAGTGGTATATACATGGGGGTTGACCCTGCGGTCCGCGACCACCTGGTTTGGGATATACGAGTCAAAGACTGAAACATCGGTTATGGATAGATGAAGCAACTGAGCGAAAAGCCTTCAGCCACGGTGTGACCATTCCAATTGCAGCGCAGCCGGTATCATTGAGTTCGAATTTACCAAGCTCACGATAGTGCGAGTTGACATATTCATTAACAGCTGCTCGATTGTCAAGAGCACGTACAGATCAGTGGATTTGCAAAAGAAAGTGTCGAAGCAAGATACTCACGCAGCATTTGATGTGTTGAAGACCACCGCGTCTTGACGTCAAGGATGCGTTGCTATCAATGGCGTGACCCCTTATCCCTCCTTCGCCTCTCAACTTTGCCTCCTCTACTCCCTCTCTACCCAACCACGAGTGCTCTAAGCTCTTGATCTCTTCCCTAACCCATTGATTTCACCATGCTCGCTCCGGCTCGACTCGACTCGACTCGAATCAGATCAAATTAACTTACGGCTGATCATCTGGTGAAGACAGGTGCTCTTGACGGGATGGAGGGATCTGGGGTTGAAGTCCAGGCGACGGGACCAAGAAGGCAGACAAGGGTACAACCGGAGAAATTTGCGCAGAACCTAGCATTGTAAAAGTCGGGGTGATTAGCGAAAGAAGCTACGAATGAAGGGGGAACAAACTAGCGGGGGCATTCTGCCGTATAGCTGTGGGTTCTGGAGGAATGTTGCCAACAAAGATAGGCGGCAGCGCAGGACGTGATCATCCTTTACCTTGAATGATCCCACTTGCCAGCGGCCGCGTCCGATTGATCAGGCTGTCCTTCGCCCTTCAACGTCCGGGAATCGGATAAGAAATGGCCAACTTGCTGATCGAAGGTCTCCTTGACGGGTTCGCCGTGGTTGCCCTTGAAGACGACGTAGGGGCATGCGAAGAAGGGGGAACTGGCGATGGTGTGGCATATGATCGTTATGGCGAGGGCACATAAGGCTGCGGTGGCGAAGGAGACTTTACCAGGGGTAGCAGTGTCTTTGACGTTGGCAGTATCTGCCGAGGATGAGGAGCTACGGGCTGGGCGACAATAGGTGAATTAGAACTGAGTCCTGGCGCATGCCGTATGGAAGAGGTGTGCGACCGTCGAACCCTTCACGGCGTCAGCCACCAGTTCCGAGGGAGGTAGTGTCGTATCTATAGCTATACACGGCGTCAGTGATCTTGAAGTTCGTGTGCTGTAAAAACGTACGCGGAGTCTCAGTGGAGCAGGGGGTGGGGTCTTCGGCGAAGGCGGCCCACGGCGATGAAGGCCATAGCGATAGATCGAGCAGCTTGCGGAGGATATCCAGTAGCTCCTCTTCCCGGGCCCTAGGGAAAGGCAGAACCGACCTTTGCAGAAGTCCGAACACATGAGGAAGAGGAGGTCTAAACATCAGTAAGAGAACCGTTCGCGCGGTAACGGCGCGCCAAGGTCGGTGGATCCGTAACTTCCCTCGGGCAGCCCTCCCTTGCCAAATCCAAATTCTCCTCGCTGGGGAAGAGCTTCAGTAATGGGTGGACTGCTCGCCGAGCTTTTGCTGCCGGGTTCGTGTAAGGCGCTGCCTTACTGCAATACCCTCGATAATTGGCGGATGAGAGAGTCTGGAACTCTGTAGTGACCGATGTACGGGAAGACATCGATTTCCTACGGCGAGATCAGCGCGAGATCAAAGTTCACCTCGGCGTCTTGCACATCTAACGGGAATTCCTCGCTAGCGGAGCTACGATGTAGAGGCGTTTGTTTAGGAGGAAACTTCATGATGGCGCACCGGTCTCCCGATGCCCTTGACGTGATCGTTGGGGATATCTAAACACAGCTTGAATCGTGCGTCTCAATGGTGGAAATGAGTTCTACCCTACCGCTTCAGCGTGTTCATTTGGACTAGACATTCTTTGACTACTCGCAGGAAGTTGGCTGTCGCCGTTTTCCAAAGCGGGGGGTCTTTCCTGAACTTCGAAGGCGGAGGACAACGTACTTCATCTTGGTAGGGATGGAGAACACCTTTCACAAGCACACATATCCGAGGTTTTAGTGGAGAACGCCACAGAAGACACCAAAGATCGCAAACATACCGAAATAACCGCCTCAAATGTACCATCAGCATAGAGGTCCGGCTTCGAACTGACGATTCTGTTATCCCACAGAACGGCTTCTTGCACTCGCGCTACGAGGAAATCCCATATCCGTGCAAACGACTCCAGTCAAATAAGCTTCTCTGCCAAAAAGTCGTGATGGATAGATCCTGGGGAGTGAAACGCAAGGATCATCGAGTCGTCCCAGCTCTGTTCTCGCTCTCCAGCAAAACTTGGAGTACTTGTAGGAGCAACAGGGGAGGACGCAGCGGAGGGCGTAGCGTCTCCAGCAGCTGCAATGGTCGCCGCGCTGTGCGACTCTATATCCTCCCTCCAGCCCGACCATCTTTGCTTGTGTATCATTACCCTGGGCCAGTTCAGCAGGCAACCAGACATGAATATCGCCTTGACGGCCGCGACTTCACTGCTCTAGGGTCTTTCCAACGCTATACAGTCAAAACGCAAATCGCTTTCTGATACCAACCGAGCCGGCGTATAAAACGTGACTTGTGGCTATTTTTGCTTGGGGTTTGTGTATAAGCATCGGCGACGAAAGGCGTGAAGTCCGCGACGGGGCGATACAGACGTTGATGTTCTATGGTGGAACACTGAGTCTAGCAGAGTGGGAGGAGTGTGTCTGGGGCATTCTGCTGCCACTGTTCGAGAAGCTAAGATTTTCTCCCACCCAACAACCAGCCTCATCATACCCCATTTCGCTCAACACTGATGCCACTTGAAAAGAATGCACCCAAAGACACTAGATTACGAGACAAACAGGTGAATACGCGGACAGTCGCCAAGACGGAGGTCAACGCACCGTGACACCAGATGTTTCGCCAGTGTGATGCCTTTCTCCCAAAACAACGAGTCCCGTCCTTCCATCCAATTGGCTGCTCTAGCCTTGACTCTCACATTCAAGCTATGTGCTAAAACCTCAACGTAAACATCCCCACCATCATACACTGCCTAACACACCCTCGACTCGCAACTTGTGCCCCTTTACCTCATCCACCGCAGCAACAACCCCCTGTCTCTGAGAGCTCTCCCTCGAGTCCAATCTCTTGTTCCTCGTCCGCGACGAAGAGCACATCCGCATCTATGCTGCCCTTGTCCTTGGTCCTCCATCCACCCATCCACCACATCCACGCCCTCGGTGACCCCGCTGGAGCATCCGTCCCCGCAAGCTCCATGTCCTCGAACTTCGAACTGCCGTCACGAAAGCGGTGTCGTCAACCACGTCCGCATGGGGCACGCCATGGTTGCCGTTGGCCCCTTCCCCGCAGACAACATCATTGATATCGTCTCCAACATCGCAGGATCCCCGATCAAGAGCCTCTCCGTGCAGTGCTACGAAGACGACATCATAGAAATCTGCTCCGTGAGTTTTCGAGTCTGTGCCGTTGAGCGTGGCCCGCTGTTCTAAGACCCTTTCAAGATCCTCCATGCGACGTTAGCTGTCAACGACAATGACAATAATGATACACTATCTAGCAGTAGCAACGAACAATCCACATAATCTACTAAGTCGGCGGCCTCGAGTCGGTAGGGAGAAGAGGGCAAGGGCCTCAAGTTCTGTTTGAACCCATGCTGGATTGGACGGAATGAAAGGTACGTACCTTCTCAGTGTACCAAGGCTTGCAGTCGTGCTAAAGCACCATACTACCATCCCCCGTAGACTCAAAACTAGTGTTCTGGGTGTAATCACGACTGCGTGGGGGGATACTAGCCTTAGGGGACTGGCTACGCGTCCACATTCCCCATGGCCTGGCCTCCTTCCAAGAACACCAATGAATCATAATGGAGACGTCGGCAAGTTGCGACTACGCGCAACAAATAGAAGAACCGCATAACACACGCATCACAAGGACAGCAGACACATGTAAAATACATTGCACGCGGAAAATGAAGAAAGCAAGAGAGGACTGAGGGATGGGAAATACGGAGGCGATCGACAATTACAACGAAAATGAGAGGGGGTAGGTGGACCTCAAAGGATGGATGGACAAGAAAGAAACACGAAGATAGCTCAAAAACATTGCTCATTCGGCCACCCGGGATATGTGCGTGCAACGATGAATGGACACGAAACGAAGGAGAACAGGGATGAGACACCGACCTCCGGCCTTCACTCACTCACTCACTCACTCACTCACTTGTCCCACTCCCATCGCCAGTTAGCAGCGTATGTCGCTGGCAAACAGACGCAGACTCAAACGACACCCTCGCCCGCTCGCATCTCACTCCCCACCCACCCCATGAGAATGGTACCTAGTGGTTTAGTGGACAGTGAGGGAGCACACCAGTATACAACGAAGTGAATGCATACAATATTCAACAGGCACAAGTGCATGAAATCTCACAAACTTAGAGAATATTGAGCAAAAAGAATGGATATATACAAATATTCCTTGTCATGCATTGGTTTCAGTTCAGACTTTCGGTGTATCTAATTTGCAGTGCAACACCTTCTATCCTTCCTCAGGTTGTCCTAGAGGCTCTTTCCACTGCTAATATAGCCTTCTTGTTTGCCCTACGGTCCTTTTGCCTAAGACGCTTCTTCTCTCTCTTGCCATCTTCCCCCCTGGTTTGCTGGTTGGTATTCTCTAGTGGCACTGGGGATGGATCTCCAGGAGGGATGTCCGAAGGAACACAATGGTCACACTGACATTCCCCCTCCCAGTAATCTTCACCATAGTTCACCAGTATTTCTTCCCCCTTTTTGATATCCTTTGTGATATAGAGGACAAATGCCCATGTATCTTGGACTGCACACCACTAAGAAAGAGGCAGACAGTCAACGGAGAGCACATCAGTAAAGGGGGACAGAACCTACCATTGCATTGTCCCTGGTACAGTGGTGGTTGGCAAACCTCATTGGCCCAAAGTATGGCTGTCTTTCTCCAGGTTGGAAGGTTTCTAGCGTGTAAGGGTGAGGAGTTATCACAGATAAGTCTGTGAAAGGAATTGTGCCTATATCACAAGGTACCATTCCTAGTAACTCTTGGAGGTATTGGTTGGCAACCAGGTCACGGTTAGCTACCAAGCCAAATTGCTTGTGCCCGCCAATGGACCTAATCCCTATTGTCACCCCAGACCATGGCTGAACAAGCACACCATAGGCATTGAGCAACCTAAACAGGATAGATAAGGGGACAATTTTTGTTTTAGCGCTACTCAAACCTCACCAAATCAAAGTCTGTCTGGCAAGGGGTTCCTCTTTCCCTGAGATCATCTCCCAGTCTTGCAGGTGGCTTGACATCCTCTGGGCACAGTCCACCATCGCAGATTGGTAGTCCTCCAGACGATACATGGGCTTGGAGCTCTCACATGCACCCTGGAAGAGGGCCCGCAAGGTCTCGGACTGGTCTGCTGACAACCGTTGGGGGTTGGCAATGGCGAGCGGGGGAGGACGTTTCCCACTTGTTACGAGCGTTAAAACGTTAAATGTTAAGTCAAGTTGTCAACCTCACAATCAACCAATTTCCCGCAACTCGTACTTAGGCATCTGGCCCCAAAGAATTGTAAGAATGCAAGACGAAATCTTGGTACGTGCTGTCTCCCTGCTAAAGTCATCAATTCTTCTGAGAACCAAGGTATTCTAGAAGCTCACCGAAGTTGCTACCGAATGGCACTTTGGAAACCAGGAGAAGAGGCAATGGGCTCAAATCCAGTCGACATCCAATCTACAGGCCGACATGGTTACATCCTTGGATCCCATCCTGATTGCTGCCATATTGGGCAAGCACAGCATGAGAACAAGTGGGAAACGTCCTCCCCCGCTCGCCATTGCCAACCCCCAACGGTTGTCAGCAGACCAGTCCGAGACCTTGCGGGCCCTCTTCCAGGGTGCATGTGAGAGCTCCAAGCCCATGTATCGTCTGGAGGACTACCAATCTGCGATGGTGGACTGTGCCCAGAGGATGTCAAGCCACCTGCAAGACTGGGAGATGATCTCAGGGAAAGAGGAACCCCTTGCCAGACAGACTTTGATTTGGTGAGGTTTGAGTAGCGCTAAAACAAAAATTGTCCCCTTATCTATCCTGTTTAGGTTGCTCAATGCCTATGGTGTGCTTGTTCAGCCATGGTCTGGGGTGACAATAGGGATTAGGTCCATTGGCGGGCACAAGCAATTTGGCTTGGTAGCTAACCGTGACCTGGTTGCCAACCAATACCTCCAAGAGTTACTAGGAATGGTACCTTGTGATATAGGCACAATTCCTTTCACAGACTTATCTGTGATAACTCCTCACCCTTACACGCTAGAAACCTTCCAACCTGGAGAAAGACAGCCATACTTTGGGCCAATGAGGTTTGCCAACCACCACTGTACCAGGGACAATGCAATGGTAGGTTCTGTCCCCCTTTACTGATGTGCTCTCCGTTGACTGTCTGCCTCTTTCTTAGTGGTGTGCAGTCCAAGATACATGGGCATTTGTCCTCTATATCACAAAGGATATCAAAAAGGGGGAAGAAATACTGGTGAACTATGGTGAAGATTACTGGGAGGGGGAATGTCAGTGTGACCATTGTGTTCCTTCGGACATCCCTCCTGGAGATCCATCCCCAGTGCCACTAGAGAATACCAACCAGCAAACCAGGGGGGAAGATGGCAAGAGAGAGAAGAAGCGTCTTAGGCAAAAGGACCGTAGGGCAAACAAGAAGGCTATATTAGCAGTGGAAAGAGCCTCTAGGACAACCTGAGGAAGGATAGAAGGTGTTGCACTGCAAATTAGATACACCGAAAGTCTGAACTGAAACCAATGCATGACAAGGAATATTTGTATATATCCATTCTTTTTGCTCAATATTCTCTAAGTTTGTGAGATTTCATGCACTTGTGCCTGTTGAATATTGTATGCATTCACTTCGTTGTATACTGGTGTGCTCCCTCACTGTCCACTAAACCACTAGGGTACGATAAAGCCGTCATCGGCCGTTTCCGATTTTTCGCCCAACCAGAGCAAGGAGCCCCTTTAGCATCTGCTGGTCGCAAAATTGCCAGATTTGAGTCAGTTATCTACACCTTCGTTGACGCCATCACCGTCGCTCCAATCGCTGAACGAGGGCTCGTCGTCGCCGTGAAGGCAATGAGCGGAGTAATGGTACTGGTGCGTCACGATTATCTCAGGTACAGTGTCGGTAATCGAATAGAATATAGCTGGGAGGTCCTGGAACGTTTTCTGAGTCTGTAGCGCCATTGTCGTTCATGTAGGAATCAATTAATCACATATGAGGTCATAATCTTGTGTATGGCGCTTGCCCTTCCTGGCGAGTGGAGGAGCATCGGACTCGATGTGTAGGACGATGACGAGCTTCTTCGTGGCGAGAGCCAAGGAAGCGTGCATAGTCTAAGTTCGTGCGCCTATTTTCGGACGGGTTTGTCTCTCACCACCACCTCGCTGTCCACCATCACCTCACCGTCCACAACTGCTCGAACTCATATCCGGCACTTCTATCGTGTCCTTTTACTTCAAAGCAACGTCAATAGGCTGTATTACTCCACTCGCTATGCCACCGCAACCACGTTTGGATACCAACTAGAAATATGGAAGGCGACGTGAATGGAATGCGGGGCCCGGGGAGGGAGGAGTTTGCTAGAAGAGGAATGCCCTGCGGCGTTGCGCATGAAGATGGCGCGTATTGGTTTGATCGTAGTAAGACAACGCTCCCGGGCCCGACAACCCATATCCCAGGAGGCGACGAGACGGGGAAGAAAAGGAGGGAGATAGCCGTCGGTGGCGGCCGTATCTGCGATGGAGTATATGGCGAATGTGACGGCCACGGTTGTTACTGAGCAATGCGACCAAGAAAGAAGCGAAGAGTGGTAGTGGATGGGAAGTCGCACGCACCAACTTGTAAACGAACCACATGGCATTTCAAGCCCTTGCCGCTACAACGCGACGAGCAGGCTGACCCTTCAGCACAATGGACGACGGACATACCTCTAGCTATACATATATCATTTCGGAGACGATCTACTCGGTTGGGCCATGGTCGAAGCCCACAGGTGCGTGGTACTTCGTTCATCCGATTTCGCGGTTTTGACTTTATCTTTAGGGATACAGCGATTTCCTTCGATGCGCTATCCGAGGGATGTGATTTATCGGATAGGATTCGGCCGTAGCAATACGACGCTACTTCAAAGCATGGCGTGTACTCGAAATCCTTACTGACAATGAGGGTTCGTACCTCAAGCCAGCATTTCAAATGTGGAACATCATTTCACTGTTTACGCAGCGTGGCCCTACCGACTAAGATGACCCAGCCTGATGGTTACAAGGACTTGTCGATTGAATATGCTTTAATTTCGTGCTTGATGATTCACTTGACTCGACCTCCTCATCCTCCCATCCTGGGCGAAGGCTATACTACTGGGCGACATGCTGCTTTCTGCGTCCTGGGAGGCTGAAAGCATCGAAGTGGATCATACCATTGTCCTTGCGGTTACTGATGGTGGTACGGCTCTATTCTATGCCCACCGAAGCCCAGCAACCCTCGCCGCCACTTAATCTGTCCATCCAGTCGGCCTTTAACCTCTTCGACTCGTCTCCATCATCCGCATCTCGTCCGTCTAAGCAACGGAAAGAAGGGCGACCGTTGTCGCATCTCACCCCCCGATCCAACGCCTCCAGTATGCACATCATATCCTTTGTGAGCCTAGCACTTCGAACAGACTTGACCGCCACCGGGGCTGTTTGTACTATCAAGATCCTCAGCTTCTTCGGCAATGTCGCCGGGAAGAGCACCTGCTGCCCGCTGGCAATACAGCCACGCGGCGACGATGGCTGTTGGAGAAGGCTGTCAAGCTCGTTGGCAAACGCCACCGCTCTTTCTACGCCGGATACACGCAGATGCGATATTGACGGGCACGACGCTTCGAGCCCGCCGAGCTGGAACAGCCCGTGGGGGTTGCGGTTCCCCGAAAGGTGCAGCCGCTGGAGCACCGGCATCGACGCCGGCATACTGGGAAACGGATAGTACCCATGCACAGTGAGTTCCAGTAATCTCGGAAACGACTGCCGGAATAATTGTGATATTAGGCATGTGCTGGTGCACGGCGTCGTGGCGAGGAAAGCGAGGGATTCCAATGTCGGCGCTGCGATGCGCAGGATCTGGATCATGGCGGTCTCCACCCCGGGGTCTGTATCCTCTCGCTCTCGCTTGGAAGACGAGGGCGCGTCGGAGATGAAAAGATGGCGAATTCTGCGTCGATGGGGGGGTGTCTTCTCCAAAGTAGCTGCTGCTTTCGATATTCTGTCCGCTCCGTCGAGCGCCATCGACTGGTAGATAAACGGCACCGCAATGGCATGGTAATACCGCGAAACTCGAAGCAGGGCCCGAACGGTGCTGCCGTCGTCCGCGCACGCCAGGCGAACGATGTAAGAATGGAGTTCTGGCGGGCAGCTATTCATAACTCGTGAACTGTAAATCGAGGGCTCCGAGTCGGTGGTGAGTTCGGGGTGGGTAGGTGATGGTGTCGTCGAAGACTGTTAGCATCGTTCCTCCTTCTCACACTTGAGCATAATATGATGACTGACGATGGTGCTTCAATGGCGGCAGATGTCGCCATTCAGGCAGCTCAGGGGCTCGCTCCACGTGAGGCCATGGAGTTACCAGTGCTTGGCAGGGTAACCAACACCGAGCTTGGAAGTAAATGGCCCGAAGGCGACGCTCACGCACCATGAATGTCTTCTAAACTTTCGTCAATGTGACGTCCGAGTTTACTGACAGGATCGACATAATACTACGCGGCGAAGCGAACACTGATCGAACAGTTCTTTTTATATTCCAGAAGAACTGCAGTTGACAAGATCACAACTTTAAACTGTGCGACAACTTGGAATGACCTGATAGCCGCCCCGGTTACCTCCAAAGAATATAATAAGAGATTCGAAGTACTTCAAAACACACATACAGCTAAAAAAATGCAACAAACGAGATGCCTCAACCTACAGCTTGCCCATTCTCAAAATGCCCTCAACGATATCTGGGGTTTACCACCTTGTCCCGTCCCCGGCCCCGTCCCCTGAGTAGCAGTCTTCCCCACCGCCTTCCGAACGGCCTGTTCAAGCGACTCTCGGGCTCCTGGGTCCAATTTCGCAGCAGCTTGTTTGAACGCGATCGGAGATAATGCCGCAAAGCTCAGTATCTGGGCGATGCTCGACGCATGCATTGACAATGATGGCGACGCGGCGCTGCCAATGGTAGCAGCTTCCTCGTCGTTCGACAGGGTAAGGAGTATTGTTGGAAGGAAAACACCTAGAACGCGGTCCCCTATATGGAATAAAACAGAGGGAGTCAGCCGTATGCACGCGAGATATACGATGCATTGACTTACGGTGTTCCTCAGATACGCTTGCATATATCGCCGAGAACGCCTTCCATACCTCTCCGACACCTACGATATGTGCGTCCGAAACGCTACCGCTGATAATCAAGGGTGCAATCTTGGCAATATACTCGATAAGCCCCGGCAAGAGCAGCCCACAGCAATGGCGAAGGAGAGTATGTCCGGTCTGTGATGTAGCTGCGGCGACGAGGGTACGGGTGCAATGGACTGCCGTCAGTGCAACTTGCTGTAAATCATCGAATAGGGATCAGGGGCTGGCTGCAGGTGAAAGTATCGTACTCACGTCGTCGGCATCCATCGTTTTGTGAGATAGTATAAAACAACAGCGTTCTACCACCGTCTTTCCGATTTGAACCGTCGGCGGCAGGACCGATAATATCAGCACCACGGCAAGGAGGTTGTTCTTGACTTTCTTCGTCGAAATAGCACCCGATCTACCACTAATGAACAGCGCATGCGTAAGAAACCGAATGGGCAAAGGACGAATATTATACTACTCGCCTCATCTCATCGATATTGAGCAAGCAGACTGATGCTAACGCGTTAACGGTCTTCCCAAACTTCTCTTTCGCTTCCGGTTTGCCATGAACAGGTAGGTCGAGAAGGATCTTCAGCGAGGGTAGCGTAGGTCCCACGAGATCGACTTCCGACGACTCATCTTTCAGAAGCTCTGGTGCTCACCAATCAGATCTTTCTTTCCTCGCGAAAGCAGTAGGGGAGATGCTCTTACCGCTATATAGTAGGATACCAACGCTTCGAACATCTTCTCGCTGCGAGGATTTGATAGATGCAGCAATAGTTGCGTAGGCGGTGAAGGCAGCCATCAACATCCTAGCACGTTCCGCGGGTTCCCCCTCTGCTCCAAGTCAGCAGAGAATAGCAACAGAAGTCAGATGAAGAGACGAACGTATGATAGAGCCCCTTGAATTCGACGTCGAGTGCTGAATGATGTGCGAGCAGATGCGCAGGCAGTGTGTCCGAGGGGCGGTCAAAGAGAGGAGATCCAATGAACTAGAGCACGAATATTAGTTAGACGGAGCATCCCTACTATAAGACGACTTACTCGGAGCCCTTGTCTTGACTTGACGCCCATGACAACAACATATCAGTAAGGGCAATTTGAACGTTAGCAGATTCCGTCATCGCCATACGATAGCACAAATTCAACAGCTCCTCGAACACCGTTGGCTCCATGACCGCTTTCCCGCAGTATTCTGGCGTCACGAGGTACTTGAGGGCCTGAAGACAAGCAATGACCAACTGGTCGCGAGTGGAGGCAGGCGTCGCGGCAGCCTCGGTCGACGAAGTTGCTAGGGCTTCATAGACGAGCCCAAAGACTACATAGAAGAAAGCAGTGGGTTCGGTCCGAGGTCCAGCTGTGTTTGTAATCGTATCTGTGGCTGAAAGGGCCTGGCCGTCCATAGCAGCTAGGATGTGGGGGTCCCCTGACTGCATCGCCGTCGCCACCGCCTGTATGATGATGGGCCACGATACGGTATAATACTGTATCGAAGCTAGTCAGCGTCCATATTTCTCAGTATATACCGATTGAATAGCCGCACTGGTAGTAGAACCTCCTTTCCGAGGCTTGAATACGAGCTGTCTACAGCAACCGAGGACGAATCGTGAAGGAACTCGGTATCGATCCGTACACTAGCATAGTCGCGTAACATGGCTACCCAGAGCGTCGCTAGCGTCGAGCGATGCGGGTTCACGACTTGAACGAGGTACGGCTGTTGTGCGCTCGCAATCTCTAGCTGGGCCCAAGCTGACAGTGTCGAAATTCGGAGCATTGAAGAAGCGTTCGGGCCCAGTTGTCCCGTATCACCCAGGGAAATCATCCCGGATTCTACACGACGTGTTGAGCACAGGTCGCTACGCGTCAAACATTGATCTGGCTCACCCTTCGATTGATCTAAGGCTGTGGACAGCAGCTTCAAAATGCGACCCATGCGTCCAACGTCTTTAACAACCCCGCAGCCCACGAAGACAGCACATGCATGCACAGCAGACGCCAATATCTCTGGCGTAGAATCCGACGAAAACGCGGGGGTTAGCGCAGCGGTAATCGGCGCCTGATGTTGTTCTAGTAAGAGGGAATCTTCATATGCAGGGTCGGCGGCGTTAGAAAACGTCTACGGGATGTCGATTCAAAGGTCTATAACGGCGGCGTGAACTGCCTACCTCAATGACATCGCGCAACACAACCAGTCCTTCCAAACGAATCTCAGTAACGTACGCTGTTGACGCCGTGAATGCCATCTTGATGAGATCTGGAACACGAGAAACCAGTAGCCCGGCGGTCGGGAGGCCGAGAGTACGTGCGATCACAGCGTCAAGCTGTTCTCTTCGGCCGCTCTTGGCCACTGTTGTACATATTAGGTGCAAGCATTGCAAGGCAAAGAGCTGGGTTCGCCATCTTGAGGTCTGATATCCAGCAGAACCACCCGGCGCAACGGAGGAAGCGCCGACATTCAGGGACTCGCCTTCGTCGTCGCGCATGTTTTGCCTGCTAGTGGCATCGGCTACCTGTTGGGATGCGGTCGTCCGGGACATAATCCGCTGGCATAGGTCAATCCAGGCTGAGGGATTGTGAACGACCGTCTGTTGTAACCAACTAGTGATAACATTCTTGACGCCTTCGACACCAGAATCGTCGTCAAGCATGCCGAAGAGATCTTCCACGAGCTGATCCCCACCGACCCGGGACATGACCAGCGCATCCTTCTGCACCAGTTGATAAAGGGCGTTGATGCTCGCCAGTTTGAGCGGACGACGTGGCGAGGCCAGATATCCCCTAAATTGGGTTACCAACCTCGGGATATCAACGAACTCGGGAGCGAACATGAGGAAATGTTGGATGCACTGAATCGATTCCACCCGAATACTATCGTCTCCCTCCGCGGAGAACTCTTGAACTAAGTTGAGTATGAGTGCCCGCGTGCGCTGCGATTCCTGGATGTCGGGGCCAAGGACTGTAATGACGGCGTCAATGATCTGGCATACAACAGGGTACGCGGGGAAATCGCCGCTCATGTTAGCGTTAGCTAGGGTGCCCCCTTCCCGCTCGTGAGAATCCATGCAGTAGATCTTCAATAGCATACCCAGCGTCCCTGAGACGAACGGTGCATAAGTGAGACTTGCGGCGTTGATGACCTGGGCCAAAGCACGAAGTGACCAGAAATGGACGAGAGGATGAGGGTCATTGCTGAGGGACATCAAAACGTTGACCGTGGTTTTGAGTAGGGGACCAGCAGCCATGCCGCCAACGAATGTGTAAATAGCACCGAAAGCGAGGGCGCACCCGGCGCGTCCGTAGGGATCCCGATTGTTAACGACTTGATCTACGAGAGACTTCATTTGACTCGTAAGGAAGTTGGTCCCTGCGATATTTGCGAGTCTGCCGATGCACTCGCTGCTCGCCTTGCGAAGGACTGGGTCGCCATCAACCAGGGCCTCCTAAACAAGAGGCCCGCGATCAGTATATTTTACAATGTGTGGAACCACGAGGACGCGTCTACCTTCAAGAAAGATGAAAGCAAACCGGTGACTTGTCCGCTGCCTAAACTCTCTCTGGACCTTCCTGTTCCGAGGGAGCCAGCAACTCTCAGGGCAAGGACGAGCGCTACGGCCGAGTTGACAGACACGGCAGCCTTCCTACCTAGGTTCTTCTCGAATTTATTCGACCTGGTTGATTCCACCATCGAACCAATGATCTTAGCGGACGATGACGAATCTTGAAGTGGCAATAGCTGAGAGAAAAGCGTGATCGCAGCATCTACAACGGCGGTAGATGGTGGCGCAGGTTCAGGGATGTAATGCTCGGTGTTGATCGACGTAGACTGGCAGACCGACAGCGGGTCATGTTCACATGCTCCCAAGATGGGGCTGCGGAGCTGTACACCGGATAAGTTCAAAGCGAAAGGTACGGGCGTCGTGACTTACTAGTTCATCGATAGAAGCTTCCACCGAATCCCGATTCAACCTATCTCTGCTTTCGCTTTCAGCCATATCCGTCGCTGCAGTATCTGCTCCCTCGATGTCGAGGTGAGTTACGCCATATGCGTACCCATCTCCACTCTGCCACACAGAAGTGAAGGAACCGGAACTTGACGCGATCGCGGCTTGCATGGAGGACCCTGCGTAGCCGTCTGGGCTGGCAAAGAGAGCAACGGTCGATTGCAAAAGCGTCACTTGGGTGGACTCAGTAATTCCGCTGAACCCTAAAGCCGAGAAGCATTGGAACACCCTTCGTCGCAACAAAGCTTCGCGTCCCCGTAATGACAGGCCCTTGTTCGTCGTGGTTGGTATCTGAGCATTCTCCGACGGATCCTCGACGTTTTGTCCGACAAAGGTGTTGGCAAAGGAGAGTGCGTTTCCCAACACGGACGCTATCCGCCTCGCGACGTCAAGAGTTACTAAAGTCCCAGAGTTACGCTGCAAGAAGCATAGGATTGCGCCGAGGGCACTCTCTCTGACATGCAACAGGAACATCCACTCAGCAATTGAACGTCCGGAACCAGCGGCTATCCCTTCTTTCGAGGTTGGCTTCGGAAGGGCGTTACGCCAGAGGACGAGCAGCTGCGGCAAGTGAGGTCTGACGAAGTTAGCGCCGAGGGACATCAGGGATGCTATCAGCGTCCAAGCGACCTCGACCTCGACTCCAGCAACCTTCAAATCATGGTCACCAGCTCGCTTCAGCAGCTGCGTTGCCATATCGAGTACCTTGGCAGGAATATCGTACGATACATAAAGCGGCCTTTCTTGGACGATGGATACGAGCGCTGCAAGTCCGTACGCATGCCCTAACGTTCGCAAGTTGATATCCGAAGGAGCCGCCGGCGACAGAATGGAGCTGAGGTCTCTTTGAAGCATGTCGGTGACGCCGAGAATGGTTCGCGGCAAACGGAGCGGGGTTGAGTAGCAGAAGCACCTCAGTGCCCAGGAAGCGTTGACTCGAACGGAGTGGCTAGGATGAGTGAGGAGCGTCACCAGTGGCTCGGAAACAGCGTCTTGAACAGGCGGTGGGGCGTTTCCTAACTGCTGCAGCAACCCCGCTACCTCTCGTAGGGCAACAACGAGTATAGTCGACGACGGCGCGACTTGACCCGGCATCATTGCCGGCCAGCGCTTTAGATATGAATTGGAGAGTTCTTGTATCGCTCCGATCTGACCTTGTTCGCTGAGCATCCGCACACCGATTACATCCCGGACCAAAATCCCAACCGCATTCCGAATCAACAAGGTCTCGTAACGCAGGGTACTGCCGCCGTTCAGGCTGTTGGCGTGAACGTTCTTGTGAAGTAGAGGGTTGGCCACGATGTCATTCATGAAATGCTGTACGATGAGGGCATAGTTGCTTTCGACGAATGATGCCCCCAGTTTCGTGATGAGAGCGAAATAGAAGTCGAAGATACCGACGCGTGTTCTGCGAGCGGTGAGGCCAGAAGATGATGTAAGGGTCTTGGTGAAATGGGTGCCCAGGTGGGCCAGCATCTCTGCCGGCGTGAACATCGGTTTCTTTATTTCCGTGGTCGTTCCGCCTGCAGGAGAGAGTGGGTCGTCGCCGGGAGCCTGTCCATCTTTCTTAACGGATTTGGCAGCGGGTTCTTGGATTACGACGGTACGCTCGATCTGCGTAGAAGCCAGAAGATGTCCTACGAGTTGGGCGAGGGTGCGTCGGGTAACCTGGTCTACGCTGTCTAAGTTCTTCACGCATAGCGTGATGATGGTGTCGACGTCGCTTGCAGAAGGAAGACTGTCGGCCGAGTACATAGCGATGAGGGCCTACTCTCGTTCAGAGCCAGATAGCGCAGAGAAAACACGAACGTACTTCGGCGGATGCTCGCTGCACAGGCATACACTTGTCCGTCAGTCCATTTCTCATTTGTTTGATGATGTCTTTGGCAGACGCGTCTGTCACGGCGCGCTTCGCTGAATTTAGCGATTTTCGGAGGGCGATCAGGGCATGGAATCGAAGGAGAGGAGACTGTGGAACGTGCTTTGGTTTCCTATTGAACGGGTTGTGGGAGAACTCACGTTTGAAGACTTGGCCGTTCTTAGAGTTACCATCGATATCTCGGCCATGAATGACATAACCTGAAGTTCCGTGTAGACCGAAAGTGCATCAAGAAGAGTTAAGGACATACCTGCGACCCGAACTCATACATCAAGTCGCCAATACACGAAAATGCGGCGCTAGACCAGTATCAATAAGTATACGAGGGGATCGGAATGGGGACTCACACTTTGACAGTGTCCTTGTCTATCGCTTTGAAATCACCAACTATCTTCATCAGCGCTTGGAGGGTATCAAAGAGCGTCCGAGTCTCTCCTCGCCGATATAGCTTAATCAGACATCTTGCGACCAATTGGCGAATTGCACGACCTGGTGGGGTATAAGGTGCAGTAGCAGATATGATCTTGACGAAAGTCTGTTCCAGCGCGTTCTGCGTGCCCTTCAGGATATCCTTCGGCCAAGGTAAGAAAGAACAGGATTCGGGCTACGACTTGGTACTTACAGGGCTTGCATCCGATAGCTTCTTCTCTGTGGACGCTAGCCAAGTAAACAGATTCATGTCGCCATTTTCTCCAAGTACATCGGCCTTGAAAACGGTAAGAGTATCTCCAAGACCTCGCGTTATTCACTAACCTCGTCAATCATCGTGATCGTTGGCGTATCGGAGGCCATGGTTGGTGTTTATCAATAAGACGCCCGTAGACGGGCGGAGCGAGATTAAGCTTCGTTTAGTGCGTCGTATTGTTACAATGGTGGAGGAGAAGGCGTGTATCCTGATCGGACAGTGAAGTCAGCGACTTGAAGTGATTATGCCGAGCCGGCGCGGGAATAATGGTGTAACGTGGAGCGTTAGGTTACGGTCACGAACACAGGAGTTTAGGAGATAGGGAGGTAGAGTTGGTCCGTCGAAGGTGAAAGGAATAACCGTTCTTGTTTTCAGGGAACTCTGCCGTATCCTACGTACATGTGTCCTATTTATACTGTGGTCGGTTAGAGGTACAAATAGTAGCAAATCTGAGAGTGTCCGTGCGGATGACAGTAGTATAACGAGGGGCGAGTAAGGGAGGAACATAAGGAGTAAGACAGGGGAGTCCGGAATGGGAAGTGAAACGTCACATACGCCCTCCCGAACAAGTCCTAGCTTGTTCGCAATTTTATTTGGAAGAGCTGGAGGCGTCGGTCATGGTGACATCACCGTGGGAGGAGGTAACTGGAGTGGAATGAGTGCTCGATCCGTCAGGGACGGGGAGGGAGCGGGGGCTGCTGGCTCGGGCGTGTCGACCTTGGCGAGCGGCGTAATTGGCCTTGGATCGGGCTTTAGCTTGCTCGATGCGCTGGAGCTTTCGATCAATGTACTCGGTGTAGGAGATCATCCCCCTAGCGAGGGTCTCCGGATTCATGCGAGAGAAAGCGGAGTAAACGGCGTGAGGAGATGCGCTAGGGAGGTTGGGCGACGGCGCGTTGGAGAGGGAAGGAGTAGGGGACGAGGTGGTGGTCAATCCAGGGTCAACTTCCTTCTTGGAATGACAAGGGATGGGGCGACGCATGACGTCGTTTTTGGCTGCAATGGAGGGAGCAGGGCGGTCGACGAGCCCGAGTATGATGAGGCTGGGGTTGTGACTACCCATCATGAGGACGAGCCCATCCTCGGTGATGAGGGGAAGTAGGCTCTTCCGCTCCTGGAAAAAAGCCTCCTGATTGATGCACTTGGCGACATTGTAGTATAGGTCGCTGTAATGGGATCGATAGAAGTCGAGGTGTTCTCCCTTTCGCAGATGGTCCGCAATGATCGTCAGAGCCCAAACGTCAGCGATGGTGATAACGTGTTGGGCACCGGATAAGGGGTTGGTGAATTTATAGGAGTAGGGCGACTCGTTGGTAACAGTAACATTCTGGAGTTTATGATGGGGAGTGGGAATGCAAGACGACGTGTACTGATCCAAGGTGAGTGGGACCGCAGTGGGGATGGTCTGGCTTTCGGGAAGCTCGCCCTCCGAGGGGGAGAGTTCGTCAATGGCGTCAGCATCAACAGGCGAACGAGTTTCGTCGAGATCTGGAGTGACGCCAAGACCGTCTTCGAGCATAGTCATTATGTTTCGGAGAACGGGGTGCGGAGTGAGGTTGAAGGATTCAGAAGGGTAAGTGGAGCGATGCCGACGGGTTGTTCTCCTGGATCGGTGCCGTGGGTAACGACGGGGACGTGAACTTGGTGAACGGGGAGCTACTGAAGAATTTGAGGGAAAGTCAGGAGAATCTAAATAGGATGGAGTGCTGGGCAGAGGGGAGGGGAAGAAGATTGAGGCCATGCTGATTTGAGGGTCGTCAGGGGGTGACCCTTTTCCATGGGGGAGTTCCGAAATCGACGAAACACCAAGCACATCGAGGTATGATTGTAGTGCTTGAAGGTGGGCTACTTTGTCATATGGTAGCCAGGTTATGTCGCCTGATTTCCAGGAGATTTCAAACAGCACATTCTCGCGGGATCCAGAATGAGAGACAATTTCTTCCACCGCCCACTCTGAATCCGTATCGTCGATCTCGAATACCTGGGAATCCAGACGACCTGGGAAAAGTCGGTCATCGTTAGGGATGTGAACTCTGAGGAGAGAGGCATGGAAAGAATCGTGTATTCCCCTCTGTTTTAGTCGCGATGGTAGGTCGAGGGCGAATGACTCGTTGCCGTGATTCTTTGTGATTCGATAAGGGCCAATGTACTTCGGTAAGAATTTCCGTACCAGCCCTTTTGGAAACTTCAAATTTTCGGTAGAAAGATAGACGAGGTCTCCCTCAGTGAATGGGGCGGGTCGTCTATGTTGGTTGGCGTCCCTGGTCTGCTTTACCCGAGCCGCGAGGATGGCATCGTGGGCAGCAATGGTAGCCACTCGGATACGTTCCGTGAACGTTCTGACTCCAGGGAACTCGTCAGGTTTGGGAGCGTCCCAGAGCATAGATCGAGGCATTCGTCCTGAATTAAGAAAGAAAGGGGCGAAGCCGGTGCTATCTGATCGCGCTAGGTTGATGGCAAACTCGATAGCAGGGAGTTTCGATACCCAATCCTTTTGATTAGGGTTTATGCATTGCCGGAGTAGTTGGGTAATGGTTCTGTTGGCTCGTTCGGTCGATCCGTCTGACTGGGGGTGATAGGCTGTTGACATTCGTAGTTCGGTGCCTATGAGTTCGTGTAGCCGCTTCCAGAATCGGCTAGTAAATAGGACATCGCGGTCGCTGATAATTGCGTTTGGTAGGCCATGTAGCTTGTAAACTTCTGAGAATACTAGCTCGGCGACGTGCCTAGCCGTGTAATTCGTGTGACTTGGTACTAAATGGACCATCGCGGTTAGGAGGTCAATGACTACGGTGATAGAATCATAAGAGGCATCCCGGTCTTTCGATTCGGGAAGAGGTCCGACGAAGTCGATGCCAATGGCTTCCCAGGGGCGAGAGGCAATCCGGAGAGGATGCAGCAAACCAAACGGCTTCTGATTGTTGGGTTTGCTGCGTTTGCATGTCATACAGGTGTCACAGTAGATTTGCACCTCACTTACGATCTGTTTCCACCAGACATATTCTCGTAGGTAGTCAAGCGTCTTTTTCGCTCCTAGGTGTGCTAGGAGACTATGTGCTTCCGCGATGACGATTTCGCGAAGGTTCCGTCCTTTTATGAAGATATGTGGTATGCACAAAACATCACGTCCGTTTATCTTGAGGTACAGAACTCCGTCCTTTAGTTCGAAATTTCTGAACTCCTTTGGTTTGTCAATGATATTCTTGAAGGTGGGATCACCGCCGTATTTGTTTCGCACCTCTTCGATTAGGTCAAATCCTTCAGCGTGGCCATTGACCACGTCAACCAGAGTAGGTGGGGGTTCGTGAGAGGTTTTGGTATTAGACAAAAGAATCCCGTCGTCCCTTGAACTTGGAAGCACAACTTCTTTGGTTGTGTTTTGTTCCGTGGGTCCGCCTTTATTGTTGAGCTCTTTCCGTTGTGCGCTTTCCGCTAAGACGCCTTTGCTTTCCTCAGGAGGTTCACGCCGGACTGTATCTCTGTTATTCCCGCCCTCCTTTCGTTCTCCTGGGCCCAGGAGGACGAAACGCTTCTTAGCCATACGCCTAGCAAACTCAGCGCTCCCTTCGACCCTGGGCGTCTGTGTTGCGCGCTTATCACTTACGTCCGCACTGGTTGCACTGCGGGTAGAAGCCATCATAGCCTCCAGCCCCACGAGTATGGGCATTGCGGCCACGTCAATGCCGTCTCTTCCTTCCACGACGTCGAAGTAGGTATACTCACTCCGCGCACAAACTACCCCGCTGGCCTCGTTTGAGTATAACCGGGACAGTGCATCACTAAGGACGTTCTCCACGCCCGGGATATACACGGGCTCGAAGTCGAATTCGGATATCTTTTCAACCCAACGAGCTTGGCGACCGGACAGGTTTTTCTGTCGCAACAGATGGATGAGGCCTTTGTGGTCCGTTAACCACTTGAAACGACAACCTTGGAGTATGTCTCTATGCCTCATCATAGATTCCACTCCTGCTAACATCTCTATCTCATGGACAGGATAGTTTTGTTGAGCGGAATTAAGTTTCGCTGAATAGAACGCCGCAACCTTCGCGTTCCGCCACTCTTGCCCTTGCGCCACCACACCAGATATGCCCGTCGCGCATCCATCCGTGATAAGCCAGACAGGTTCGGCATCATCCCCGTATTTTAATGGAACACGATGATGCCCACGCCATTCATGCAGCTTACGCTTGATGTCCTCGAACGCACGTTGATGTGTGAACTCCCAACGGAACGACACACCATCACCTGTTAACGAGGAAAGAACTCCCATCGGAATACGAACCCCTTCGATGTTGTCCGACAGGTAGCCCACAGCCCCAAGGAACCCACGCAGTAGGTCCCTATTGGTCGGGGTCTTCCAGCTCAATATGGAATCGACTTTATTAGAGTCCATCCTGATACCCTCACGATCTACCACATGTCCCAGGACATTGAGCTCCGGCACCAGGAATCGCATCTTATGCTCTGAAAGGTAAATCTTCTCCCGTGCCAGTATATCAATTATAATTTTAACGTGGTGTAGATGATCCTCCAGAGTATTAGAATAAATGTAGATGTCATCGAGATAGATATCCATGAAGACTCCAATACAAGCGGAAAATAAATGGTTCATTAACGACTGGTAAGTGGCCGGTCCGTTACAGTCTCCTTGCTGAAGGACCAAACTAACCATATTGCCGTTAGGCGTTGTCACTGCCGTCCGCTCGACGTGTTCTGGAATAACACGGATTTGTTCATAAGCGCTACAGCAGTCCAAGGAGCTGACGTACTTGTGCTGGGCAACGCGCCGAAGAATCCCTTCTATATCGGGTAACGGAGAAGTCATCTTCATCGTGTTCGCGTTTCTCTCCCTGAGATCGAAGACGCAGCGCAAGTTCGTCGTTCCTGGTTTATATATCAACAACATTGGCATCGTATTACCACAGTTGGACACTCGCCATCTCCCAGAGGCGATATAGGCTTTCCATTTTGTTGACCACTGCTCTCGCAGGGGTTCCGGGCACTTTGAGGGGCGCCAGGAGTATATTCTAGAGGGGTCAATTAATGGAATCGAGTGGTTAATTGCCCGTAACGGAGGAAGAGGTGAGTCTTCGACGTTTTGGCAAACAGGCAAGGCGTACTCACGCAGGTGTTCTCGAGCTTTTAGGATGTTATCTTCGACAATAGACATCGAGCGGGAAGCAAGAGTCGTAACTTCAGGCCCTTTCATTGGTAGGGGGAATGTCGATCCTAAGACAACACGGGGCGGATTAATACCAAGAGTCACTCGATGTTGAAACATCCAAGGCGTACCCAGAATTATGTCATAGTTGGCAATATTTGCCACATCGAAATATCGCTCCGCGGTCGAGTCTTGATACTCAAGGGTTGCCCAACAGCCGAAGTTGATCCTCGAGTGAGATCCTTGTACTGCGAGTTGAAGTGCTAGTGGGGTTTGGAGCTGAACTTTCTTGAGGTGTAGTTGATCGACGATCGTGGTGGAGAGGAAGTCTCCCAAGGAGCCCGAATCTAGGAGCGCTCGGGCGGGATGGCCATTTATTTTAACAGTGACAACTAGGGGTTTAGGGACTGCCCTAGACGGGTCCTTCGCCATGGCAGCGTTACGCTGGAGCGAAGGATAAGTTCCTCGTTGGACCTGCTGCCCATTAAGTTCAATAACAGCGATCATATCCCCGAATTCGTTGAAGCCACAGCGTTCCGATCGTCTACGCCAAAGCTCATCGTCGTCGCTCTTCGACCAATCGGTTCTACCAATGGGCATAGGCATATACGTCATCCAATAATCCTTACCCCCGATCTGGAACAGAACATTCTCCTCAGGAGGCGGGGAAGGGAAGAGGCCAGCTACGTCGCTCTCGTCGAATTTATCTTCAAGAGCGAAAAAGAATTCCCAAGTCTTGATGGCGATATTCTTGTTGTACCAGCGGGTTAGATTAAACCGTGGATTGTTCAGGTATGTTGTTGGCAATTGACATACGAAATCCCGGTATCGATCGTGGACAAGATGATGATTAGGGTCGTCAGGGTCTCGTACCACCTTGAAACGACTTTCTGGACTCCAAAGATGGAACTCCTCATCGCCTATATACGGTGAGTGACTCTCCAGATGGATCTGAGCTCCTTCTGCTAACGGCTCCGACATTGGTGCAACCAGAAGGCAATGGTCAGCTACGTAATCCGGAAGCCCCAATAACTGGCAGCATCGTTGAGCATACCGTACCAGGAAAGCGATTGAAGTGTCGCATACCTGTGAGTAGTTGAAAACTTGGGGAGACCGGGAAGGGTACCATCGGTCGATCACCACACATTCACGATCCGAGATAGCCGATATGGAGAATCGTTTGCTCAAGATCATCTCGTCAGTGGGGAGCCAAAGGCGGGGGAAATCATCGTCTCCAGGAAAACCAAACACCATCCCGAAGACGTTGAGATGGGCTTCCTGGGCCAACAACATAAGATCCCCTTGTGGGATGTATCGCGTATTCCAACTACAATGGATGTTAGGGACGGGGGGATCAGGGTCAACAAGTTCGGGCATGTCTTCATACTCCGAGTCAGAACCGGAGTCGACTTGCAGGACGGCTTCCCAAGGAGAACTGATTCCTATTGCGCCAAGGTCGAGTTCATGGAGCGGTTCATCATCGGTGTTCAACGACTCATGAGCCTCGAAGTCAATGTCAATAGCATGGGATGGTAACCCTGGGGGTTTGTTGTTTGTATTCCCGGCCACGGCGTTCGTCAAGGGGCAATCCTTGGAGACGTGTCCCTCTCGTTTGCATCTGAAACATTTCCCGGCCTTTCGAAGCTCCTCCAATTCTTTCGGGGTGAGTTGGGAAGCTAATTTGGGTTTACCATCACTGGTGAGATTTGATTTGTTGTGTGTCCCCCCCGATTGTTGGTTGGAACCGGACGAGCGGGGGTTGTTAGGGGTAGCACCCTTATCATTTCCATTACGGGAGTGGTCGTTACCATTTCGGCCTCGACCCTGGTTCTTCGAGTTGGACGAGTTGGAGTTTCAGTTTCCCCTGCCTAGGTGAGCGCTTTCTACTACTTCAAGAAGTTCTGCTCTTTCCACTACTTCGTCCCAAGAGGATATGTTTGGGTTCAGGCGCTCACGATAGAGCTCGGCGCGAATTACGGCCTTAAATCCATTCCAGAGCTTAATGACTTTCTCCTGTTCACTCACTGAACCGATAACGTCGTACTTTTGTTTCAATTGGGCGGAATAGTCTCGCACGCTAAGGTCACGTTGCCATAGACGATCGATCTCTGACCGTGTTTGTTCCAGCAGATCTACCGGGAAGCAGGCATTCATTAGTCCTTCAAAGAAATCCCTCAACGTCCAAGCTCCGGGATTCATAGAGACTTGTTGCAAGTAGAAGTCGTACGCGCGCCCCTTCAGGAAGGTGGATAGTTTTCGAACACGGAACCTCTTATTAACTTGTCCTTCTTTAAGGTACGAGGTTCCATCACTAACGAATCGGTAGAAAGCCGTTAAATCTGCTCGTCCGTCATAAACTTCAGGCGGGGTCGGTTTCAAGCTAGACTTAATCTTAGCTTTGGCTTTCTTTCGGCGGCTACGGCGACGCTTGGTCTCCCAGTCAGAATCAGATGAGGTGGAACTCGAAGAGGATTCGTTAGAGCTATCGGAAGAAGGAGACGAAGAACTAGAATCATCATCCGAAGTGGTAGATGGATCGCTAGGGTCGTCACTCATTTTATGATGCTTCAAACGCTTCGAAGATCGTTTCTCGTCGACTGAGTGAAGTGCTCTCCCCAAGAAGCTATTCGGGGGAATCTGCGAGCTAGGTAGGAAATTGGATTTCGTACTTTTACCACTCGACTTTTTTGACTTCTTAAGTTTTGGTTTCGGTTTAGGACGGTCCGTGGCCTCTTTAATATGAGCGCGTATCCCTTCTGTAATCGGCGTGCGGGAACGAAGTCTGGTTTGCTCTTTTAGCTTCCTATTTTCCCGTTCGAGCTCAGCTAACTTTTCGCGCAGGAGTTGTTGTTCTTCCTCACGAATGGTTGTATCCTCATTCAAGACAGATGTGGGTCCCTTCTCAATGACGGGATCAGAATCGTTCTGAGCTTGTTTCCAATGTCTCAGGGCTCGAGCTTGCGCAACAGGATCTAACTCATCTTCTTCAAGAGGAATGTTTCCCCAGTTCCTGGGGTCAACTCCTTTTCCTTTGGAGGGTCCAGGCTTTCGAGTCAACTCAGTTTCATTTGGCATCAGTTTCTTTTCTCGACGTGCGATCTTATCTATGTCATGCATGCTCAGGGTATTATAAGCGGTATTAATTGTATTAATCTGATGTACATCGAGGGACTTTCGTCGATGATCTAGTGATGAAGTACTATGGGATCTACGATTTCTGCGATTAACCGTGGTCCAGGTACTCGCATCATCGTCATCATTCAATATATTATCGGGTAGTTCATCCCGAACGCCATCCTTGGCGATTTTCTCGCCCTCGGCGGTAGTCTCAAGGTTCTCACCAGCCAACGGTGGATCCTTTGAGAACCCTGCTGGCCCTGGGGTCTCAGCAGGTAGTGAGGCAGCCACGACTTCTGAATAGCTTCTCCTCGAAGCAGCCGAAGCCGGCCTACTCTTGTTTTCTGGAAATGTGCTCTTAGCGCTAGCATCAGTAAGATCCGACTCACTTTGGTCTGGGGTCTCAGACGCCTGATTCTTTCGACTACGCAACCCATAGCGGGAGTAGGCAGGGATGCGTGATGACATGCTGATCTAGATCAGATAATCAGTAAATTTTCTTCGGGTTTGTAACGTATCGGTGATTGGGTATGAGGAGGCCGAGGATTTCCAGAGGACCAATCTGGGGGCACCTATGGGCTTTTGGTTGGAGAAGGGAGGAGGGGGAGGAGGAGATCTTCTTGTCGGTAGAACGGTGGGGGCTTTCAAAAATATGTAACGTGGAGCGTTAGGTTACGGTCACGAACACAGGAGTTTAGGAGATAGGGAGGTAGAGTTGGTCCGTCGAAGGTGAAAGGAATAACCGTTCTTGTTTTCAGGGAACTCTGCCGTATCCTACGTACATGTGTCCTATTTATACTGTGGTCGGTTAGAGGTACAAATAGTAGCAAATCTGAGAGTGTCCATGCGGATGACAGTAGTATAACGAGGGGCGAGTAAGGGAGGAACATAAGGAGTCAGACAGGGGAGTCCGGAATGGGAAGTGAAACGTCACAAATGGACTTAACGTCCACGTGGCCGAGTTCGAGTCTTCCGCTCTGCCACATTCCCTGCGGACCTCTCCCAGTCATTCCCGATCTTGATGGATTCTTATGACGAAAAGACAGGTATTCGGTAAGTACGCAAGTTGACGACTCGGAGGCTAGAGGACTGAAGCACCGGGATTGAAGGACAGGCCACCGCTTTTATGTAGAAGGTGATCAGTCCTATCAGATGTCTAATGAGCTGTAGACTTCAACTGGGACGTGGTGACGAAACCTAGCTATTGAAATTCACTTTGATTGCAGTTGGACAGCAGGATCCACTGTCTCGTTCCGTGATATCAACACATCTAGCGGTGAGCTAGGCCGGCTTTTTACGAAGAGAAGGTGTCCGAAAGCATTCCGATGGAAGCCACGACAACCAAAGTGAGTACGAAGCCGTGTTCTTCGGCGACAAGATGCTAACAGGTTGCCTGTATAGGAAGGTTTGGAGGGAGATCATTGTAGAGTACGCGAACGCCAGGTGTGAGCGCAACGACGTTGTAGTGACTGTCGATGACATGTTGGGGATGGCTCGCCGCGCAGAGTATAACCGGCAGGGAGAGGCGCACATCCAATTCAAACGCAGGTTCTCGTTCGGCACAAGTACTAGTATTTTCAAAGTGAAAAGGGTAAGCGCAAGGCATTCTAGAAGGCGCCACTACTTAACCCCTACTTAGACCCAATACTACAACAGCCATGTATTGTTTAGTGTAAATGTTGGTCTTGAATTTGGGAGTAACAAGGATTGTCTCCGCTTCATTCACCATGATATCGTGCGTATTGCATGGGACTCGCTCTTCCACTGGCTCTGATTGATGATCCCCCGCAGCATCAGTTACGCTGGAGAGAGGTCGTACAAAATGAGAACGACGACGCGCACACCATTGTAGATGATGTGTGTGAGACAGTCGCCGCTCTTGCCCTCGATTATCGACATGGTGTGTTTCCTCAATCAATCTGCGGTCATCTGCTGAGTTTCTATACAGAAGCGCTAGCTGCTATTGAGCGCGGGCTTTCAAGCGACGACTTCGATGTCGAGTTCACCAGACCTGAGACGCAACTGACACGCCGTCGAGCTTCTCCTCCCGCCGAGAACGATACCCGCCGATGCTTTGTAATGCTGCATCTCTCTGCATACGCTTGGGCCCCTTGCGATGGCCTGCCGTCATCCATTGCCGACGTTCATTGGACTGCAACCGACAGCCCTCGCGCCTTTCCATCTCGTTCTAATCCCTTCCAATACCTCAACAACTTCCACCTCTCACTCCCCTCAGCCGCATCTGCGGATCGCAGCCCCTGTTCGTCCTCGCCGCCCCGTGCAAGTCCTCTCACCATCACCTTCTCCGCGCAGGGCATCTCGTGCTTCACGGGCACGAATGCCATGTCTGCTGGCAATGGTCTCACTATCAACGGCACGAATCGCACCGTTGTCGTGAACCACATTGGTGCCGTCATGGGGGACTATTTTGGCATTGTTAATGGTGGTAATGTTGGGGGAACTAATAACACCAACCACGGTGCGTACTCACTGTCCCGTGTCCAGCCGATTTTACTTACTTCACTTGGCCTTAGTCCATTCGTACTCTCGCTGAGGTAACTGTAGCGGCTGCATTTTCTCATACTGCCACTCCTTGAGAATACTGAGAGAGATTGGTGATAAGACAGGTGAACAAAGAGTGTACGAAGTCGCTAGAAGAATCGTACGTCAATCATCTACAGCTACAGCCCTCCTCGCACGTCATATACATGTCGCGACAGTGAGTTTATGCAGTCTAAAACCAACAATACTCCGATTGTTCAAGAAACAGAGACAATGAGCCGTAATGAGCTAACACGATGCCACGAGCGGATGACATGGAGGCGGTCCTTTGTAGCCCAGCTTCGATGAGTACGGGGCCAGCAAAGGGGTGCGAATACGAGGGCAAGGTCGCGCAATAACCCGACAGTGTTTGTAGGCAGTGAGATGCCTTCGATGTTAGGTGCAGCCATAGTTTCGCGATCGTGTTCTAGCGAGATCTGTTTCGGGGTCATTCTCAGAACACGACCCTTCGCAGAGAACGTCCCAGCTCCCATCACGTCCCAGCTCCCACCGTATGCCCGTATGTTAAGTTGTTACTACCGGAAATCGGGGTGGATTTTGGTGGTGGAACCAAGCGGTGTTCTAGAGATAATTGCTACTGTGCCTCGCGGATGATGATTGTAAGAGCAGACGGCTACAGCGACGGGCTGAAGCGTAGGGGGCGTAACTGAAAGCAGTTCCGCGGAGGTCACAGGAAGGGCCTGGTCAGGGCGTGTGCGCGTGGAAGGGCGCACCTTGCAGCGTGAGCTCCGCCACGCTTGCGATGTTCCACTGCGAGAGGCCATAGAAGTGTTCGCCTTAGATGCGCAACAGGGAGCTGAGGGGCGGGACCTCCAGGCTGTTCAAAGGCAACCTTGGGACAGCTCTGTTGCTCGCTGTGGATTCGAATGTCAATCGTAGCTAAAATGGATTGTTGTATATGATCTGTTAGATTTTGGCAATCTTGGCGGTACAGGGGTATAGTGGAGCACGTGACTACTTGTATTACCATCGCCGCTTTTTGTATTTCTTCTTTATGTGTTTGCTGGAGTCCCAGTCAAACGCAATAAGATCTACTTATTGTATCACATTCGACGCCACCCTCACCAGCTTATTTCAACATGATCTTCCATTCCAATTGTACAAAAGCAGTGCTCCCGGTTTACTCGCCGTCCTCGTGAAGCCCCTATGTGCGTGTTTTCCACGCCTTTGACCTGTCCGTAAGTTTTCGCGCGATTACCTCTGACAAGTGCTCAAAAGCCTGTAGATTCTGCATTCTGACGTGATACATTCGCGGGACGTCGGCCTTTGGCTGCCCTGTCTATCAGCTACCTTATCCCGTCGCGCGGCGATCCAATAACCAATGGCTACGGGGGGTAAGCCCTTCCCTATATGAACGCCTCGGATCCTGAAAGCAGATCTATCACGATAGACACAAAGGATGCCTCCCAGAGCGTTGATTTCGCTGAGAGGCTGCCCATCGAGCTGATTCACCATATCATCGCCCATCTTGACGATCGTGTTGAAGACTACTATTGTGGCAACTGCAGGCCCATACCTTCCGGCCTTGCTGCTTGCTCACTAGTGTGCCGCGCGTGGAGTCACATATGTCGGGCTCGTATCTTCCGCACAGTCTCTCTGAAGTACGGCGAGGATGTATCTCATCGACGTTTGTCTTTCCTATACTCGACAGCACCGCATCTCTGCGAAATCATTCGTAATCTCAGCATATGCTTAGGAGGAGGCCCCTCAACCTCCGAAGATTGGATTCCACATTTCACTGGCCGCTTTACGAACCTCAGCGAACTGCGCCTTCACCCCGAGTTTATCACAGGACCGATCCTTGGCGTACTATCCGACTTCGGTATTATGTCCCTTCTTCCAACCCTACGCCTGAAACGCCTTGCTTTAGACTCTTGGAGTGTCGATGAAGCTGTGCTGGATCTCATTCCCATCCTTTCTGCCTGCTCAAACACGCTTGAGAGTCTGTCGTTGGAAATATACGAAGTATACCGGCAGGCAGAGGGCTCAGATTCCGTTCTCCCGCCGTCTGTTTGCTTAAATTCTCTCCGCAACCTCAATATGATCTCAAGTGTCTGTACCCTACCTCCGACCAACCTTATCAGATGCCCGAATCTTGAATCCTTGACAGTTGGGTATACTTACGGCGACTCTCCCTGGGATATTCCCTCGTGGATTCCCGTTAGTTTATCTGAGCTCATCTTACACGGTACGCCTACCTCGAATGCGATTCATCTTATACACTGACACTTTTTGTAGGCGCTCCAACTCTAGACTTTCCTGACTTCGTCACGGCCATACGACCGTCCATTCTCAGGATTACCATATCCGGCTACAGTCACCCTTTGTTCGATATCATGACATGGATAGGCGGGTGCATCGGTCATCTGCCAGACGAGACTACCCTCCGGCAACTTGCTATCGTCATCAACGGTCGCTATCCCAGCCACCGCTCTTTGTACCCCGAGGTCGCCGATTACGCACCACTATGCTCTGCAATCCTACCGCTGTTCTCGCGCGGGGCTTTGGAAAAAATCAGTCTAAATATCGACGTCTACCAAAAGGGCATTGCGGGTACGATTGCTGCTTCAAGAGCTGTCGGTGCCGTCGAAGAGGCGTTCGCTCCGATATTGGAGGAGGTATCAGTCAACGAATTTCAGTGCATAACTTGTGACCATGGGAAGATAGATGCACTACTTGTCAAAAATATGGTAGAGACTTTCCGGGACGAACACTTTGTATGAGCTTAGTTTCTTCGCGTTCGCACAATTGCGGAATTGCAGAAAAGTCTTTTGATTAGACCAGTGGTGCAGGACGGCGGACATTCGTACTCTCACCTATATGTATCGGCGACTAGACTTTCATGCCAAATGCATAGCTCGTTCTTCTTGTCCACGAGGATGAGAAGCAAGGAAGTAGCTTGACGGGCGCTGTACCAGCAAGTTATGAAGTTATGTTGCAGGGATAGGGTTCTACCGAAAGGCGATAAGCGCTCACACCTTTAGCCTTCGTGACCACCATCATCCATAAATCTGACTCCGAGGAGTAGCATGAAGACCATACCTCGAAACATTTGTTCCGCAGAAGAACTCCCTATCGAGCTCATCCATCACATTGTTTCCTGCCTTGAAGATAGCGACAATGAGGAGAAGTTCTGCTACAGGGAACACGTACCCCCGGACCTGAATGCCTTGTCTCTGGTGTGTCGCTCGTGGAATGAGGTCTGCAGGCATCACATCTTTCGCACTATCGGCGTGAATTACGGCCATGACTCCTTCACCTCCCGTCTCTCCTTCCTCCACTTCACGGCCCCCCATCTCTACAAATACATCCTCCGGCTTGACGTATGCCTGGATACTGGCTATGACAGCGTCGCCGAGTGGGTCCCAGAATGCTTTGCGCGGTTCACCAATCTGCGTGCATTGCGTCTCAATGCCCGGTTCATATCGGGGGCGATACTCGATGTGCTGCCCGGGTTCGGGATTGTGTCCTTGCTCGCAAGCGTACGCCTGCAGGAGCTCGTCCTGGCATCGTGGGACGTAGACGCTGAAGCCTCGGATCTCCTCCCCATCCTTTCGACGTGCTCGCCTTCTCTCGAAAGTCTGTCGCTGGAGATGTATGGTATCTACACGCCGGAGCGGCCAGAGACAACGAGCTGTATATCCGGAGCCCCATCACCTCGCAGTGTATGTCTGGATGCGCTCCGCAGCCTCAAGGTCGTTCAAAATGTCGCCGTACTCCCCCATACAGACCGTATCAAGTGCCCAAACCTCGAATATGTAGAAATTGTGCAACTTACCAGCGGCTATTGGAATATTCCCAGGTGGATTCCCGCCAACTTGTCTGAACTCATCTTGAGCGGTAGGTACACCTGTGTTGTATATAGCCACGATGGTTCACTGGCACTAACCCTCTTTCAGTTTCCCCGACTGCTATAATCCCCGACATCGGCGCCGCTATATGTCCGTCCGCCCTAACGATCAACATATTGTGTCCCAGCGAGGCTCCCCGGTTGAGCAGTATCGCATGGATAGGGGACTGTATCAACCGCCTACCTTTCCCCAATCGTCTACGGGGGGTCGCAATCCATATTGATCCCCTCGGCTGGGGTGGACAATCTTACCCCGAACCTATCCATTATGAAGCGCTTCATCGTATCATTCAACCTCTGCACGATCATGGGGCTTTGAAGAAAATCAGCATAAGTATAGGTGATGTCAACGATGACTCTATCGAGACGGACTGCGATGAGGTTGCGGTGTTTGAAGAAGCGTTTGCCCCATTGATAGAGGGGATAACGGCCGCTGGCGGATTTCGGCGTATAACATGCAAATATGGGGGGATAGATGTACTCATGAGCCATGAAGCACTGTAGTGGTGACGGTCCGACGACGCTTGGGTATGCGTCCCGATCGACAGTCGCTAGGTCTAAGTAAGGACTCTGGGAGTGCCTCCCCATCATCCATCTGTACACGCACTTCTATACGATCATTACACGCTCGAGTTGATGAAGGTCGCGATCGACGAGTCTCCTAGAATGGTAAAGGTGGTTCAGAGCGGCAGATAAATAAGTTGGTTAACTACATGAACATCTAAAGGACACATTACAGCGAACATTGCAGAGCGAATATACACACACACAGGATATCATTCCACCATCCAGAGAAAACGAAAGACCGGAATTTAAGACGCCGCTAAACACTACACGGCGTACATGTCTCTTTTGACGTCTACCTCGACCTCGACCTCGATACCGGATTTTGCGTCGGACGTTGGCGAGGCCTCCGCGCGATCATGGAGGTTGACAGCGAAGTTCATGTCTGATAGGTTCGTGCGTGTTTGGGCGTTGGAGAAGTTGATCTCCGTCTCGATGTCGATGTCGTGCGTCGCGCGGTGCGAGGCGTGCGGGTTCGTAGAGGCGAAGCGGGGCGGGCGGAGATAGGTCACCGTGCGGACGGGGCTGAGGCCAGCGGAGATCGTGACGATGATCAGCGTTGGGACGATGCCCTGGAGGAATGAACGAACGACGAGGTGAGTGTGGACGCTTGAGGGAGAATGATACAGACGTACGGCTAGTTGGGCGATGATATCCATTGCTACAATGTCGCCGTTTGATTTGAGAAGGAACAATACTAAGTAGGCGATCTAGGGCAAGAGATGAGCACGAGGTGGATGGACAGAGAATGGAGACACGTACCCATGCCAGAGTGTATAACAACCCAGATTCGATGATGACAGCCGATTCAAAGAGGAGGGACGAGAAGCCGTGGACATTCTTCATTGTTCGGTGATGGAGCCTGCAGCGCGTGCATCAGCGACTGTCCAACAGAACGAGAGAGGGGAGGGTCATTACATTAACTTCGTCGCCGTCATCACCGTCAACACGACGTTGGTAGTAACGGAGAGCACCATGCAGACGATATTCCACGTTGAGATGGGCGCCATTCTGGACTGGTCGAATATGCCTTGGAAATCGGGGGTGGGGAGATGCCCGAGGCCTTCTATGGACGCGCCAACGTAGCCATATGTAGATATGAAGGTCGCAAAAATGAGGATCGAGGGAAGAATAAGGACGCGGGGGTTGCGACCGTATATGACATAAGTGCGCCATGTAAGAAGAATGTCGGCGAGAATGGACTGCGACTTGGTTAGCCGGCAAATCCACCAAGGATAGGCAGTCGTACTAAGCACTCACGCTGAAGAACTCAGTCGCTACCTGCGTAAACGCCATTTTCCCGTGATACTGGATATCTGCGAAGGGGCCGGGATCGCCGCCGCCGAGGAGCTTGATGTCTTGATAGAAGGCCATGAAGAAATGCGCGGTGGAGAGGATGTACTGGAAAATGACGATGGAGAGGCCGATCCAGTTGCGTCTTGCCTTGGGCGACGCGCGGAAGAATACAAGCCATATTGCGATCGCCAAGAGGATGGTGAATATGCCTAGACAGCAAGATGAGCCAACGGCGCGAGAGATAAGGAGGAGGGAATACCTTGAAGGAAACACAGGAAGAATACACAGATGAGCAAGGCCTCATTAGGTTGGATCATCTCGCTGGCAGTTTATCTGGTACTGGAATCGGCAGTCCTTGTTGTGATCAACGTGCCCGATGGAGGAATGGCGAGGGATCCTTCAAAGAAGGTATACAGCGCTTCCAAAGCTGAACGACCCAGGCGAAGAACGATAAGAGGGCGAGTTGGTGAGGTATATGTAGGTCTTCCAGTTCCGTGAAAAGGCCATCAAGGAAACGCCCCTTGTCGTCGATGGGGGGATACGAAAGGAGACTAGCAGATAGAGACTGATGTGCGCCACATCGACCTCAGCACAGTTAGGAGAAGGGTCGGTTCCTGCCCTGCATCCTAGGTGATGTGATCGATAATAGGAGACCCTGCATGAAATGGGCAATCCCGCCAAATTCCTAACGGCTTCACGTTCTTTGGAGCCAGTAAGCTTCGCAAATACTTAAGTTCTGATCTGGAAGAGGTTTTAAACTACCGGCTGCTCAGTTTAATGACGTTGTGAAGTGCTGACGGTAAGATATCGCTTTGACCTGGTTTGACATTCGGGCTGACTGGCGTGACGGTTGATTCCGGCCAGGAGAAGTTTGGGGTTGTTGCGGAAGGACGTCGTGGCGCTTATCGACTCCGCGACGAAGGAACATGTAATTTGAATTTTTTGATCCTGGGCGTACAGACATTGCGGTCTGCGTGAGTCCTGTCCAAGACCTGTCCCGCTGCCACCTGACATTGTAAATTCTAATTCGTTTGGGTGATGAAGATGAAGAGTGATGATTCGTACTTCAGACTTCGATGTCCTAGCAATGCCGAACAGGATTGACGCATCGAAGGGATAAAGGAATCGAGCCAAGGAGCTCTCCTAAGAGCCAAATGCAACAAGTAATTTAGGTGAGTTTCCAAGGGCTCTAGATGCTGCGACCTCTCGACCTTGAGGATAATGTTTATCCAAAATGTGGTGGGAGGTTGTCACGGCCAAGGAGAGTCCACATTCACTACCTGTATTCTGACGCCCCAAACAAATTGAGAATAGATTGTCGTACAAGGGACCTTGAGCATTCAAGGTACTATATACTCCGCGCTTTTTGGGATGTCGATCACGCAGTCCAAGTCTTGATAGGTGTATTGATGCGCCGCTGACGAGTCGGGTCGCCGTAAGGGTCCTTCAATTGAAGGTTGGTGCCAAACGACACCTAAGGCCGCAAAAGCTGATCCGAACGCTCGTCGTCGTGTATCTTGACGAACGCTATCGATGAATGTGGACCGTATCTTACTGGTATTGTAAAGCCCGTAATCTCTCCAAGAGATAGCACGGCCTCATCATCGTTCCCTTCTGAGGCTAGTACGCGTCGTATTGGTTGCCTGATCGTTCATACGGAGAGGGTTCGACGTGTTGATGAACTGTCGAGTCGAGGTCTAGGGAGAGTGAATCAAGAATGATGGAGATGGATAACCACCAATCGATATCTAAAGGTCCGCGTCGAGAGTGCAATCAGGACGCTATCAGGAAGCAGGAAGCTATCGCCAGGCACTGCGAATCAAACTCACACCATCAACTGTGAAACGATGAAGTTATTGATTCCGACCAAACCAGTTGTTGTCGGCGAAGTCCGATTCCAGGATTCCCGAGCTTGGTCTCAACAGTAAGTTACTCTGGAATCAGTCTTGGACGCACTACCCGGTTTCTGCATTTCTTCCTAGACTCGTAGTCTAGTTACCTCCCGGAGAGACTGTTTTGCCCGCAACATTAATCAATACGGTTGATGCAAAAATTTTAAAGATGTATGATGCAGTGATGCCCGTAGCATAAATGGAGATCGAAGAATGGAAGAGGAAGGCAAGGTGACGGCAACGGTGACTTAGCGAATAATCCATTATAGTCCATTACCTTGTCATTGAGACTTAGCATAGACTATCCTAGACTTAGCTTGCTGCTGACGTAAAACAAACGAGTTCTGAACACAAATTTAGTACTTAGCGCCTATCCTTCCTCCGTCCCGCGTACTTGTCGTCTTATAGCTCTGTTTGTTGGTCGGAACCCTTGTAACAGGAATCAGGATCCTGTTCGCAATTTCATTCGACTGGCATCGTTGATCGCATGCCCCTCTGTAATTCGCCACCGCGACCAATACTGCCATGGACGCCACAGAGCTCTCTCGATGGACCCGTTTCGCTGCAAAAGGTGGCATAGGAAAATGCACGGCTACTCATGATTGCGTGGCGGAGAGTCCGGAGGATCTTATGTTCCTCAAGGTACGTCGATGCCTCTTTGCTTTCCCGTTATGTCTCGCGTGGCCTTATAGTCGGATTCGTGACTGTTCTCGCACTTTGGTTTATCCGTTCACAGGACGATGCAATTATAGTGTTAATGCAATTACCTGAAGATACCCGCGACGGGGAGGGAACTAGCAGTGGAGTAGGATCAGGCGAAAATGGGTGGTATTTGGGCTACTGTGAGGGTGTGGTGGGACGGTTTCAGGGGAAGCATGTGCATTTTCATTCAAAGCTTAAACGACCTGTTATGACAAAACGATCTTCGACGGCGTCGACGAGGTCACCTTCACGTCGGAACTCGAATGCGCATGGAGGGGCCGGCGGGAGTCGGGCAACGACGCCAATACAGACGGCGTCACCAAGGATGTCCGTGTCAACGTCGACGCCTCCGTCCACCTCGACTTCTTCCACCCCTGACTCTACACCGAGACTACCAGTGAAAACGGCGAGATCAATCGTGGCGAACACCAGGTCGCCATCTCTAGGGTCGTCGCGGTCCCCTACACCTGGGACGAGTGGAGCCGCCAGTAATGGTACTGCCCGCTCGTCTCCGTCGTCTATGGGTTCCTCGTCGCGCCATGGCCACAGCCATGCTCTTGGTTTAGGATTTGGGTCATTCTCGTCTGGCTCGATATCTACTCTGCCCAATTCGGCCGTTGCTTCGACATCTGTGATCCACTCTTCCCCGCGGTCGTCGCCTCTCGTAGGGTCTGGGGTCAAGCTACTTCCTAACGAGCTAGATGATGTACCGAAGGTGCGTACTTCATACCTATTCCCTGCGCGTTACCGTGAACTTACTCGACTCCTCAATGATTTTCCAACTCCTGGATATTCGTACTCACGTTGCTCAGCTAAGTCAACTCTCGGAAGATGCATCCCCGAGAACGCAGATATCAAGCAAAACGGTCGCTAACCACAATCACAATAATGACGTTGCTCTCGATGCTGTACAGTCTCCCCCGAGCGAACTTCCCAATCCCTTCGATTCTCCAACCGTCCCAACTACAGCAGACGCCGCCACCTCCCATGAATCTACGACATCCCCGCAAAGCAATGACATCCAAACGGCCGATTACGCACCCGCACCCACAAACTCCCGTCCATCGCCCATGATAAATACCGACGACGTAGATCCCCGACATCAAGAAGACAGCTCTGAGGCCCAACCGGAGGATCGATCAAAAGAACCCCCTGTTGCCGAAGGCCATGCCAAAGAAGAAGAGGAAGATGAAGAGTACGATGCGCCTTCTTCGTCAAGGATCTCGAGGATCTCATTGGCGATGTCCGATGGGGAAGTTGGGATCGGGCTGTCGTTATTGCAAGACCTTGCTGGTGGAGAGGGCGCTTATGGTGACGGAGAGTTCAGCTCAGACGACGAAGAACACACTGGCGAGTGGCGGCTGAACCAAACCGAGATTGGTGGAGAAGGGATCCAGAGGTCGGCTAGTGTTTCGAGTCGTAGCACTGGACTAGGCTACCACGACGATGAAGGCGTCGGGGGGAAGATGGCTGATGGGCGGGAAAGCGAACGAGAAAGCTACATGAGTGAGCAGAGTAGGTACAGCGTTGATACGATGAGCAAGGAGCTGGACAATCTCGAGTCAACCATGGCGAGATTGCGTCCTAAAAGCTCCATCGAAGATAATTTTGTTATGCTTACGCCAACGGTCAGCTCCATGGCCATATCACCACGGATAGCAACCTTGTCCTCCTCTACGCCACCCTCTCCCTCCTCTCTACCTCCTACATCACCCCATCTTACCGCCACTCTGCCCCTCAACCTCACTCCTCGGAAGGACACGTTTTCAATCAACGGCACGGGGTCGAATGGTATTAGCAGTGCTACCGCCCCCGTACCTTCGCCTACGTCGCCTACCTCTTCCATCAGGACCCATGCGTCCACTTCCACCACCCGTACTACGTCTACTACCCACACGACCCGTACCACGCGGACAGGGTATTCTGGGACGGGGAGCATTGGCAGTGGTGGTAGTGACGACTGGGATGGCGCAGGGGACATCTACGACGATTATATGTACCGGTATTCGACGAGGCTCTCGGTCGTTAGTGGGAGGATACCAGGAGGCAACGGGAGGAGGGGCAGCGGGGGCAGCGGGGCGTCGTTGGCTGTCGGTAGAGATACCCCGCCAGTACCGCAGAACAGGGGAAGCGCTGACGACGTTGATGAGCGATTTGGTGGCAAGAGTTTTGTCAAGGCAAGGCCAGGAGCTCTGGATATCCAACTGAGCAATCGGCTGAGACCCTCGGGCTCCGCTGTCGCCGATGGTGAAGGAACGAAGCAGTTGAACCCTCTAGACGCGCCCGGATCGTCCAAGTCAACTGCATCGCCGTTGCTCCACACGACTTGGGGCGACGCTCTTTCCTCGCCTGAAGAGGGAGTCAATGGGTTGTCGGCTATACGAGGGAATCCCGGGAGTACCGCAGATTCGTTCTTCGACGGTCGCCCTGGCGCCGCAGGGTTCTTGAGAAGCCCTACTTTAGACGGACCAGCCAGCGCAATCAGGCAAAGGCTCGAGATGAATCTGGGTCCAAATGGAAACGACGGCAACGTCGCCGGCGCGGGGAAGAACGTGCAGATCAACCATACGTCTTCGAGTATGGGCAGCGCCAGTAGCGCCATTCAGGAGCAGGACGACGCCTCTACTCATGGTGGACCGGGAGGCATTGTGGTTGAAGACGACGAACAGGCTCCGGATGTCAGCCTGACGACCGCGAAGATGGGGATCGGGGATAATAGTTTTGTCTCTGCCGACTTTGAGGGAGCTCAAGAAAGTGCTGAACCAATGGAAGGAGGTCTTCAGGAGGGCTGGAAGGGCAACAACGACGCAATTGCTTCGCCTGGGCTGCCTTTGGTGAATCCACACGATTCTATAGACAATGCACTGGATGGCATAACGAGGACCACATCCCCCGTTCCTATGGATCCTCCTTCGGCGAGCTCGACCTCTGACACAGTTCTCCTTTCAGCGACTGCCGAGATAGCCCCTCCTCCTCCATCCCAGTCCCCAGCGACTCAACTACTAGCTGCACCTGTGTCGCACCTTCGCCCTTCGTTAGCTGAACTAAGGGGCGAGAGAGATCCCGACTCTGGGATGAGAACTAGCTTGTTCATGCCCCATCCTAACGCTCCGAAGCCGACTGTTTTGTCACAAGGACCCATGTACATTCGCCAGCCTGCCTCCAATGTTTCACTGCCCTTTACCGCGCAGCCATATGGTTTCCAAAGGCCGAGCGAAGTAGGCCACCCTTCTGCGACCCTCAATTCACGCCATCCACCGACAACAGCTACCCCTCCCCCCCGTCACCCGGGGAGTGGGCTTGGCGGGCTTTCCAGGGCACTACAGATGGCCATGTCATCTAGAGGAATTTTGGGTAGAGGCCCGACATTGTTCGCAAGGTGTGATGTTGATTTGGCGAGTTCTATCGGGCCAGTCGCCATAACCTTCAGCGTTGAGCCGTTTGTGGGGCCCCCTCCTGGACCGGCCAACGTCGCTGGTAGTGGGGGTCCCGAATTAATGCCTCCCGTGTCTGCGCCTGGCGGAGGCGTGCCCGGGTCTGTGACGCCAGTCAGGACCTTGTCCGAAGGATCCGTCGGAGCACAGTCAGCCACCTCCAGCCCTAAACCGTCTGTTGGCATTCTACCTACGACCAATGGAATCGAAGTGCAAGGAAGCGCAGCGGCGTCAGCCGCCGATACGGCTGGTGGAGCTGCCATACCTAATACAGGCGTTATCCCCAGGCCAAATTTCTACCCGAAGGTCCCATCCGCGCGCCCTCGTTCACGGAGTTTCTCCGAGTTTGGGTCAACAAGTATCGAAGTACCGATGCCGATTGCTTCGTACGTCGGTCCTTTACTTCCCTTTATCTGGGATGATATTGATACGATATTTTAACCAGTGATGACAATACGCCTCTAAAGATCCCTTCAATACGGACCATGGCGAGATCGTTGACAGCTAACCGGGCGTCGCAGGGAAATACTACACTTTCACCGAAACCACCTGCATTGAAACTTCAATCCAGTCTACGCACGCCGTACGCGCCATCCCCCTTATCGATACCTTCGTCTGGCCTCAGCGCACGAGGCGCCCCAAAATCCCCCACCAGTCCGCTGTCCCAGTCATCCACGTCATTCGCGCCTCCGTCTCCCACCGCTTCGTCGCGTCGACACCAACTAAGACAGGTCACCTCGAATCCAGCGCTCGCTGCCCCTCCTAGCCCTCGCATCGTAGTACCTCCATCGCTTTCAAGGAAGAGGTCGTCCGGAACCTCTCCGACTTCCCCCACTCGACAGTCGATGTCGGACCAAGTATCTGTTTCTACTCCTCCGAGGCAAAACTCTATCCCTGAGGCCTCAGCCGGCCCCTCCAGCGCCGCTTCGAGGGCCTCCGTAGAGGTGGAGAATTCCCGCGGGATGGTAGCCTCTCCTACGCCGATGGTGACCCGTCAATTATCCCTACGTTCGAAGTTATCATTACCGAATCTCCGGCGGAAGCAGAGTCGACAAGATGACACCTCCAGCATCGCCGCAAGCTCGATCGATAACGAGTACGAGACCGCACAAGCAGAGGGTATGGACTTCGAGCTCGTGCGGCCCAGCTTCAGCCATCTTCACTCTGCAAGAACCAGCGAGGACTCATCCTTCGTCAAGGATGGAGGGTCCATCGATCTGGGCAAGCCGGAAATGACTATTGGCGGACTCCTGCGTACAAATAGTCCTGCGATGTCGTTCTCGTCGGGTCAGCGCTCGCCAAGTGTCGCGGATATCAAAACGCCCAAGGTGTCTGACAGCGAGTCGAGCTCGATGGAAGGGCATAGGCAAAGGGAGCTCAGGTGGATCGCGCTCATGTCGTCCGTGCCTGCTTCGCAAGCGAGGAAGAGCAAGAAGGTGAAGAAGCTGCTGATAGAGGGCGTCCCATCCTCCGTGAGGTATCTGGTATGGATCCATCTGACGGACGGGAAGGCGAGGAATGTACCGAAGGTCTACGAACAGTTGGTGAAAAGGGGGCATGTACCGAGCTACAAGGATATCGAAAGAGACGTACAGACGTATGTCCGAGAGAACTCGCAACCCGCCGCGATGAGGGAGTCGATGGTTTCGTTACTGCAAGCGTACTTGACCATGGTTCCGGATGTGCAATATAGTCGGGGTGCGTTTCGATTCGCTCTCTTGTTCGTGTTTGTGTTTTCAACTGACCATTGATGCAGGTCTGACCCTGATTGCTGGGAATATTCTGTTGTTGGCGCCGGAAGAAGACGGGTTTTGGACGTTCGTTTCGCTGATGGATTCGTACCTGCGGCCCTATTTCTCCTCGAGCAGTTCGCAGATGGAGGTCGACGCTATGCTGTTCAGCCGGGCACTGGAGGCGAATGACCCTCAGGTGGCCAAGAAGGTGTTGACGACGATGTCCATCAACCCAACCGCAATCTGCTTCCCATGGTACGCCGCAGCCTCGCTCCGCAGGCACCCCGTACTCACAGATCATAGGTTTACCTCCCTGTTCGTCAACACCCTCCCTTTATCGTACGTCCAGCGGGTGTGGGATCTCTTCCTGTTCGAAGGTGCGCTCTTTCCGCCACTATTCTGCACCGCTTACCCTGACGAAATACACAGGCATTTCGTTCCTTGTTCGCGCCGGCCTCGCCCTCATCAGCACCTGCCGTCGACAGATCCTGGACGCGACGAGCCCAGAGGCCGTCCTCGACCTCCTCCAACACCCGCCCCCTTCGCTTCTCCTCTCCTCCCCCGACGCCTTCCTCTCCCTCCTGAACTCCTTCAAACTCAAAGACGACGACTTCCGCAAACAGAGGATCAAAATGGAGGCGCAGGTCAAGCGCCAAACGCAGGCACCGCGCGCGCCTCCGACTAGCTCGATATCGCTCCCAAAATAATGGCTGTGTTTCATTGTTTCAGCACTTCTATACACCGACGGACTTTGCGCATTAATATATGAATATATACATCCCATCTACCTCGCAATCGCAATCGCTATCGAAGTTCTCCTGTTCTTGTTTACACTCTTACACTCCTATCTTCATCTCCTTCGTCTTTGTCTTTGGGATATATACTGGCACAACGCATTGAGCATTAATCTACAGTTTCGTGCACATACCCAAGGTCTTGGAATCCGCTCGGACCCTTCCCTTATGCATATATATCCCGTGGAACCACTGTATTGTTCGTCCATCGTTCATCGTCCGTAGACCGCGTAGACACGCAGAGAATTGTGTATCATATTTATCATTTATCATTTATCATTTATCAGCTCTCAAGATCTCAAGATCTCAACCCCTATACCAGCCTAGATTGCCAGGAGCCGCCTGGGAGTCCCGCCTGTCGCCTTGTAAATTTGTACTTAACACGCCCACGCAGCTCGGGTATGTATGTCACGTCCTGGATCAGACTCAGTATTTTGCCGAAGTCGGCCCAAGTCTCTAAATAGGTCCGTGAAAGCGTGATATAGGTCGCCTTTGGGCGCAGATAAGTCGGTCCCTTCACATTTAATGTAAGAAAATCGCCACCTTCCTTTTATAGTTTAGTGCGGATTGTAATGTTGAAAACATGATTATGTTTCAGTCGGTATTGGTCGTTATCAACATGACCGTGAGCGACGCTACAGGACTTAACAGTTGACTTAATACTAATGTGCCCAGAGGCTCAAGAAAAGATGTATTATGTAATGCCGGGCGGGAAGTATCAACGGACGAACTACGGCGCTAACTCAGCGGCAAGGGCACGAAATAGGGGTAGGGTCACGTCTATCATATCACTAGCCTGGACACGATCTCCCTTTGACCTAGCCAGATTCATCATCGTGTTGAGCGAATCGATGAGTACGAGCTTGTGTTCCTATGGTATACTGTATCAGTATGTAGTGCACAGAATAAAATGGTGAACATACCAGTAGAAGGTTTCTTTCGGGCTGGGGGGACAAGTGTACTTCGAGGGTCCGCAAGTCGGGGGCCTTGACCTCGCCTAGTGTTGCTAGAGAAATCCTTAGTTGGAACAGTAAGGCAGCTGAGTGCCCGTACCTGCCCACTGACGCCTCGTTCCGTCCGCTAGGATGGCGACTACCTGTTCTGATTCACCCTTCTCAAAATCGAATAGCGAGTGGTAAATTCCGACGGAGCACATCTCTATATCTGTTCGGAGATATACTTTGCGGACGTTCTCTACACGGTCGTATTCCTGAAAGAGATTCGTTAAAGACTTATGGTGAGCAAGCGGACCCAAGTACTCACCTTGTGCTTGTGCACAATTGACACGGAAAAAGGTTCGCCATGCTCCTTTTTGACAAAGATGTTCGCACCGGCTTCACCCCGACGCGGGACGCCAATCCAAGGGGAGTGGAAATCGGGGCGCCCGCGGACGTTGGATTCGCTCGAGTTTGCGAGGAAAAGGCTAAGGTATTCGCGTCTTGGCGTCGGCATCTGGGGGGGAATACGACAACGACGAGGTAGTGGGGTGATGAGGGCTGCTTTTATGGGGTGGCGAGGAAGCGATAGCGCGCAACGCATGGCGTGCGCAATCCTGTTGTCCGTGTGTGGTGTACGCCGTCGCCTGGTTGATAGTGTAACAGAGAGACGGAGATGAAATAGGCTGAGTGGGCTGAGAGGGATGGGTGATGAAACCCCAGGGACTGTACCTGTGTATTGACGTGATTTTGACAGCGACTGGATGACAGCAGGTGGTGCAGGGACATGCCATGTGTTTGTTGCGAGAGAGTACACCCGTCCGGACAGCACACCTACAAATGAATCCGTTTGTTGAGAATGCATCCTCGAATTGGCACGCCGAGATAGCAGGGATGCTGAGATCGAAGGAATGGCTGACGTTCGCGAGGGCCTTGGAATGCGAGGCAGGAAATTACTATGGCAGAATATCTCAGTGTGCCTAGACGCTGCAGTCTTCGGCGTGGCGCAACGATACCTGCTGGTGCTAGAATGAATGGTGTTTCGAACTTGTCGAATGTCACGAATAAAGCACACACGCCTAGGGCCCCCATAGACGGCCACCGGAAGGACGAGCTGGGCTTGGCGTTGGATGCAGTAATCTTCCAAAAAGGTAGGGAGTGGGTAAGTAGGCTTGATGAGTGGGCTGAGAGGTATGGACGACGGAAACCCAGCTGTATCAACGTAATTTTGATGGTGTCGATTGGGCGCGAGTCCAAGCGATGGAACCAATCCGAGACAACGTGAAATGTGTGCGTTCCTTGACATGGAATACGCCTACGAAGGAACTCGTTTATTGAGAGTGTATGATCGAATTGACACGAGGCAGCAGGGACGCCGATATCGTCAACAGTCAAAGATGCGGTAGGCTTCAAGGAAGGTTTACTTAGCGCAGATGGGCAGGTAGGGCCGGTGGTGGGGTTAACACATAGATAAGGGGGCTGCCTAGTAGGTAAGAAGAGCAGTATTGAGGCCGATAACGAAATGAGCAGCGTATTAGGTGAAAACGGCGATTTTGAGAGGCAGTGTGTATAAGTAAGGCTGCGTTCTGGGTGAGAACAGCGGTTTTGAGGCTGATAACGGTAGGAGGGAGATTTCGAGGCCGCTGGATGAGAATGGAATGGGTTTTCGAGACCTGTAGAGGAGCGGCTTGCGTGGGGCGGGGCGGTGGAGTCGTGATTTTGAGGTGACAACGACGATTTCGAGGTAGGCGTGTGTCCTAGGAGAGAATGGAGGTTTAGAGGCCGATAACAGAATAGCACATGGGTGCTAAGGCCTGCTAAGGAACAGGCTGCGTGTTTGAGTGGGCAATGTCAATGATGCAGATAGGAATCAGTTGATGCCGGGAAGTCTCTAATGGCATTCGGATTTGTTGGGTTCGAGCGAATGAATGGGGGCACTCACCTTTCAGCATTTCATCTGTGGTAGTGGCCTTGGACACCCAGATTCCACTGCGAGCATCGATATCGCCAGAACGTGGCGGGTGCAAAGGGGCGCCAGTTGGCACTTGTTTGTTACTGACAGTTATCTTGATCGATTGATCTTGTCGTCTCTTGCACTCAATCCAGCATGTTCTGCAGCTGCTCGATCTGCTTTGGCATTAGCCAGAGGCCGCTGAGCAGGAAGACTATACAAGGCCACCTCAGGCGCGACCGGGAACTGGTTCTGAATCACGAACACGACCCGACTATTTATCAATTTCTTCTGGATTGTATCCAGGCAAACAAGGCGTTACTTGAGCAATCGAAACGAACCCGGGCACCTAGTATGCATCTACCGCCAGTATTCCTACAAGCGAAACTTACTCCTTCTGTAGAATCTCGGCCTATCGATGACTACGGTAGACATTCATCTGTTGACCAATCTATCATCAATTCATATGGTATCACAGCAATGGATGTGGATGATAGCGGCGATCCCCCGACCGCTCTTAGTATGTCAATAGAACTCATATCTGCTGAGTATGGCTGACCTTATATGTATCTAGCGGGTGGGTCCACTTTGATCTATACTCCCCCTCAATACTGCGGCAGACAAAGGAGGAAGTATTTCACTTGGTGCTAGAATATGGATTCCATCGGGCGAAATACTCTATGTTTCGTCTGTTCCGGTGGAATTAATATTGCAATAAGTGGGATTCGTGACCCTTTGTCTGTTCAATATGCATTTGAGATGGGGGAGCTACCTGCGCCGTAAGTGGAACACTAAATGCTTGCCCTTTTACCAGATAACAATAACAGCCAATCGGGCGGACAGTTTGAAGGTATGAGACAGTGCTACAGGATATGCTCACTATTAATGCTAACCCGTAATACCAGAAATCGAGGAGGAAGAACCTGAGCTTCTGCATGGAATTGCGGTCAGGAATACCAAGGTTCCCTTTCTTGACCAGGTGAGTACTAACTTCTAAGGCTCAAGAAGGCTACGAACCTGTCTGATATTTTTGATAACTTTTCAGGTGGATGTCGAGGAACTTCCGGTGAATGAAGATCCATATTATGTGAACCCCATTCAGTTTGACACAGAGGACAACACCCCAGACTCAGAGACTGAGAGTAGCACCGAAGGTGGAGATGAGGACCTGGAGAATTCTGACCATGAAGAATCATCTTCGGGCAGCAGTGGTGATGATACAGATGATGATGATACAGACTTGGAATTGCGTGCAGATTATGAAGCTGAGGCACAGTTTCTGCTTCCGCCATCCAAGAAAGCCCTTCATGCTGAAATTCTTGATGAATATGAAGTGGAGCCAAAGTCTCCATCTTATGCTGGCTCCGAAACAAGTGCAGATCATGAAGCTGAGGCAGAGGCCTTGCTTCCACTGTCCCAGAAAGCCCTTCGTGCCAAAATTCTTGATGGATACAAAGTGGAGGCAAAGCCTCCGTCTTTTGGAATCCAGCCAGTTTCATTAACAAAAGTGCAAATTCATAGCCTAAGTCAGTGGGTTGTTTTCCAACTCACAAACAGCACTCGCCGTGCCCATGAGGCCTACTCCAAAGTGCTCTCAGCAGCAATTGGGGAGCCAGTAATGAGTATTGATCGGTGTCGTAGACTAGCACAGAAAATCACAAACTTCATGCCAAAGTACATTCCCATATGCCCAGGAAAATGCATAGCATTTACAGGAGATCATAAGGATAAAATTGTTTGTGACTTTCTTCGTAAGCAAAAGAAAGGGCCCCTTGTGGCTTGTGGCAGAGATCGGAATCTGCCTGGGACTACAAAGCCAGCTGCTCAGTTTATGGTACTGCCGATAGTTCCTATCATTCGGTCCATGTTTGCAAACTATGAGAAATCAGATCTTTTGCGGTATCGGGATAGGCTTGTTAAGGCTGCTATTGAGCTGTTATGCAAGGGCAAAGATGTCAAGTATTCAGACTATGCAAATAGTAAAACACATATGGATCATATCATGAAGCAGGGTCTGTTTAAAGATGAATGTGATATGCTCTACATCATGTCTGTTGATGGTGCTATGCTCACTCTAAAAAAGCAATCTGATTCCTGGTTTCTGATTTTGATCATTCTCAACTTGCCACCTGAAATAAGATATCGTGCAGAGAATGTCATTACTGTGTTTTCAACACCAGGTCCTGAGCCACCTGGGGATCTCAGCACATTCATGTATCCTGTTGTGCAGGAGCTACTGCAAATAGAAAATGGCATTTGGATTTGGGATGCATTCCGATCAGCATATATTATACATCGTGCTAGTGCTGCAGGTCATAGTGCTGACCAGCCAGGGCAAAATAAGAACAATGGCCACCTTGGAATCAATTCTCTGCATGGAAACTTCTTCAATTTGAAGTTGATTGGGATGAGATCAAGTGCCAAGGGCTGCAAAAGAATCTACTGGTGTGTTACTGTACCAGAGGGAGCCAAGAAACTCAACCCAGGCAGGCCTGACTATGATCTTGACAATTTGCCTGAATTTACAGACAAGGATTATTGGAATGCAATAGAGGAGCTAGAGCAGGCAGAGGATGAGAAGACACGCAAACACATAGTAAACAAGTATGGGATTGTCAGACTTCCTTTGCTAGGAGCATTTAAAACATATTCCTGGCCACAGTTCTTTTTCTCTGATCCATTCCATTTGTTGTATGAAAACAATATGGCCAACTTTTGGGATTTATGGACTTCCATTACCAATTCAGATGAGGTTACACACCTTTCTGTTGAACAAGCTACAATTTTTGGACAAGAAGTAACTAAGTCTATGGCAACAATACCAGCTGTATTTACAGGACCAGTCCGTGATCCACACCTTAAGCGAAACACTCAGTATAAGATGTTTGAGTGGAAGGCCTTGACTCACTGGCTGACAATTCCTATTCTTTTGGAACTTGAGATGCCTATGGAAGTTGTTCGTAATTTTGCTCGCTTTGTCAAAATAGTCAATTTTGCCATGGAAATTACTGGAAGGACAGAAGATGACCTGACAACAATCCGCAAGGAGATTGTCATATTTCTGAATGAATTCCAGGGGCTGTATGTAGATGATGAAACAAAGGCATCAAGGATGCGCCTTTCTATGTTTCATCTGCTATACATACCTGAGCACATCCGGTGGAATGGATCCTACCGTATTGGCTCACAGGGTACACTTGAAAGGCATATTGGTGTTTTGGAGCACAGAATTAGGTCAAGAAAGGAGCCATTTGTCAATTTGGCCAACAAGATCTATGAAGACCAATTAGTAAAAAATCTTTTGCATTATTATCCATCACTTGGTATACCTGTAGACCCTCCAAAGCCTCGTGCACCTACAGGAAAGGTCCACATCCGGAAAAAAGAAAAACAGGACAACAACTCAGTTTATAGCCAGCACTTAAGGGCAGTGTGTAAATGGTTGAAAGTGAAATATGACACAGATATAAATTGGCTGGAGAGGTTTGGCAAAGTGCCTTTGCCTAGTGGTGTATATCTTCGAAGTCGACTTAATGAATCAGGAAGCAAACAAGGTCAAGGAGTTTCAAGATCAGCAAAATATTTCGAGGTAAAGATCTAATCCACACTGTAATGATGCAGAACACTGAGTCAATTCACAGGCAGTTGAACATGGAAGACAGGTGTTTGGGGAAGCACTGTCCTTCTATGAGGATACAATCAGGAATGTGCTGCTGGTTGTCTATCATCCCTTCATTGATGTGGAAACCCACTGGGACGCTGTGACATATGGAAAACAAAGCAACACATTGGAGGTAATGAAGGTTGAGTCAATAAACAACCCAATTGGCATATCGTATGGAAAGCAGAAGCGGATTTACATTTATAGAAAACACTCAGCCATGTCAGTATATGATGGGGATATGTAATTGTAGTGTAGTTTGAATGTATGAGGCTGGCTTCTGCTATTTTTGAATAAGTAATAATGTATTCCCAAAGGTTGGCTGAAACTGAGGGAGCAGATAGTATTTTCCATTCATAAAATAAGGTATGTATACACCATGTTCACAATGCCCTTTATGTTAGGATTCTGAGGAGGAAGCATAAAGGTTTGGTGAGCCGTTCATAACGGGGATGGAATCGAGTGCGGTCACCATGTTAGGATTCTGAGGAGGAAGCATAAATGTTCAGTGAGCTGTCGATAACGGGGATGGAACCGAGTGCGGTGGTCATGTTAGGATTCTGAGGAGGAAGCAAAAAGGTTTGGTGAGCCGTTCATAACGGGGATGGAATCGAGTGCGGTCACCATGTTAGGATTCTGAGGAGGAAGCATAAATGTTCAGTGAGCCGTCGATAACGGGGATGGAACCGAGTGCGGTGGTCATGTTAGGATTCTGAGGAGGAAGCGAAAAGGTTTGGTGAGCTGTCTATAATGGGGATGGAAACAAGTGCGGTCACTATGTGAGCACGTTGCGCTCTCCCACATGTTCGGGTGAAGTTCACCTGAATGGCTGAACAACACCTGAACAACACCTGAACAACACCTGAACAGAATCTGAACATTGGCTGAATTTCTCCACCAAAACTCTTTTTTTTGGTTCAGATTTTGTTCAGGTCACCTGAATTGTTCACCTGAACATTTGGTGAATTCAGGTGAATTTGACAGGTAATGTTCACCTGAATGTTAGGTGAATTCAGGTGGAATACATTAGTACTACTTCTTGTTGCAGGAATTCTTGAATAATGGCTCCTTTTAAGTGGGAAAACTGTTCAAAGAGGTCAACAATACTTCTTCCTAAGAATATCTTTTACTCTGAACACTGTTCTACTAACAAATAGTATATTGTTATAGTGGGAAAATATCACCCAAAATAGAAGTTGTAGAGCCATCTTTTCTGACTCTGCCGGTGTAGATAGCATTGTGAGAACTTGACTTATTAGTGAGAAGAATGTAAATTACTTGAAAAAACAGGGAAAGTTTTCAGTTTTCTTACTGTATAGACTGTTTAAGAGGTCTACTATGTTTATCAGCAGTTGTTTTGTCAATGCTAAACACTCATTATGCTGAAGAAAGAGTTTCCTGACGTTCCCACAGTAACAAGAATTTTCCCATGGTCAGTATTAAACTTAGTGAATACTTTTGGGAAAGACCAAGATACTTTTTGTAGGGTATATCAACCTGGTTATGTGACTGTTTGTAGAATTCTCATGAGCTACTTTCATTGTTCCGCAGTAGTTGATAGAAATAGTAGAGTCACATAGAAATGACACCATGGATGACAACCATATTGATGAGACCATATTCAGGTGTTGTTTGTATGTGGTTCAGATGATGTTTGGGTAATGTTCAGGTGATGTTCAGATGCTGCTCAGATGACATTCATCTGACATTCAGATAGAATTTGGATGATCTCTGTTCACCTGAACATCACCTGAACATCATCTGAACACCATCTGAACATTATCTGAACCTGAACAAAGGCTACAAACAGAATCTGAACATTACCTGAACATTTGGTGAAATTCACCTGAACAGTATCTGAACAATACCCGAATACCTGAACATCACCTGAACGTCAGATGAACATGTGGTGGACTGCAACATACACCACTATGTTAGGATTCTGAGGAGGAAGCGTAAAGCTTTGGTGTACCGTTCATAACGGGGATGGAATCGAGTGCAGTAACCATGTTAGGATTCTGAGATGTTGGATGGCCACAGGCATGTAGACTTTATGTTTGCCATGTTCTTTATTTCTGTGATGGGGATGTGACTGCCTCTTGTACCTATCCATCCAATAGGTTCATTTGTCATTCCCTAGCTTGCATAGTGGCAGTTGATACTTCCTGTTCATTCAGTATCTTTCTCCCCCCCTTTTCTCCCCCTTGATCACATGATTCTCTTTCCTCCACCGCTGGGCGCTCTGCTTTTTTCAGACCACTCCCTCTCGACCTCTTAACCAATGTCTGAATACTCTTTCGACGGACGACGCCTCCGGCGGCCTCTTCCTGCCTCAACCGTCTTCCACGGCGGCTCTACGACGGGTGCCGTTCCCCGTGGCCTCCCTGCGTACGGTCCTTGGGTCGAGCCCGGCCTTCCTCGTACTCAGGCTTTCGCCCCCCCTCGGGACGAGTCGTTACCCCCAGAGCGTGTCTTTCACGCCCCTCCTCAGCGAATCGCCCATCCTATTCAAACGCCAACGCGAAATCACGCTCATGAACACTTTGCCCTCGAAACACAGGACTTCTGCACCCCGCATTCTGCCAAGGCTTTGCCCCCAGCCGACTCCTATGGCGCTGCTCCCTTTCCATATCAAACAGATCCCAGCAACTCGGCGCACTACCCCTCTGGTCCTCCTGCTGCCCCCGCGCGATGATATGAAGAAACTACTGCATACCATAGTCAGCCGGACGCGAACTATGCCTGGGAGGAGTTCATCATCCTGCGGCGCAGTGTCCTCAAGCTTCAGGACAAGGTCGCGCAATTGGAAGAGCTAGTAACTGAATTGAAACAGTTTCAGTTTAACATGCCGTCACGGTGCGTTGGCTCTGCCTTGTCCCTGTACGAACTAACACCTTGTCCCATTCCAGCTCACATCTGTGTACTTCATCCCTGGGTCCCAGCGACTCTATTTCGCGATCGGGTACCACTTTGGGGATTGACGTAGATGACGAGGGCGAAGACTTACGGGCCGCTTACAGTGTCTACCTGTCCCAGGGCGACCTTGTTGAGAAACCCCCAAGCCTGCCGGACACCGTGCTCTGGACATTCAAATCTGCCCAAGAAGCGGGGTCGGCAGCTGGTCTCAGCGCCACTAACTCCTACCGCCCGTCGTTCAACAAAGCCCTTAGGGACTCCAAAGGCCAGACATTGGATGCGGACTTAGTCAAGCTTATCAAGAGGACCGCCGCCACTTTGGCCAGTCGAATTCTTGCACGCCACCCGATAGACAAGGTCGCAGTCAACGTTAGGCATATCTGGGAGTATTACCGAAGCAGGTGCCCGTGGCTCTGGTATGGCTCCATCGTATTGCTTGAGCAGCGGCACAAGGAAGTAGGTCTCTGTTCCGCTCACTGGAAGGCAGACCATCTGCTCGGACAGTCTGTCCTAGGTCTCAGGCAGAAGGCGGCCAATGCAACGAAAAAGCAGTCCACTGGCGAGCTCGCTAGCATCCTCGGTAGCGACGACGAACAAACTCTTGACGTCGTTTTCATCTCGCCCAAGAAAGCCAAACGGCCCGCAAACCCTCTCTCGCCATCGAAATCAGGCCCCTCAAAGCGAGGTCGAACCGGTAAGTGATCCATGGGTGAATAATGGTTCCATCAGCAGTACTAATTCAATTTCTTAGAAGCCTCCAAGCAGAAGCCCCCCAAGTTGATGTTCAAACAGCCCGCCAGGCCATTGCACATGGCTACCGTCACCACCGCACCAGCAATGCAAGGCAGCCCGCCCGCCTCTCCCTCTCGTGCCACCTCTCCCTCTCGCGCCGCCTCTCCCTCTCGCGCCGCCTCTCCCTCTTGCGCCGCCTCTCCCTCTCGCGCCGCCTCGCCCGCCTCGACTGAGAATCAAAGTTCGATGGGCATGTTAGGCACAAATACGGCAACGTCGCCACCATCGTCTCTAGTTGACGGCCCTCTCTCCTCCCATGTGTCCTCTGCCAAGGGCTCCCTGTCCATGATATCAACGGATGATGGCTGTAAGTGATCTAACCTGCTTTACTACTCAATAACTCACAAGCACGAAGTTGAAAATCTTCGTCGTAGGTTGAGCCCTAGATACCCTATTCTAACTAACATGATTTCTAGGAACCCTCCAAAGCCCTCAATTCAAATTTCCTGCCGATGTAATTGATCCTGCAATGGAACTTTTGGCCGGAATGGAACAATCGCCCACGCACGGCGGCCATGGCTTTCCGTCGAGTAACACGATTGCCCTCTTGAAGCGGGTCCAGACTGCAGATCCCGCCTATATCGAGAACGAAGATGATTTACTAGCATCCTGGGGACACTGGCAGTGGTCGGGTGGAGATCTCACCATCAGCGGCGCCATCACTTCATGGCAGGATGTCGGCAGTACAGAGACGGCCCGCGAGCTCATTGCCGCTGCGCTAACAACCTGCAAAGCTGCCCGTTATCTATGTTTGAGTGTCAGTCCAAGACCTCAGAGCTATCTCAGTGATAGCTACTTGGACCGGATAATATCGACGCTCTACGATGTTTGGAAGCAATCGGGAGGGGTAATACTATTGTTCATTCAATTTTACCCAGCAGAACTAACTTCCTTCTAGCCCTTCCCCAAAGGCAAGGCTCGGGCAGCCATGGTAGACCCCGCACAACCCATGGCCATCGAGCCTGCGCAACCTACTGCCGCAGGTACTGGTAATGATGGCTCTGGTGACGGGATGGGGCCCTTGGCAGAAGATGATGACACTCAGCTCGCGGACGACGCTTCGAAGCAATTGCAGGCCGACGTTGATAGTTTACTTCAAAGTAAACTAATGGTGAGTCTACTAATTTCATCATGCATATCAACGTTCTCACTCGACGTCCTCAGGCGCTTACTGTCAATGAGCTCAAGACTTTGGTTGCGAAGAAACAGATCCCCAACGTCAGCAAGCTGAACAAGGCAACATGTAAGTTGCCCTCCCCAGGTTCCTTTTTAGTGCTAATTCCCGTGAAAAACAGGTGTATCCTCCCTTGTGGCGCTCCAGCAATCTGCTCGTCCAACAATCACTGATCTTGACGAAATTCTTGCAAAGGTAGGTCGTCTTCTACTCCCGATTAACATGAACGCACCAACTCTCACAGCGTGGTCCCAAGAAGTCCAAGTCCAAATCCGCCAAATCCGCCGCCAATCAGCCTGCCGCCGCCCCGCCGAGTTCTTCTGCCGATGTGTCGCAAGACCTCACGCAAGTACCCCGTATCATCGCTAGCACCGCCAGCTTGGGCTCTTAATATTCGCAAGCCGCAATTCCCCCCTACCCCAGCTTTTTCATACTCGCAAGGACCATTACGACTTTCAGCCACCACCTTACTTACTATTTTTCCTTACTTATAATGACCGATTTATGACCTTACTTTACCTTCCGATGACCTTGTTCTTCCATTTTATGATCTTGCTTCGCCATTTTTTTACTTCGCCTTACCGTTTGTATACTCTACATGACATTTAATGACTATCGATGACTTTGTCAATGGACTTGAACTGACCTAAGTGCAACTTGTACTCGTTGCAATAGGACTTAAATTAACAGTTTCGGCTCGACAACCGACCGTGGAAGACTTTTATTAACTGTGGGACAATTACATTCTAAGACACTTTTGACTCCAAACAGATGGCAGAAGACTTATATCGACTTGAATTAACGACCTTGTGTGATTTTGGACGACTGGCTGTGACTGACCCTGACCTTCATTGACCGTAAGATACTTTATTTCGACTGCCACATTGACTCTGAATGTGACTAATATTGACCAATTCTGACTGCCATTGACTGAAGCAGACTTTGGGTGACTCTTGACTCGACGTACTTTGACTTTGGGTGACTTTAAAGGACTTTCGGAGATTGGAACACTAAGTCGAACCATCGGGACTTATCCTGACTTTTCGAGACCGAGTTTTGACGCCAATGGACTAGTTTTGACCTGATTCTTACGATAACCGGGCGGGACCCACAAAATCAAATTCAAGTCAATTATATGTAGAAAAGCCGGTCTAGGTCCGGCGGGGTCCGTCACAGTCGTTATTTTCGACTTAGCCCGACTTCAGCAAAATACTGAGGATCAGATCAGATAGACTGTCGGCTCTTCAAACCTTCATTGGGGACCCAGCAGGGACCATAGTGCCCACCCCATCAGGTCCCCCTGCTACTCCTGGCTGCGTCGGGGTTCAACGTTCAACGTTCAACGTTCAATGTTCGGGTAAGCGAACTAGGAGCAGGTAACGAACTAGGAGCAGGTAACGAACTAGGAGATATATCGAGAATACATTTTGAATAAACCCAGCATAGTTGAGAGGCATAAATATAAATTTTGAATATGAGTCTTAATTACCAGATTACCAAATTAATATGATATGATTAGGCCAGGGCTCAGTGGATCAGTGGATAGGATAGGATGTATATATTATCATATTATCATGCATATATATGACTAGAACTGTAACAGAAATATACCCGATTCGGCATAAGCCACGTTAGCGCTGTATTGTCACACTCATTTAAAGCTACACTCATTAGTTACTCACTATCATTAGTCTAACCTTAGTCCCTCTTTAATTAGTGTATATACTCTGACAGTCTCCTTGGTAGTCTACTATAAAGCTACGAACCCTATGTACGTTGTAGGGCAGCGTTGCACAATCAGGACGACTTACCCCTGTCATCCCCTGTGTGACCTCGTGTGACGCGACACTTCCCTATCCGGTTGTCTCCCGCCACAAGAACCGACCACGTCCATTGTTGATTGCCGTAGTACACGAAACGAAATGCTGTTGTTGTAAACAGATCACAGGATGCGCGGAGACGCGAAATGACACGCGCTGCGAACGGATGCGACATGAAGACTATGAAAACCGCGGAATCACTCACCTTCCCTCCCCCCCTCTCTCCCACCAACGCTATTCACGCCTTGACAACAGCGGCCACGGCCGTATTTGGATCTTTGTGGTCGTCGTGCGCAACAGTAGTAGGAGTAGTAGTAGTAGTAGTAGTAGTAGTAGTAGTAGTAGTAGTAGGAGGAGGAGGCGTCGCAGCGTGGGTTTTGCGCGCATACCGACTCGCGTGGCGGATCCGCTCCCCGTACTTCCAGAACAAAAACGGCCTGCGCACGAACACAGAACAAAATCGCATCAGCACAGATTCGGGATGCAACACCATGCGAGGAATGTGGAGAACTCGGAGGTGCAGGGGTAAACGTGCACGATGGGCGGAGGAAAAGTAAAAGTCGACTACTAAAAGAGAAAGAGACTCAGACTCGGACACTCACGCGGGACACCCAATAGCGACCGCCACCGCCGCCAATATCGTATCGCCCTTCCCGAACCCGAGCGCGGTGTACATGCGCGGCGCGAAGAGCGGGAACCCGAAGCCCGCGACGGAGCGCAGGAAGGAGACCGCTGCGAGCGCTGCGCGATGGATGGTGTGGCGTTAGCGTATTCTGAGCCGAACGCGAACGCGAAGGGGAAGGGGAAGGGGAAGGGGAAGGGGAAGGGGAAGGAGGAGGGGAAGGGGAAGGGGAGGGGAAGGGGAAGGGGAGGGGAAGGGGAAGGGGAAGGAACGCACCAGACGCAGCGTGCAGGCTGAACGTGTCGACGACGTATATCTGGATCGACTGGAAGTTCAGGATGATGCCCGCGCCGATGAGTGCTGTGCCCTACACCAAATTCGCCGCATTAGTATTCGCGTTTTTCGGTGGAGAGGGAGAGGATAAGGGGGAAATGGAGTAGAAAATTGGGGGGGGGGGGGAAAGGGAAGAAGAGAGACGCACGATATCGGGGACGATCCAGTGGACGTGGTTCTGCGCCGTCCAGCCGTTGATGAGGAGGCCCGCGGGGAGGAGAAACGTCCCCGGCACCATCGAGGCTACGCGATTCAACGGGTATGAGTGATCGACCTCGAAGAAAAAAGAGGGAAGACACAAGAGAAGTCGGAGCAAGATACGCAGCAGAACGCCGCCAGAACCCAACAAACCAGTTAAGACGAGTGAATGTGAATCCACCACTCACGCAAGCGATACTCCGGGCGGCCGCTATCCCCGTTCTTCTTCTTCAAGTACGCGTACACGCGGTCCATGGCGCGCGCGTTGAACTGCGAGGCGCCGGTGAGGCCGACGCCGATGGCGATGTAGTGCAGGCCCGCGATGCCGGGGCGCTGGTGGTACGTGCCCTCGAAGATGAGGGGCATGGTGGTGAGGAATACTGGGATAAGGGGATGGGCGTTAGCTTTCACGTTTGCGGGTTGCAGGCCACGAAGAGAATGGGGGAAGGGGGGAAGGGGGGAGAGAGGGAAGGGAAGGGGGGAATAGAGAGATGGGGAAGGGAAGAGAGAGATGGAGAAGGAAGAGGGACGTACGGTAGAAGACGCCGTAGATGAACGCCATGTATACGCCCAGAACTTGGAGGATGGGCTCGCTGAAGAAGAGCATGAACGGGCGCGTGAGGGACTTGAGCATGATCGACTGCCACCTATCCATATGCAGGTTAGTATCACACGCACATGTTGTTGTATTCCCCCTCGATGTGGTGGTAGGGAGGAGAGAGAAGGAGAGACGTACGTGCGGTCGGGGGTATCGTATATCGTCCTTACTTCTTTGTACTCGCGCAGGCGGTTCTCCAAGTCCATCGTCTTGCGCACTTTCGCGGCCTTTTGTTCGAGGAGCACCGGTGCAAAAGCTGTTCATTGTGGTTAGCGAAAAGACCCTAGGATGCCGGGAGGAAGAGACGAAACGCACTTTCACGGAGGAAGAACAGCCCGGATATTTGGATCGCGACACACACTATGCTCGTGGACCAGAACTACGATACATGCGTCAGCGCGTCGAATCGAACCGTCATACCCTAATGCTCCCCCGACGTAGCAGAAGGGCACGGGAGGTGGGGACGGGGCAAGGTGGGGAGACTTACCACCCAGCGCCACGTCGACTTCTCTGCGATCCATGCGCCCGCGACGGGTCCAATCACCGGTCCCAGCAGCGGGGCGAGGGAGTATATCGCGATGGCCTTGCCCCGCTCGTGCGTGGCCCATGTATCTGATATCACGCCTCCTCCGATCTGCAAGCAAGGCAACGTGATTGTTGAGGGTCTGAGAAGAGCGTCGCGTAAAGAGAAAGGAGAGAAGGGGAACGCACGGAGAGGGGGGCGCTGCCGCCTAGTCCAGAGAGGAAGCGGAACGCGATGAGCTGGCCCGTGTTCTGCGCGAAGCCGCAGCCGATGTTCCAAGCTGCATACAAACGGTAAAGGGAAAGGCTTTAGTTAGCATCCAGCATACGTCATTGGGTATGTCGATAAAGAGGGGTGGGGGGGAGAGCGAGAAAGCGGGGAAGGGGGCGGGGGAAGAAAGGAAGGGAGGGAAAGACTCACCGAGGTAGAAGAGGTTCGAGATCTGTAGGACACGCGACCGGCCGAAGATCTCGCTCAACGGTCCGAGGAACTACCAAAGGGATCAGCGCTCAGCCAACTGGAGATACAGAGGCGGAGGGGAAACGTGGAAGAAGTTACGCACGAGTGGTCCGATCGCTACAACACGCGTTAGCACACGTACACCACACGCACACAGAGAGCAAGTTCACCATATGCCAGCACAAACACCGAGATCGTCAGCGCCTCCACTGCACTGCTGTGAATCCCAAAGTCGCGCGACACCGCACCGGCGGCGGGCGCGATCATGGACGACGAGACGGGGCTGATGAAGGTGAAGGACGACACGACGATCGTCGCCGCCCATTTCTTCTTGTACGACCAGCTGCACAAAACGCGATGAGAAATACATGGATCATTGTGATTGGGACGCACTTTTTCGGGTTGAGCGGATCGTTGGGGCCGTCCCAGTCCACGATCAGCACCTCCTCTTTCGCGTCCTCCTTATCCTTTCCGTTCGCTTCTCTCACATCTTTCCCGTCCTCGGTCTTGGTTCCTCTTTCGCTGTTGTCGTTCGTTGGCTTATCGGCACCGTTATGATTGTTGACCGTGAACGACGTGCGCCGCGAGTCATCCACATCGCGCGGTTCGGAAGATAGTGCAGAGCTCTTGGTAGCCGGGCGGCTTGCGGGGGTATTGGACATAAGTTGCAGTCACGTGTATGTTCGTGTTGGACGTTAACGTTTGCGAGGGGAGCGAGTGTTCGAGTTGTAACGTTGGCGTCAACGCGTTCGGGTTGGTTGTGGTTGTGGTGGTAAAGGGACGTAGAAGACGTAGTAAAAGGGGAGGAAGAGGCGGGGGAGTTTACGAAGCTCGAACACGTTCCAGGTGAGACTCTCCACATATAAACATAAACTTCGCCCTTGCCGTTCCCCGTCCGCTTGCCGTCCGCGTGAGTCAGACAAACGCAGAACCTTCAAATTCTCAAACACATCCCAAACATACGCATAGGCGTGGAAAGGGGACGGCAGTCTGGCAGCGCATCGGACGCGCTGACGACGCCTGAGGCCTGATGACACTCGACGGTGCGCTAATCCGATCAAAAGCGCACAAAGACTAAAGTCGGTTGTGCGGTACGGCGATTATACTTATACCTACTTATTTTTAGATGTGCGCTGTTTTTAGAGTGCGCGGGCTTGGGCTTTAGGCGCCCGAACGCGGAAGTATATCCCACCAACGCGCAAGTGCTCTCCGCCGCTCGAAGCTCGTATAAGCCCGCGAATGATATAAGGAACAAGGCGTCTCCATGGGCTCTAGTGCGAGAGTACTAGCTAGGTGAGTAAGCTCGCGGCGTAGCCGTCTACCCTAGTACACAGTACATCCGACTCACATTTACACCTGCGAGTATGTAGACTGTGTGAATTCAAGCAGACGATTGTTACGGTGGGCCGATCGTATTACACAAGAGTTGTAGGTATGGATACGCCTTCCAACATCCCGTCCTCTCGTTCTGTTGTCCTCGATCTCACTGATCGTCCCGCGCAATCCGTCTATCAGCGTAGCTTGCAAAGGGTCGTATCACGCAGCGTCTTCCCGTCGTCGGTCACCCTCCGTGCCCCCTTATGCAGGCCGACGGATATCGTACTCGTCGGACGGCACAATGTCCCCAAATTTCGGATATTCATTCTGAATGTCGGGCGCTGTACGCACTGTACGCAGCTCGTTTCCGCTGTTGTACTCAGCAGCAGGATCCCGGCTGCGCCACGGCGGTAAAGTGGTAAACTGGGATAGAGGCTAAGCTTGACCCTCCTCGCGAGAGTGCGGTTTGAACGGCGCGCAGTACGTATCGGGATTCGGATGTACATGTACGTCCTTGCGCTTCGTTCGGTGCTTATACTCGCACTCGCACTTGCACTTGCACTTGCACTTGCGCTTGACAGGGCGCGCAGGGGCCTTGCTTGAGACAGTGAGACAGTGCGACCCCCGCGGCGTAGAGCGATGCTGGTGCTTACGCTGCATCCTCCGATGTAAATTGCAAATGCGAGTGCAGGTATTTTAGGATTTGGGATTTAGGAGGAGTTGGGCCGATGCGCATTGTATTGATATTGATGGTGCTGTAAATAGGGAGAGGGTATTAGGTAACGGTTTTTTGACCACGCTGTGGATCATTGGATGGAAATGAGGTGAGAGTGCGTTGTAAGAGTAAGGATGCTGGTTGAACGGCGGATGGCGTTCGTGGGGCATTGTGCCGATAGAACTTTCCAAGTGTATCTAGGCGTAAAGAAGGGGCATGTAGGCTCGAGACAAACTCAAAATGGACTCAAAGATGAGATGATGGAGGTTTCTAGTACTGCGCACACTCTGTGGCGTCTAGCGACATGTCCCTTTTCGCGCGACATGAAGTGCAAGGCGTTGGTGGAGCAAGCTACCCAGATATACTGAAAGACAGGAGTCCCTCCTGGCTCCTGACACCATCGGCGCGCCCGACCGTGCTCACCCTCTTCGAACCTCCCCACATACCATAGTGCACGATAGCTGATCATCAGTAAACTAGCACTATGGCGTTACCTCTACCCGCTTCCAGTGGTTAGTTCCTTCCGCGTCAAATGGACTTCGAGGGCTGAAATAATGGATGTAACGAACGAAGACTGGGAGGGCACGGACGAGAAGGACCGGGCAGAAGAGCAGGAGGCGAGGATGGGACATCGACGTGGGTGGGATTGATGGAGGGCCGTCGTCACTTGCTCTTGAAGAAGGCCGAGGGCCTAGCAGGACGGCGAAGGCGCAGATTCAAAGCTCTGCAGCCTGAGAGGTGGATAAATAGGAATGTCACTACTAGACCTGTTCCACTTACCACCCCTGGCGACTCCACCCTCCACCAAACGCACAAACGCGAAAGGGCTGGCTGCATCTTTGCATCTTCGCATCTTCGCAGGTTGCAGGGCTCTTGGTTGTAAGGATGCAAACGCCGATTCCGCGAACGCCGGGAGTCACAGAACGCAGATCGGATCCATAGGACAAGGACAAGGACAAGGACAAGGACAAGGACAAGGGCGAGGGCAAGGACAGAACTGGCGCAGCTGCGTCGCCACGGTGTAGTCTCAGAGTTGGAAAACAACAATAGTGTTGGTGAGGGAAGCCGTATGGCTACAATTCCGCGACGTCGATTGGTATGAGCAGGAAGAGACCGTTGCGTCCTGCGGGCGGCTATGTCTCTAGTCTCTAAGTCTGCTGACGATGTCTGACGCCTATTATTAGACGACGTCCTCATATTCTACGCCCTTCGAATCATGCACTTGGCGGGTCTATTCCCTCCCTGGGCTACGCTCCTCGAGTCACGTCGCGCTCGGATTCCATCCGGCTCAGCTTGATCCCGCTCGCCCTCTCTGCTGGAACGCCCGCAGGCGTGTCGCGCCTTCCAACACTCCCACCGCCGCTCTCATCTCATCAACTCACTCCACCGCTCCGGCAAGCACACTCACTCACTCACTGAACCCAGCTTGTGCAAATCCAGGTGTTGTCTGCGACAGTGGTGTACTGCGGCACCGGCGCGTCGCGGACATACGTCGAGTTCGCTCCTCCTCCTCCTCCTCCTCCTCCTCCCCCTCCTCCTCCCGTGTCCGATCTACGACTACTCAATCCACATGGTGGCAACCTCGCATCGCATGCGCCGGATGTGTGTTGTGTCCCGCACACACATCCTCGGACGCACTTTCGCGATCGTGGGCGACCCCTCACGGCCTCAACCTCGTAGCGGCAGGGTGTCGACACTCTGAATGTAGGGAGAGCGCGTGTACGCCACCCACTGAGCGTGCTGACCCTCGCCCCAATATCTGTTGCCAAAGAACCCCGGAGGCGTCATCGTCATCGTGCCCTCGAGGAGGTCGACATTGGAATTGGACGAGGCATCATGCATCAGCGCACGCCAAATCGACGCGATCGACGCTTCAGGAGGGATACCCGCAGAGCAACTGGCAGGTACGCACCCTCAAGCCCGCTCTTGCTCTGCTCTCGAGTGTGTTGTCCACCGGGTCTGCGCCCACACCCTTCCCTGCGAATGAGGCGTCCCAGTTGACGCTGACCGCTGTTGCACCATTCGCACCCTACGTCGAATGACGGCCTCGTTCTCTGTCCCGCTCCCGCTCGCAGAGCGCTCAGGATCTCGTCTTGTATGCCCTCTTGGCCCTGATACCCCGCTCCCTGCGCCCTCAATCGAACGCTGGTATGCGACATCACGGTGTCTGCTACATGTCCTACCAGTTTTCCCAGCGTTAGGAGCGATAGAACCACCATCGCCTCGAAAACTAGGACGGTCAGTTCTCACTGACGCGTTGCGGATATGCATGCCCTGAGTCCACAGTCCCTACAGGACCCTGCCCTCCTGTGACCCGCCCCATGGTTTGTTGCGAATGCCGCCGCTATTGCAGACCGCAATTTTACTTTTTGCTTGTACACATGTATCTGCGTATCAGCGTGCAGCGTGTCTTCGTCTTCACGTCTTCGTGTCTTCGTGTCTCCGCCTGCGCGATGACCGATGAGTGAAAAGGGATGCTCGATGAGCGGGCTCGCGAGGACTGTATGAAGATAAAGGGTGCGCACGCGGGTCCGGGTTTGAGTCCGCGCAGGGGGTAGACTGATAGGCGGCGGCGGCGGGGTGAGGGAAGGGTGAGGGTGGCGGTGATGGGGAAAGTCGAGCGTCCGTCGTCTTCATCTGTCGTGCTGTCGTGCTGTCCGGCGATCCAGCGATGATAGATGTGGATGATGGCGTGGTGGTTGGCGTGGTGGGAGGATGGTGGGGTGGTGGATGCGCGCGAAAGAACGAAAGAACTCTACCACCCCAGCTCTATCACGCCAACGCCAACGAAGAAACCGTGCGGGGCCTTGATTGCGGATATGCGTCCGTGGTGCAAGTTGCGGGTTTCGAAGGAAGGAAGGAGGGGGAAACGGGAAACAGGAGGAAGGGGAAATGGAGGAAGGGGAAATGGAGTGGAGGGGGACGTCGGGGACGGAGCTGCATTCTGATGCAATCCGAGATGTGACGGTCTGACGGTCTGATATTGTATTGCGTATTGCGGGGCAGGACGAGCGTGTCAAGCGTGTCAAGTAGAGGAGAGTATAATATAGATGGGGTGGAGTATAGATGGAGGGGAGTATAGATCGGGGCGCCCGCTAGCTGAATGTAAGCAACGCGAAAGTTGGTGATATCGACGGCAGAGAGTACCAGTATTACATAAATAGTATTGATATCGATATCGAGTGAACTTTGAGTGAATGGAGGACGCGCACCGTACACCGTACACTAAGGCCTGGTACGCACGCCCACTTACCGCCGCCACGTCTACACGTTATCTCGCGCTACCCATTAAGATGCTGCATAGTGGTGAGTACGGTGATACGGCGAGACAACGGTGTACGGTTTCTGAGAGGACAGATGGTTAGGTTGGCGCTCGTGAATGACATTTTCAAAAATTTGAAGGTGAAAACGGCAAGCGCCCGCCTCGGCGAATTGGCGAAGGGTGTTGTTTGGCCTAAGCTCTTTGACCAAATAACTGGACTTGAACTGGTACGCTCAACGCGACGGCCTCTCAGCGGAAGACTCTAGCAAGCACACCAAAAGACGAAGGAATTGGGGTTACGCGCGTAAAGTCGGGTGGTTAGTGGTGACGGATGATGGATGAATGGGTGATGAATGACGTGCAGGTGAAGCACTGGGTGAGTGCACGACGCGGAGAAGAAGTGGTCAGTGAGCGACTTATGACGTACGGATATATGTCGAGTGTCTCTGACTCTGCTCACAGATCGACGTCGCCAGTCCTTCCTCTCTCCTCGTCAATCCACTGCTCAGCCACCCCTGCACTCTTTCACTCTTCCATCGTTCTCTCTTCCCAACAGTGCAACCCTGCAGCCCTTCACGTGCCCTCCTCCTCCGACGCACGCACCCTCCTAGGTCTTCGCCGCCGCATATATCCTGCCTGCCTATCCGCCCATACGCACCTATATATCGATATCCTCCCTCGGACACCGCGCCGTCACATGCACACGTCAATACGACCTCTCTCATTACCGCGCATATGCCTCTTCTCCACCACGTCACTTCCCTAGTCCCCGCGCGTCTGCTCGTCTGCTCGTCTGCTCTTCCTCTCTTTCCAGTTGCACTTGCAGTCGCATCACCTTTCCCATCCCTCATCCTCGCTTATTCTCACTCACTTTCGCGTCGCGGACTTGCGGACCTTGCGGGCGTTGCGGCCTTTCAAAATCACGCTTCTACTCTTCTATGCTTGTTCGCTCCAGTACGCCTCGAAGGCATGAAGACGCGAAGGCGTGAAGACGCCAACACCCGACAACCTACGCGCCCACTCCCACTTTCGCCTTCAGGACAGCGCCGTCGTATCCCGCTTGCTTGTTTGCTTGTTTGCCTGCTGTAATGTGTATTCAGCGACGCCGCAACAAGCGATCCGCAACACCCCGACCTGCAGGCAACTCGTGCGCAGCGAGTATGTGCAATGTGCATCGAGTAACGGGTAAGAAGCAACGAGCAACGAGCAGCGAGCACCTCATTAACACCGGAGACCACCATCACGGAGCGGAGGCGGACACGGAGGCGAGGAGGCGAGGAGGCTAGCATTTTCGAGTATCTGGGTGTTCGAGTGTTCGAGTGTTTGGCAAGTTTTCGGGCCTGCAAGTGTTCGAGGTTTCGAGTGTTCGAGTGTTCGAGTATCCGAGTATCCGAGTTTTCACTATTTCGAGGTTTAGAGTGTTCGAAGTTTCGAGCGAGTATCCGAGTTTTCAGTGCTTCGAGCTTTCGGTGCCTCGAGCACCTCGTTGTCAGAGTTTTCGAGTGTTCGAGGTTTCGAGTGTTTACTATTTCGAGCTTTCGAGTTTTCAGAGCTTCGAGCTTTCAGTGATTTAGGTTTTCAGCGAACGACTCCGAGTCGGGGGATGGGCTGCGCGAGAGACTGGGGCGTTTGGCGGGCATGGGGCGTTTGGCGGGCATGGGAATGGGGTAGGGTGCGGGGTGCGCGCGAGACTGGCGCGCGTACGGCTTACTATGGTACGGCGTTCCCCTTTCCTCTCTTTCTTTTTCACAACGAGCTGACTCTCTGAATCCTGTGCACCTTCCCCTCTTCCCCCACACCCCGCCCCTTCCACCCCGCCCCACACGCTACCACACCACACACGCTACCACACGCTACCCCACACCACCACATACCACCACACCACACACGCTACCACCCTTCTTCCACCCTTCGTCGTACGAACGAACGCACAACGCACAACGAACGAACTAACTAACTAACTAACTAACTAACTAACTAACTAACTAAACTAACTGACGGACTGACTAACTGACTGACTGACTGACTAACTAACGCACAACGAACGAACGAACTAACTAACTGACTAACTGACGGACGGACGGACGGACTAACGAAGTAACGGACGGACGGACGGGCTCGCACCCAGCGATCTTCCTTCCTCCCTCCCTCCTCCCTCCGTCTTTCTTCCTCCTTCCTTCCTCCCTCCTTCCTTACTTCCCTCCTCCTTCCCTCCTCCCTCCTCCCTCCTTCCTTCCTTCCTGAACGACCTTCTGTGCCGTACGATCGCATGGTGCACCTTGGCCGTGCCGTACGTTGATCATTCTGCGACGATGAGCCGATGACGCTAAGCGAATGGGACGATGGGACGATGGGTGACCCGCAGCGGTGACGGATATACGCCAACAGTCGCCCGTCCCTTCGTGGCATTTCCCAATAACACACCCACAACCCACAACCCACAACCCACAACCCACAACCCACACCCACAACCCGATCTCCCTGCACCCCACTCTGACACTCTGACACTCTGAACGACGGACGTCTCCGTCTGCGTTCTGCCCCCGCGACGGTTGTGAGTGGAGTTTGTTGGTGGCGGGTTTGGTGGTGGGCGGGATGGGCGGGGAACGGGGAAGGCGACGAGGAATGGGGAAGGCGACGAGGAATTGGGGGAGGGGGAGGGGGAGGGAAGAGGACGGGGCGGGAGGGGAATGGGGCGGGAGGGAAATGGGGAACGGGAACGGGGAAGGGAAGTGGGGACGAGGAAGGCGCTTTTCGCCCGCTTTTGTGAACGACAGAACCGCAGGACACAGGACGCGGGACACAGGATGCATTCGGATATCGGCTAATGCTTGGTGGTTGGGACCAGTGGTATTGGGTAACGGGTAACGGGTGATGGGTGATGCAGATGGGTGATGGGTAACGGGTGATGGGTGATGCAGTATCCTCAAGTTGCTCGCTTGCGTGCGCCGTTTGCGTTATCACCATCACCCATCAACACTCATCGCTCATCGCTCATTACCCACCGCTCAGAACCAAGAACCACAGATCATGGACTGAGAACTACGAACCACCAATGAAGAACTACAAATCACGAATGAAGAACCATGAATCATATCATCGTCGTGACGCGCCCGAAGATAAAGGAACAGCCGAAGTACACGCACCGTATGCCCCCACCGTATACCACCGAAAACGTGAATGCGGTCGGTGATGCGTTATACGTTGTACATCGGGTAGGGTGCTATTCTGTGCGGTTCATTCGGTGGATTCAGTTCATTCGGTTCATTTGGTTCATTCGATTATGAGTATTCGAGTATTCGATTATGATTATACGAGTAGCTAGGAGCGTGGAACGCGGAGCGTTGACCAGCATTGTACATTCGCATTTGAGTATATTCAGGTTCAGTAGGTAGCACGACGAGTAGTATAGCAAGTATCACAACAAGTAATAAGTAACAACTAACAACTAACGAGTAACAACTCACACACAACTAACAACTAACACACAACGAGAAGGGACGAGAAGGAACGGGAAACGGAACGGGCAACGGGAAGCGGGCGCAAATAAGTACGAGATGAGGATGAGTGCGATGAGGTGAGGATGAGGATGAGGGGATATGATGATGAGGAGATACGGGGAAAGTATATGTATTGATTAGTTGAGATGGGAGTATATAGTATGTATTATGTACGTAGGTGGACGATTGTATGATTGGGATAAAAATAAATAAAGAGGGAAGGAAGGGAGAAAGAGGACGGAAAGAAAGGGGGAAAAACGAAAGCAGCCGGAGAAAAGCAAACGCAAACGCAAAAAGCAATCCGAAGGAAAATACCAAATCACCAACTCACCAAACCCCCAAACCACCAAACCGCGTCCCCATATCCCTCATTCATTATGCATCATTCATCACTCACTATTCAGTATTCATGTTCCTCCAGCACCGACGGCGCGCTACCGAACAGGGCTTCGAGGCCGTAGTCACCACCGAACGCGTATCCTCCGGTGAAGTCGAAGCCGAAGAGCTCGAGATCGAGCTCGCGATCGAGTGCGCTGGTGGTGGTGCTAGTGGAGGAGGTGATGGAGGAGGAGGAGGAGGAGGAGGAGGAGGAGGAGGAGGAGGAGGCGTCGGGAGTGGCGTCAGGAGTAACGAGATCGGTGGACCCGAAATCAGAGGAGGTGCTAGTGGTGGAGGCGGCGGAGGTGGATTCGGGGGCGGAATGCGGATCCGCTGCGTCGTCGCCTGGGAGTTCGACGGCGGGATGAGAAGAGGAGGAGGAGGAGGAGGAGGAGGAGGAGGAGGAGGAGGAGGAGGAGGAGGAGGAGGAGGAGGAGGAGGAGGAGGAGGAGGAGGCGGGATTCTCTTCGGCAAATATGGACGCCTCCTCCCACTCATCGTCGTCGTTGTCGTCATCGGAAAATAGCTCACGTCCTTCTTCGCAGCTTTCAACGAGAGGCACCAATGCACGAGTCCCCGCGATAGGAGATAGCCCTTCGCCTTCATCTTCACCGTCACCTTCGAGTTCGAGTTCGCCTTCGAGGCCGCCGTCGAGCTCGGCCTGTTCGGGGGGAAGGTCGTAGTATTCAAGCACGTCTTCGTCATCCGTATTCTTCTCCGACTCTTCCTTTTCCTCCTGCTCTTCCTCTTCCTTTTGCTCTTTCTCCTGCTCTTCCTCTTGCTCTTGCTCCTGCTCTTCGAATAGAGATCCGAGCTCGAGGACAGGAGACGGGGACGGAGACGGAGCGGCGGAGGGGGGCGCAGCGGAAAGCGGAGGTGTGGGGATGTTTCTTGGGTCGTCGGGGTACAGGTTGGCGTAGAGATCGGGGTAGAGATCGGGGTAAGAGGCGGGGAGTGAGGGATTGGAGCTTCCAGCTGAGCTGCCTTCGTAGTGTGGGTAACGAGCGCCATTGAATCGTGCGTACTGAGTGAGAAGATCATTGTTTAGGTTATCGCTGGTCATGTTACGGGGGAGAGGGGGGAGAGGTGAAGGGGCGGCGCTGGGTCGTGAAGCAGAGAAAAGAGGAAGAGGACGTTGGCCGGGATTGAGAGGTGTTGGGACGGCGAGGGGACGAGGTCCGACCGCTGAACGCTGCGCCAGCGCAGCACGGATGGCAGGCAGCCCGCGCTCGCGGCCAAATTCGGCGGGGTAGGTGAGAGGAGGCTCTTGACTGGCATCGACTTGTGTGGATGCACCGCCTCCACCGCCTCCATCGCTTCCATGCGATGACGGGATGCGTTGTGGGTGGACCGCAAACGCAGCGTGAGAGAGGTAGACGTCGTGGCCGGTGGGTAAGGTCGACGAAGACGCGGGGAGGGGAGGAGGGAATGTACGGAACGCGTTCGAGGAGTACTGGGCGGAAGGCTGTTGGGTGGGGTTGCTCATGCTGGATGTCGGAGCGCGGCTCGAGTTTCTGAAGTATGGAAGAGGAGGGGGAGGAGGAGGAGGAGGAGCGAGGCCTTGGGCGGGGTGCACGAACACAGGACGAGGAACGGCGTAAGCGTGCCCATCGAACGCCGATGTCGACGCCCTTTCGCGAAATTGAGATGCCTGTGGTTGTGTTGTGACGAGGGGAGGTCGGGTATCGCTATTCAGGGTCGGGAAGCACGGCTCCTCTCTATTATCCTCGTCGTTTTCCTCGTCGTTCTGATCATCTTCGGCATTCTGACCGTCGTCGACGTCGTTGTCGTGGTCATCGTATTGCTCGGTGTTGTCATGGTCAGTGGGCCTGTTGGGACACGAATGTTCGATATGCCTCTTCACGGAGTCGCCCCTCGACAACCTAAACGCCAAACGCCGACAAAAAAACACCAAAAAAACAAAGAACGAAAAAACACATCAGCACGTCGTACAAGCGCCTCACACGAGAATGGACATGGACGCACCGCTGGCTGCAGAGGGGGCACACCGTCCCCGCGCCGCCGTGGCGCTTCGACCTGAGGTGGCGCGTGAGGCTCGCCTTCTTCAACACCACGTCGCACGTAGCCCAGGGGCACGCGACGTACCCGTGTGGGACCGCCTTGGTGAGGGGATCCTGTGCGAGGGGAGGGTGAGTAATGAACGCAAAAGAAAGAAGGTTGAAGGAGGTATAAGGGGAATAGTATCAGAGGGAGGGCAGAGGAGAGAGAGGATGAGGAGTGTAGGTACGTACCCTGTTCTCGTCTTGCAACGAACTGCGCGCCTTCTTCGGCGCACCTTTGCCCTTCGCCGCGTTCGCCTTCGCACTCTGATACGGCGCCCTCCGATGCCCACCATCGTACGCGGCCACGGGCATACCGCCGACACTGACACCAACACCAGCATCAACACCACCAGTACTTGTGGATGCTGAAGGCGCAACTGGTATGGGGAGTCCTGGAGGAGGGAATCGAGGCACCTGGAAGGATGCCTGCAATCCGAAATCCGCCATAGCGGGCGCGGGCGCGTAGACGCCGAGGTGGGGGCTGCCCATCGCGCTCTGAAGCCGGCTCTGACCTCCGCTGGCCACGACGGTAGAGGCGCGTTGTGCCGTGCCGGACGGCTGAGTCGGCTGGAGTGCAGAAGCATTTTGTTGAGCGTGTTGTAGTTGTAAGCGGTCTTGTAAAGCGGGAGTGCCCTGGGTATAGTCGGACTGCCCACGGCTCGCAGGCGTGGGTCGAGTGGTAGGAAACTCTTGCGCAGGTTGCGTTGGTGGGTAGAGGTTGGAAGAGAAAGAGGCGTAGTCGAAGGGTGCGTCCCATGGCGGCTGTTGAGACGCGTCGCCTGCGATCCCAGCTCCATATCCGGAGAACGCCTGCGTCTGCGTCATCTGCGCCTGCGGGTGACGAGAAGACTGGGGCTGGAGGTGCGACGCGCGGTGTGCGGGTGGTACAGCCCCTTGATCGAGGAAGTCGCCGTTGCCGTTGCCGAATGGCGAGATACGACGCCCGCGAAATCCTGCAGAGGGAGCAGCTGAGGCTGTGGCTGGTTGAAGGCGAGCCTGAGGCTGAGTTTGAGAAAAATAAAGAGCGCCGTTCGCGTCCACGTCCACATTGTCGAAAGCGGGTGATACACTAGGGTACGCGTTTCCCGCGTTCGCATTCATTTGATGGTGTTGAATAGCATTGAGTATGGAGACCGACGCGTTATTCGCATTATCGGGGGGCAGAGGGGGCAGACCCCGCTCGTACCGCCCCGCCGCGAAATTCACGAAATCCACGAAACGACGCGCCTGGTTGCCTTCGTTGCTCCGAGTGCCTTGATTGTCATTAGCCGCGTCGACGATGTTCTCGAGGTTCGAGCTGGGACGCGCCGGGCGCCGGGCTTGCGTGTAGGGGTGGAAGGAGTTTGGGTGCATTGGTGCGGAGAAGGGGGGGAGGCAAGGTGGAGAAGAAAGTGGGGGGTGGATGGGACGTGGAGTGGAAAGTGGAGGAAGGAGGAAGGAAGGGTGGGATGGAAGAGGACGGGGACGTGGGAGAACGTGGGTGTGGGCTAGTACGAGTAGTACGACAATGATGCTGAGGGTAGAAGTAGAAGGAAATCAGTCACGCCCCATTCGACATATAAAAGCGGAGGAGAGTGCCGTCCCCCCTTGTACCAATAAATACGAGCATGAGGCGCGTGGCCTGGGGCCATAGCACAGGCACTAGCGCCAGCATAGGCAACAACGAAAACAATGGAGGAGGAAGGAGCAGTACTTGCCACCGGGGTTCACGTTTCTCGAATACATCTCTCGAACATATGAATTCGTCAAATCCCAATTTGCGCGTACTCACAAACACAAAGAGATAGGGAGGTAAATGCGGTAAGCGAGCCTTGAGCTTGGAGTGGTCGATGGATCGACGAATAACGAATAATGGGATGGGTTACAATACAATGCCGGTTTGGGTGGCCGGTGGCCATTATCGAGATTGGCGATTGGCGATTGGCGACCACACTTATAATCCGTGATCCCTAGATGGGTGGCTAGATTCCTAGTGATTAGTGGGCTTATTTTGGGATTTTGTGTTGTGGTGTAAAGAGTGAAGCGGGATTGGATTGTGAAGTATCAAGAGTGAAGGTGATTGAAGGGTGTAGAGTGAATGATGAAGAGTGAGGGAAGGAGACAGCCGACACTCTTCGGGTGTGATATCGGTATCAGGAGGTGCACTTTGGAAGAGCGATACAAGTTTCGGCGCCTCGACGCCCGACGCCCGAGCTTCACAAACAACGATGAAAAAAGCAGCCAGCAAAGTTCGAGTGTTGAACTGTCACGAACGGGATGGAATCGCGATGGAGGTGGACAACGGAATATGGAACCCGAACGAAATGCGAACGAGAATACGAGATACGAGATACGGGAGACGTGTGTTTATTTGGGAGGATGCGGTTTAAAAGCAAGATAAAAATGAAGAGCGTACTTGGCTAGTCCCTCGCCGGCACCCTTTAATCCGTCCGTACTGTGTTTTGCTTCACGACATAAAGAACATACCTCTTCAGGCGAACCCTCGAATTTCAAAGTCAACATGTTGGGTCAGGCAAATGGGATACGCCACCTAGCGCACAGGGTTTCTCAACAGCAATCGCTCGCAATTCTCGGGTTTTACGGCAGTCCTAAGCCTGCGCGAAATGGTGCAACCCCACTCAGCAAGACATAGTCCCCGCTTCGATCTTTCCCTGCTCCGTTCGCCTGGCAGATGCAGTAGATGGCTAGGCTTATGAAGAACATTCGAGGTATACAGGGTGACAAGGCGTACGCACTTAATCTGAGGATACTGGCGGCTGGCGGCTGGCGGCTGGCGTACGATATTGGTGCGACAGCATACGGGCGAAAGTACGCGTCTCCGCCCAGCCACGGAGGCGCGAATTCACGGAGGTGCTCCCCTTTCCTATATACCGCGTGAACAAATGAGCCGTGCACGAACCTCTGCCCGCGCTTACTACACACGCCCTAGTCTCCTCCCACCCGCGACCTTTCTTTCTCCGTCGATTGGCGACCCCGCGAGTGTGTCGGAAGGCTTCGGACATACCTCAGCTTGGACTACCACGTACGCACTCCACGACGTCAGGCTCCCGCCTCCCACCCCTCACCTCTTGTCATCGTCATAGCCGTACCATGGTGTCAATCGAGCAAGGCATCAAGGAGCTCTCTGCACCATGTCGCTGGATGCCATTCTGTAACTTTCCACCCAGCCTCCCGCGCCCAGCTAGCCCGTCTTCCCTTCTCAGAGAAATGGCCACCACAAATTCAAGACGTCCTTCAGTGACCTCGCGCATGGCTTAATGCACCACTCACCCGGGCCCTCTGCCCCCCTGCCCTCGCTACCTCCAAGCGTTGTTTATAACAAGCAACCCCCACACTCTCACCTGCCCGCAGCCCGCAGGCGTCGCGACGCACTCGCCCCTACACCCACGGGATCCACCGGACTTCAAAGAAGCACCAAGGAATCCGGACATACTGCTGAACGGCCGCGTGGGCATCCTAGATTTCTTCCTGGGGTCCACGACTGGCAGACACACGGGATCTTGACATCTAGCACAGGGAAGAACACATTTATATACCGAAACAGTTTACCATGCACTGCTTCTTCTCTCCTGCGCTTCCTCAACTGTACGACTCTCCCCACATTGTTCGGAACGCATAGTGCGGAGAACAGCAGACACCACTGCTTCAATGCTTGGCAGGGCTGACGAATTCAATTGGGCCGAATAAGCATAAATATATATGTACTCATGGACTAGGACGTACCATGGTTTGTGTTATTCCGCCCCCCGACGTTTCCGCCATGGATGGGAGCAGCGAAGAGATCGCCCATGATTTGCAGAGGCCCATTGACATTGAGGGTAATCACGGAGCCGTTGCTGCTGATGCACGTCCCCGCCGCCGCCGAATCGGCACCGGCCAGCGTTGCCATCCCATTCGCGGAGATGTTGAGTTTCCGGGGAGAACAATGTTGATTGTGTGCAGCCGTGTCTCCGGGATCCGCGTAGGGAACGTCAAGATGGAGGTTGTTGATGAAGGAGAAGGTGGTAGGGCGGGGCGGGGGGCTGGGCGTGATTGGGAGTACGGTCAGCTCAATGCCGGCGATCGACAGGCTGGCGGTCAGATCGTAGGGCCAAACATCGCTCCGGATGTCGATGTCAAGTCTGAGGTCGCGCAGGCAGGTGTCACGCAGTGCCCCAGGGGGGTCCTTATGGCGCGCAACCCTGCGTTCGTGGTGATTAGGGTGTTCCCAGAGGAAGTCAGTGTACGAGAGGCCCCGTTCGACCGCCTCGGATTGCGCTAGGTAAGGATGTCGATTTGGGAATTGCACTCGAGACGGATAGCAAGGCCCATACCATAACGGCGTTTGAAAGCCAGAGGGAGCGCCTCGTAGGCGGTGTGTCTCAGATCGTCGACGACGTCGCTCCTAATCTTTCTGAAGGGCGATTTCGGCATTTGCGAAACGTCGAGTTCATTCCCCTTCCATGCATATGGGATACGATCCGCAATATACTCTTCACTCTGCGTTGGATTGAGCAAACCAGAGGGTAGTGCACGAATGAGACTTACCTCCGGAAGGCTTTGTTGAAATTGCAGAAGACGATTGTAGTCGTCACGATCGATATGTTCAACCATGACACTCAATTTCAAGCATTCGCCCACTTTATAGTAGTTAATCTGCACAAAGATGTAAGTATAAGGCATAAGTGCCGGCCATGATCACAAGAATGCACGCTTACCCTGCGAACCACCAGGCTGACTGTGCTTCTTCCAAAGCCGAATTCGCGTTTGACTTCCAAGCAAGCATACCCGGCCTGATACTCCGCTTTCTCCACGAGATTCCGAACCTCCTCGACCTCCGCAATGACAGCAGTCCGCGGGGGGCCATGATCGCAGCAAAAGTGCTCCATCGGCGAATCGTCGCCGCACCCGCCGTATTCTATGATCACGTCCTCGTACACGCCGAGAAGCCTGCATGACCCCAATGTCAACGCGCATTAGAGCTTGCGGGGGAAATACACTCACATAGGCGTCAGTGGTGCCCACCGTATCGCCCTTGGGCAATCCCAGATTCTGTGCTGTTCCCCCCGATCATCCCCGTATTGATTGTGCAAGTAGATCAAGACCTCCGTCCCCGGGCTCCAACTAAATCCAAAATCCAGCGTAACGTCTGAAATGATTGTAAGCGTGAGACCGCGAGACGACTCGGCTCTAACTCAAGGACAACCTCTGACATAAACCCAGTATTCGCCTCTAAACCAAACCACGCCGTGAGTTTCAGCCAAGAATCAAATTTTGCCGTCCATTCGGTGCTCACCCAATGCCTGTTTCATCATTTAGCCAAAATGACATAATCGAGAGCGATATTGTGCGACTGGGTAGGGAATGATTGAGGAGCACTTGGCATGTGCAGTTTGGAGGCGGGAGATGGTGGTGCAACAGAAAGACTGGGACGCGTACGGCGCTTATTTTCGCACAGCCGAGAAGTTTGTTACCACAATACGACAATGATTGACATGTTGCACCCATTTGAATTGCACAGGCAACGAACACCGAAGAGAATCCGTAAGCGACGCCCTCGGATGCATCCTTGCCCTTCCCCAGCGACAATCTGTCACGCTATCATCAATACATCAGCGTGAAACTTGGGACCGCAATTTGTACGTGTTTAAGATGATAGAGAAGGAGATTTCTGACGTATTGACGTGTTGAGATGCTGCGAGCAGAATATTTCGACCCCGCCCCAGTGTTGGCGCGCGGGCGGGTAGATCCAGACGAGCGTGCGGCACAGCTTTGGCGCGACTAATGCCAGTTAGCAGTGCCGCGCAAACGCACGTCCTAGCGATTTGGAGAACCACTGAGTAGAAATAACCGCGGCAGGTTCTCCATGTGTAAGACGCCTCGATCTGAAGTTTACAAGCCTATGGAGATGTTAGTAGATAGGAACAAGAATGAGAGGGAAGCGCTCACGGTGTCGTAGCATATCATCAGATGGCTTTTGATACACGCTGCGTTGCGCAGCGGCACCTTTGCCACCACCACCACCACCTCATCGCGTTAAGCTTAATGAGGCGCGAAATTTGAGGCGCCTGCCAGGCTCCTGATTGAATCCCCTAAGGACCTGTGTCCCTCTGCATGTTCTCGCTGAGTGGATGGTTGTAAGGCGAGCCATGGTGAAAGGAGACGAGATAACCCCAGATAAGCCAAATGAAACGAGTATCCTTTCGCGCAAGTGTTCCTGGACGTAAGAAACCATCTTGAGCGCAGCCGTCGTGAAATAGTTTGGAAACGGCGAGGAAATAGGCCACGAATTTGGGTCCATATGGTTGCCACTTTTGCTGAACTTTTACCATAGCGCGCTAACATCCTAGGAAGATTTGTGGCAAATTCGCAGCGCAAATCAGTGCTGCTCAATATGGCCGCATCGCGCATACTGGGGTCCTCCTAGCAGAAAAAAATAACGTTATGGCACCCTACTGGCACCGTATTTGATCCAGAAACTCCTCGCTACCACCCTCTTGCGCAGTCGCATACTCAATACACCCTCTCAAAGTTGCTCACATTCCTCTGGACGATATGCCTGCACACCGCTCTCCGAAACACCGCCAACGTCGAGCTCATCCATACCCAAGCTCCTCAAACTGTACACGAAGATCGGGTTCCGCAAGGAGTGCTCGTGGTTACATGAAACGGCCGGGACTCGAGGTAAGGAATCGTTTCTTTTTGATATTCGTAGTTGGAACTTGATATTGACTCTGGCTCTGGCCGTTGCACGAAATGAAAAAAAAGGGATTCAACGATATGAACGGAGGGTTGAATGCCATGATGGACGTCGATGTCGACCTTCCGCCTCTACAGCACCGGGTACGGGTCTCCCTGTCGTCGTAGGACTTGGTGATCGCGCTGACATTGCTCGCTTCGTGCTCACTACTTCCTAGGGCGTTGAATATCCCAGACCTGGTCATCACGCAGCCCCACAACAAGGCGAACACCGCCTTGAAGGTGGAGGAAATAGGGAGGAACATCATCGTGGGTGGTGGATGCTGCTTTTCTTCTTTTTTGTTGTCACTGTCGTACGTCCCACTCATGAGCATCGAGCGGCGAACTGAGTCTCACCGATTTCCTGACAACGCAGACGACGAACTAGACATACAAACGAACTCCATTTCTTGGATCTTGGCTCTTGAAGACACAGAAAAAACATATGAAGCACGAAATCCATCAACGCATTCGCATAAAAATTCCAGAGAAATCAGAAAAACACAAAAGAAGGATTCCAACTCGACGACTCGAGGACCACCACCTGTAACACCACCACACCATTCCCGATGTCTTGGATCTTGCATTACGGCGCTGCGGAGTCCTACGAACCTCAGCGATCGTGAGTCTTTGTTGAACATACGGGCTGATTCACACTCACAGTCTGCATACAGCATCCTACCCGAAGAGACTGTACCAACACTGATGTAAGACACCGACAAAAACTCATTTAGTTCTTGAATGCGGCGGATTCGGGCTTTCAGGAGCCAAACGCTGGATGTGCACGAGAGTTGGCAGAAGGAACTGTGCATAGAAATCAGAAGTGACGAAAGCCGGATGAGGGAACTAGGGAAAGAGAACATGGACAATACGCCTTCTCGGGCTCTCTTCGTAGTATCGCATACCACCTAAATCTTATCAACCCATCGTACGTTGACATGGTCTGCGGGGTGCATGAGCAGCAAGATGGATCAACGATCGATATGGATACGTCCCAGTATGAAGCCAGTAATAATATGGATCCGCGGGCCGCGCCGGCGGTAGCTCGCTTCGAAGTGCTAGGGCAAGGATTGAGTGTATATTCCTAGACTAGGTAGATGGCTAGCTATTACTTGCGTAGAATCTATGAGCGCTAGGAGGGCGCATATGAGTTCTCATCGATATGCACCCAGTGCGTACACCGTAAGCTCAGAGAATTAGGCGCCCGCCACGTCAGCAAGTCTCGAGTTGATAAATTACGGTCTTAAATCATCAAATCTCTACCAAAAGTGCTGCTTTCTTGGCGCAAACCAACTACGGCAAGCAAAATCCACACTTCCCATGATTCAGAATTGTGGAAAAGAGGCCAGTTCAGCCAGAAAAAAACACGACCGAGCCTCCAAAGTACGCAGAATTTGTTTGGCCTTATTTGCACGGGCCTTGAACCCTTTAGAGCATGATTGCTCGCTACGCTCGCAATGAACGCAGCGGCACCTGTGGGCTCCCTTGAGTGCTCCAACCAAGATATTGCGTGATCAGCGTCGCTGATCATCCGGACTCGAACTATTTCGCAGTCTTCCAGGCTTCGCCGATTTAAAGATGCTGTCTGTGATCTGCTTCATCGCATTGCTTATGGCACTATGTCTCCAGTCAATGGTAACTTGAACGATTCTAATCAGAGTCCGGACACGTCAACATCATGCAGAGGTTCTGGCTGAAAGACGTGTCTTATTCCGTGTAAGCAACAACGCGCTGGAGATACGGAGAGCTACGCGCAGCTTCCTTTCCGCTGAAAGATAAGACGACTACCTCATCATAATGATAATCGCACGGACCACCCTGGAATGAGATCTGCGAAGCACATGATATCGTCAGCATCAGCATTCATATTCGGGCTTGGGACGAAAGCTTGCATCCATCAAAAAGGCGAAAGATCCATTCAATCATAGTCCTGTCCTTCACCCACAGTAGCAAGGCTAGTCCCGCTCAGTTTGCCAACGGTAAAATGTCCTTTTCCCGTGAGAGGTCCGGCAATATCTTGGGGTGGATGACAGAGCGACGCTCAATTGTAGGCCTCCAAGGTCTTCCAACAAAGTCCCTGACAGGATGTTCGTGGGACGCGTCATGGTCTGTCCCATTGTCGGCCTTCTCATGAAGACTATGTAGCGAGCATAATTCAATCTGAGTAAGTAATAATGACGGACAGCTATTACCAAAGTGCATCATTCGCGAGGTTACTTGCCTCCATGGAGCGTGAGGGCCAAGAGGGCATTAATATGGCGAACCGCACCAACGGCGAACGTATACACTCACCAGCGACGGAGACGTATCTTTGGTCATGTGTTGGCGGCGGCGGCGGCTACGAATGCACGTCCACTTCTTCATCGTCCATTGAGGCACGAATAAATTTCTGGGACGCGTCTACAGGGGTTAGAACGTCGAACACAACACAGCCTAAGAACGTCGGAAACTTGCTGAAGTTGGCGCCGACGTAGTGAGAGCGACGCATCCCAAATGGCTCGCTAAGAATTCCTTCCGAAGTCGTACCGCATCCAGTGGGCTCCGACTACGAGAGATTGAAATGCGAACGTCAAAAGATTGAAAGGAAAACCGTACGAAGCACAGAGGACATCGTCCAGCGCCACAAGGTCGTGGCGTGACAATTGATCATGATCGGCCGTGACATACGTGACAGGAGCGTCAGCAACTGGTTTCACTGCCCCCGCTCACCATTCCCTTCTCCCCTGCGCAACCGTGCGTGGTAACCCTCGTCCACGGCTGGAATAGACTCTTTAGTCGACGTCTATGGCCAAGGTCGACGTCCCCCAGGATCTCGGTGAGTTTTGTGCATGTTTGGTGATCGGAAAGAGGGCTGACATCTTGTATTTGCTGGTAAAGTTGCGGTTTTTCATGCTTCATTTCACCCTACGAAAGGGAATGTAATAGATTGGTGTATCAAGGCTAGTGATGGTGAGCCGATCGCTTCCCCTCTGGCTCTCCCTCCAACGCTGACGTCTGAGAAGAATTGAGTCTCGAAAACCTCGAATTCAGCGCGCTTCCCAGCGGCTTGCATCTGGTGGATGAGGACGTCGTGTATGTCTATTTCTGTGCATTCTCCCCGCTTCTCCCTCATCTCCTATCAGATACTTTGACAAGGACGGGCAGCACGGCGTCTGCGTCTTCCGACGGCGTAAAACCACCGAACACGGCCAACGAGGGTTCCGTCTCTCATCTCTCGGCGTCCTGCTCGCCAAATCTGACCGGCCACGGCCTTGGCGGCATACATCAGCTCTGAAGAACCTGATCACCATCATCTACTCCAAGCTCGAGTTCAGCGGCATCCTTGAGCCTACAGAAGAAGACTGGGAGCCGGCGAAGCAGTTCTTCGAGGAGCGGAAGGTAAAGCGCGCTGATCTCGGCGGAGCGGGCGTCTGGGATGGATGGAGTCACGATTTATATTCGGTGCGTCCAGTTCGTGTGTCGTCTTCGTGCATCACAGCTTACCTTCAGCCAGCTCGACCCTTTGCTCAACCCGACTCTGCATCTCACCCATCTGCTGCGGATCCTCGGCCCGTCGTCGCTGACGCTGTATAAGCACGTTTTGGGGCGCCGCCGTATCCTCATCCTTACTCTTCCACCAGTAGAGGCTGCCTGCGTCCTCTGCCATGTCGCTGCCGACCTCTGCTTCGAGGAGCAGGTCGACTACACCTCTCTCCATCCCGGCTCATCCCCCGACGTCCTCCCCAGGCGCCTCAAGGGCAAGTCTCGTCAAGGCATCAGCGTTCTGGGCATGGTCACGCTCAACGACCTCGACAGGCTCGTGCAGGAGGGCCAAACGGGCCGCGGCTGGATTGCGTGCACGACAGACGCGATATACCTCGAGAAGCCATCGTGCTACGATCTCCTTATTAATCTAACGACGCTGTCCCCCAATAAGTCGACGAGACCGACATTCCATGTGTCCAAACCCATATTAGACGCGACCAGCTCTCGCGGGCCGACTCATCGCCTATCCACAATCCGCTTTGCTTGGAGTGACGTACGCCTGTGGAACGAAGTTGACCGCTTGCTGCAGCTCGACGCTGAGAATGGGGGGTCCCACACCTGCTGCGCACCCCCAACCACTGCCGACGCCAAATCGAAACTCGTCACCACGTGGACCGACGCGTGGCGCGTCTACGAGGACGTCTGCATTATGTGCGCCGGGCTCTGGATGGGGTCGTGGCGCAACAACTCCGTCATGTCGTACTCTTCTGCGAACGGGTCGGGCAATTGGGGCAGCGTGCGGCTGGAGGGCGACGATGATTTGACGATGCGCACTGTGGGCGCAGGTATTGAGGGTGGGCCCAGTGCGCAGCCCAAGAAATCGAGCGCAATGTCTACGAAGTCGGTTGGCAGCCCTCCAGCGACACCGCGGTCGAGCAGGCACGGTAAAGGGCGCCAGGAACCCTCTAACAACTTTGTACCTGAGACGTCTCCGCCCGAGGACACTACGTGTGACAGGAGCGACGGGCAGACGCTGACTACGCTCGCCCTCCTCCAGACATTCCACGCGCATACATGCTTCCAGCTCTCTCAGCTCGAGGCGTTACTCCCCTCTCAATCCTCGTCCTCATCTTCCTCTGAGCCCATCTATCTCTCCCCGAAAGACGTGTTATCGTTCGAGCTGGGTCCCTGGAGCAGCCTCGACGCGCGCTACCTCGAGTGGCTCGCAGAGGAGTATGCGGGCGGCCAGCGTGTCGTCGTGCGCCGTGGGTGGCGGGATATGCTGGGCGTTCTGTTCGGATACTGATATTTAATATCCTTAAGTTCTTAAGTTCACTATCCTTCACCCCTTTACCTTTACCTATAAATATCTGAGAGATGAGGGGACGGACACAGACAGTAAGCTAGTCGTCCGTGTATAATTGCGCTGCTCATACCCTGTACGTTTAGTGTATACCCATGTACACTTCGGATTGGAATACACGCCGGTCATGATCAATACCTTCTCTGAGAGAGTTGAGCTAGAAAGAGAAAGTTGGGTCTCCGCATCGACGCGAGTTATTGAGGGCGACAGCGTACGCCCTACCAGCCCGTACCGATGGCATCAGGACTTCTAGGTAGGCTACTGCAGGTATCCGGCAGTCGAGGGAGGTCATCGAAAGCAGCGAAGCAGGCGCAGAGCGCAACGATTGTTTAATCTAATAACGAAAACTGCCTTTGTTTCTAGCTCCTCCAGGCTTCAAATTGTCACTTCCAATATGCGAGTCTATGGCATCCCAGGCTACGTCGATCTCGCCATCCGAGGACTCGTCGTCTCCAAGCACGCGAACCGTTCTGCTATCTAGCTTGTTTTCCGCTTCGTATTTCGCTGATACAGACGACATTGCATCACAGGCTGGAGCTTCAAAGTGTGGCCATATGGCGCAGTATGGATTTCAGAGCTCCTTCGTGCGTATCGCCGCGTTACCTCGACATCGACGGTGCTAATCGTAAGGTTATCCTCTTACTAAACTACAGAACTCCTAGTGAGCAACTCGTGGGTTCGACGGAAGGCAAAATGCACCTACTGCAATGCTTGTAACGACAATGGGCGACGAGACGTGATGTGCAGGGACGCCTCGTTTCCACGAATGCAGTTCCCCCAACTCCGATTACTTCCACGATCGAAGATGCCTGGCGAGAGGCGCTCGCTGTGGCATATCCCAGATCTCTGCGATCACAAGTGGCCATTGCTTCATTCGTCCCTGTATGTGGCTCAGCGCCATTGTGCGAGTAACAAAGGACGACTATGGTGGCCGACCCTCTTTGGTCGATGGCCTCCTTCATGTACGTACATAAATAACAGGTCCCCTGCCTGCGGATGACTCCGCCCTCATCCCCTCCGCTCCTCGCCTTGAACAGCGCTAAACATCCAGCAAGCTACCACTGACATCAGGAGGACTGACGCCACATGGATTCGACGCTTACCGGTTCAGTTGCCTTTCCGCACTCTCATCGACAGAAGCCGCTGAGCGGTCGAAATGGCGGCCCAGCCGCACCCCGCACCACTGAAGCTTCCGAGATTATTTCGACAGGTGGTAAAGTCGACCACCACGGTGGTAAAATTGCCGTGGGTGAAAACGTTGTAAGTCCTCGCACTTCAATGCAATTGATTCATTACTTAGACCTCCGCCGTAGAACCCGAAAGCGAAAGTAAAGTGCACCTGTGGTAACATGATACATCCGTCCAGCCTGGAAAGACACTTGAAGACGCACAAGTTCCACAACCCTGTAGGGGGCTTCGTATGTGATGGATGCCAAGCTCGGTACGTACACACTCTCACCTTTATTCCTTCTCGAAATGTTGACGTCTTCGTTATCTTAGCTTCACAAGGAAAGAATCCCTCAAGCGCCATATCGAAAAAGCTACTTGTCACCAAGCTCGCCGCGAGGTTGGCGTGGATGATGACTATTCACTTCCCTCTGTTCGCTCATCGACCAAGCGTAAAAGGGAGAGCTCTGGCTCCAGCACCAAGACGCCGGCGACACCAGAAACAATGCTTCACAGGGGCAAGATACATCACGGTACTCCTATTATTTCTCGTGCGCGGCCTTCTACATCTTCACGTGTCGAAGTCGAAAGGACCATCCAGCCCGTAAACCAACCCGTGGCCCGCTCCAGCCCAGCTGCCTCCGCCCAATTCGAGGAGGAGGGGGAGGGGGATGATGATTATGACGTTTACGACGACGACGTGGAGGAAGACAACGAGGACGACAACGATCACGATACTGACTACGATGATGATTTTAATGCCTCTAACCACGATAATGTCGACGAAGATGAGGACCAGTCCGAAGAAGACGAAGACGATTTAGACAGTGATGTCGCTAAGCCTCCGAGCCGGTCCATTGAAGTACCAGAACTCCTTCCTGTCGTCGACATGAGCATCAACCCCGCCCTCGCTGACTTCCTCCTCGAATATGGCATTGACGAAGACGACGAACCTTTCGATCCCCTCTACTTCAGCACTAGCGAAGTCGCGCTCATGACCAATCCCTACTACCAAAATGATACGTATATCCACTTTTGAAGTGTCCCTGTCCCCGTCCGAGTCTCCGAGTCTCCCGCTCTTTTCTCCCTTCTGATAGTACATCGTGTTCGCGAGCTTCACATATCACTTTCATAGAAAAGTGATTCATATATCATGACTGTTTGTACATTATCTAGCATACCATTTATAAAGAGATGCCATGTGGCGCAGATGAATACACAGAACACAAATTAAAGTATCTACAATGAATGGGTGTAAAGACGGAGAGGCCTATAGTAACATATACAGTGAAAGGACGAGAAGGACGCGAGAAGTGAGAGATGGGTAAAATAATGTAAAATAATGCAAGAAATTGAAAATAGAGCAAGTCCAACTCGTAGACGTAGGCGCAGTGTAGCGTGCTGTTAATCAGCTCACGAGCGGATATACTGACCGTACTGTGCGTAGTAAGCCCGAGCGTCTTTACAAATCTGATAGCCCTGATGTCTCTTCACTGCGTCTTTACGCGAGATACTTGAACAAGAAATCAATGAGCCTCTGAAACCTAGGGAAACAACGTAGGATAGGACCTACGGAGCGCCACAAAGATCGCACGAGATGTGTTTGCGTCCCGTGCCGCACAAGGAAGAGTGGTTCCTCCTATCCGTTTCCGTTTCAAGGAGATCCCCACAAAGGGTACAATAAGTAGCAGCCTGTATATGCGAAACATTAGCATGGTTCTCCAAAGTGTAGAAGCAATTCGCGAAGTACGCACTCCATCAGAGAGATATGTCCGTTTGATCTTCGTTCTCCCTTCGGGAACATCCCTAGCACCGCCAACTTGGTTGATAGATCGTTTGCGTCCACCACTGCGCTTCCCGGAGGGCACGGAAACTGTGGCCTCCAGGGCGGCGACATCCAGGACGTCTCGGTCGTTCTCCGAGTCACATTCTTCGACACGCTTCTGCTGCTCCTGATTCGCGTCCTGGCTGGGAACTGGCACGCCCGTCGCAATGTTGGTCATAGTAGAAAGTGGTTTGGCTCCGAACGACTTGGTCTGTGCCTCGAATGCGCGCAATCTAACCACTTTCACCCCTTCGTCGGGGGCAGGAATTTCCTTCGAGTCGAGATTCACGTCGAGAGGAACTTCTACCATTTGAAGGTCCTCAAGTCTAACGGGTGCGAACGGGCCCATGGGAGGCCACGGGCAGGGAAGACGTTCCGGGAGTGTATAAATTTGGGCGACGCGTGGGGCACCGTCGATTCCACCCACAATCTCGCAGTGGAGAACGCCAGGGAGTAGTTTGATGATTTCAACGTTGAACGTCGGGGGGCTGTCGGTGCCGGTGGGCTCGTTTGGTGGAGATGCCTCCCTTTCAGGAATAGTCGCGTCTCCGCCTGAGGCTGGGCGAAGGGCGGGATCCAACCAGGACCATTGGGAGAGAGCGGGGGAGGACATGACGAGGGAGGCGCGAAAGGCAGACAACCGTAGCGCGTGGGAGGAGGATTGAGTAGTTAAAGATGTGGTTCTGTGGTCTGGTGAGGTGGTCAGGGATAACGTGCTTTATAGGTCGCGAAATCGCGAGTTCACAGATAGAAAGAAGGCTCCGTGAATGTCTTCGTTCAAGGTCAAGCTCTGGTCTCATTATCACTTAACAGACCTACACGCGACCATTTGGACACTGGACTATTGTGGTCTCGATAATTCGCGGAGTTAGCAGGGCTGTAACATGGGTCTGGCAAGGTATTGTGGCGATCACTCACCTTTTTCGGAGACACCCGCTTTCAACGACAAAGGGCAGGGCCACTGTCGACTCAGTGGCCGTGGCCATTCCTCGAGGCAGGTGGCCTACGATGGCTCCAGCCTCATGGATGTTCCGAAATGAATCACCCTGCGGAATAAGTACGCATTTCCACGCCGAAAGATACAAAAATCTAGAAGCTTAACCGCGACGTGAAGCAAATGGCGATGCAGATGGAAAGGACACGACTCACGAGTCCTTCGCTCCGCGCGTCCGACTTGTTTGACGCCGCCGAGGACCATCTGGCGGACGGTGCCGTTCATAATTGTGGGATGGGGCTGAGCTCCCATTTGTTAAAAAGTTACGAGCTATGAAGCGGTTCCAATGGTAAGCAGCAAGCAATGATGCCGCTCATGCTCTGCTGCTCTTCATTTTCGAGGGGGAGGACGGCGGGTTGGCAGGGCCGGTGAGATGACGCGGAGACGACCGATATTGTCAGCATGGGAGTCCTCGGAGAGCTGGTGAACCCAAAAGGTGGTAGCACTTCCCCAACTCCTTTCTAAACGCTTTATAACTCACAGCCTATATTGAAGGTGACTTTGCGGTACGGCTGACGAATGGCAGTTTAAGGACTCTCTTTAGAGCGTGATTGTTGCGTCCGCGGTTCTGTAGACTCGGACGGTGTGTTCACGGCCGACGGGGAGGAGAAACTAGCGAGTAGTTAACATACATCGATGCGTAGCGGCGTTAAGTTTCATCTGTATCTTGATTTACTGGGCGATGAGTTCAGCACAGGCAATGCGACCGTCCTCCGCCCTAGTCGCTGGGGGTGTCGAGGTGAGATCGCATGGATGTGGAGGGCGATGGAGTCCAGCCCTACGTAAGGCCGGATACAACCAGAGAATCCTGGAGCTTGCCGAACGGCGGGCAGACGGCCGTAGAATCACATCCGACAGTAGACGAAATGGGAGTTACGCTGGGCGGGCATTAATCAAGTTTGGTTCATTGACATTGCGTAATCTGTTGGTAGGTAGCTCGATATCGCCAACAACGGCGGAAGTGAAACATCGACGTTGGGTTCAGTTCCTCGCGGCTGGACAAGGATTGGCCGTCGAAATTGCCCAATAGGCGGATGCATCCTCCAATCGGGACCCTCATTGCTCGTCTGACAAACTCACTTCGTTGGAGCTTGTTGAGCCAAATGCGAATCGCATCAGAGAACGCTGTGGTGCTCCCTACGTTTTGAACGGCATTCCTCAAGATATAGATAATAGCACGTACCTCTACAACACTGATTTCATCCCGTTTACATCCTCCCCGTAGACCTGTGCAGGTCTCATATCCCGTTCTCAGCCCAGGTTGGCTTTCATCGATTCATCCATGGATAACTGGACGTTTTTCCATCAATTGCCCTTGTTTCTTCGTCTTCCTAGCTACTCAGCCGAATCGAGGCGAAGACGGAGGAAATAGACAGTCGAAGCCTTGTCATTTGAAAGATCAGTCGTTTTCCTTGTGAACGTGCGTAGTGTGCTGGGCGCTTGTACAGACAGGGGTTCAATCAGGGAATTCTTCGACGTTCTTGCAAGAATCCGACTTTTCTCTTCCGCGTGTTCCTGCGCGACGTTTCAGTACTCAGTACTCAGGCAGGCGGATTAATGGAAACTAACCTATCACCCATTCTGATAAACCCGACAGCTCCCCGCCGCTTGCGTTCATTCCTATTCAACGCCACTTACGAGATACCCCAAACTGGGTGTGGTTTTCACCCTTATGCTATGAAAACGTGAGGAAACTCCGTGCGACAGCTTCAGGCATCGAAGTAACGTATAGCCTTACTGTAGTCTCACCTCAAGATCCCGAGATGACAGACAGGCTAGTCACGCCGGGGATCTATACATCGTTATTTCACCTGGCCCCAAATAGCCTCCATGGAGTGAAACTATTGCGACAATGGGACGGCCTACGAGAAGAGAAATTCTATCCAACTTCTTTGCTCGCCTGGACTAGTTTGTCACCCCCTCGTTCATGAGTTTTCACCGTGTTCTCCATAAGAAGTCACGTACCGATTAAATCAAAAATAGCAGATTCAATATGTCGTCCCCCGCGCCCGTTGGCCCCCGGCAAGATTGATGTCGACGTACGCGATTCCGACTGCAAGGTAGGTCTGCTGGGGAAATGATGGTGGAGAGGTAGAGAAGCGGGCGCAGAGGTCTTCTGACGGGGGGCGTTCAAGCGTAAGCTACACAGCGGAGAGGAGTGTTAACCAACCTTTTTCCATTACTTGGTGTTCGCTGAAAGTAGTTCCTAGACGTCGTATCACCAAGCATTTAGTCGACCATATCATCTGGTACGACGAGGGACGGGTGGAACCATAGATGGCGTCCCCCAACGAGCCGAAGCGGAGTGGATACCTCAAATACGAGGGCGTTTGCGACGCAATACGTCGTTGTCCTGTTCGATAACCACCCCTCACCCACCTTCCGTTCGCGTTCTTTCCCTTGCTACTGTTTCTTCTGCTGCGCCCACACGTAAACTACAGTCTCGATTCTCCAACGTCTTCGAGGTTGAATCTCATTCCTGAGTCTACCTGGGCTTTAGGTCGTGGATTACCGTCCATCCAAGCCAAGATTTACTTTTAACGTCAGAAGACCAAGCTATCGTCTCACGCAGCGAGTGGGTTTGAGCGAAGAGAGCGAAGGGAGGAGGGGAATGATGAGGCGAGGATGTGCGATGTCCTGGTAGCCATGACTGATTGTATTCACGAAGGAGAGGAACAACCAATCATTGTATGGGTCGACATTAAGAGAGTGGCCGTAGAGGCTGATGCAGATTGTGCAGATGTGTAGAAGTAAACGAAATGTCAAGATGGTCGTCAGAAAGAAGAAACTGCGTTGCGAAATCACGGTATCGAGCTCGGTCTTCTAATTCACAACAGGGGATTTTCGTGGATTGTCGGCTTCAAGCTTCTCGAATTGCACTGTCTAACGAAGGATAGTATCGTACATTCTGAACCGATTTTCGTTGTCTGATATGAACACGCAGGAGAACAAGCAAAGACAGGAAAATATAAAAAATACAGCATGGATTTTACTAGACACAAGAAACTGAGTACGGAAGGACCGACAATATAGAGCGACGAGGATAAACAATTACCCATGTAAAGCAAGGATGGGGAGAATTGAATATACGGAGAAGAGACTGTGATATCGCAACGGAACGAAGAGATAAGGATGCCAAAAGATGTAGGGTGGCGAACCCGAAAAGACAACGCAAAATGCTGACACGGTCAGCTCAAGATAAGGAAAGGACACCGTCCTCAAAACCATGCGGCTTGCGCACCTCCTCTGCCAAAACCAACACCCCTTCCAATGCCTCTACCCCGAGGGCCTTGGTTCATCATCGGCATGGTTGGCACCGGCGGTACAGGTGAAACACCTCTGACGCCGCCTCTCATCGCGCTTACCAACCTAGCGTTGATCTCCTGCGTCTTCCTGAACCCAACATCCTCCTCATCCTCCCTAGTCTTCCTGTCGTCGACACCCTCGTCACTCATCCCCGCGACGACTCGGCCAATATTGGGGGTCTGCTCCTGGACCTCCTTCCAGCGCATCACTCTCCGAACGAATCTCTCCCTCATCTCTCCGCTCATCTTATCATCTATCACCACAGCGCCGCGGCCTGATCTGGCACCAGCCAACTGCCTGTCCAAGGCCGCAGGAGCGCTGTACGCTGGACTGTCGACCGTCGCTGTAGACGCGGCCGCCGCGGCATTACTATCTTGCTTCCATGGCCTAGTTGTCATCAAGTTCTGTAAAGCGCTATCCACGTCGACGAGATCGTCCTCAAAGTACATCGTCTTCCGGCCCGCCGTATACACCGATGCATCATCTGAGTCCGAATCGTAGTTATCCTGCATTCTTCGGCTACCCGCTGGGCCATTCATCTGGGGGGCATCCACCATATTCGACATGAAGCTCTCTCGCGGGTTCGGGCCATCGTCTGCAAACATAGAGTCCCTCAGCTGTTGACTGACACCGCTATTCCGCACAGACGCATCGTCATATACCAGGCCAACCTCGTTGTCGTCGTCAGCTTCATCCTCCCCGTCGCTGGGTTCCTCGAGCTTCATCTCGAACGCTACCCTCTTCTTCCTGCTACGCGTCCGCGGTAGGGTCGCCTCGCCGATCCCTGCACCCGCGACTCGGCTGGTCCTCTGGCTCGGCGGCTGCATCCTCACTCCACCTATCTTCAAAGGCCTAGTAGGGAAAGGCGACTCTCTTCCTCGCTGAATCTGGCTCGATGTTCTTCCAAGGCCAACGGGCTCCGATGGATCACCACCTTCGCTGTACTGAGACTGTCGCATATCCGGTAGCGAAGGCCTCTGCCTCAGAGACGGCTGGCTGACTCTGTTCGCCGTACCAATCCTTGACAGCCCTTCCGTGGCTTTCCAAGCGACGGGTGGAGGTTGAGGGGATGGTCCTCTCGATCCTCCACCAGCAAACGGCGACACCCTGCCTACGCCTGATCCGGAGATAGCGCGAGTACGAAGAGGCGGTATAGAAAGGCCGTCGCCCTGGGCGCTGGGCGAAGCGGGGGGAGGCGGTAGAGGACCGGTCGGAGCTGGGTGTGAAGACGTTGTTTGGAACGGGGGAGGAGGAAGTGGTGAAGTAGGAGGAGGACTAGGCGGAGGAGGAGCTTGCCACGGCCGTTGAAACCCGGGACCGCGAGCCGGAGAGTACGATATGGGCGACTTGGAAGAAGGGATTGCTGGTTCGGCGGTTGACGGTCTTGTGATGTTTCGCTGCACCCAAGGTGTGCCCCCAGGCGAAGACGGTCGACGCATAGGTGAGACTGGTGGCGTCAGGCCGTCATCATCTCCTTGAGGACCGAGGGTCGTCAGGTGCTCCGGCCTCGATCGAGAGATCTGGGGTTGGAGCCCGGGCGAGGGGACCAAGAAGGCAGACGAAGGTACAACGGGAGAAACTTGCGCAGAATCTAGCATTGTAGAAGTCGTAGCGATCAATAAGAGAAGCTGTTAACGAAGAAAGGACGTACTAGCAGGGGCATTCAACCGCGTAGCTGCGGGTTCCGAAGGCATGTCACCAACGAAAATTGGCGGCAACGTAGGACGTGATCGTCCTTTACCTTGAAGGGTTTGATCCAACGTGCCAGCGGGCGCGTCTGACTGGTTCGACTTTCCGTCATCCTTCAACATCCGGGAAATGGGGTAAGAGATTGCTAACTTGCTGATTGAAGGTTTCCTCATTGAGTTCGTGGTAGTTGGGGCTGAAGGGGACGCAGGAGTATACGAAGAAGGTGATGGCGTAACATATGACGGTGGAGGTGGAGGAGCATAAGACTGCGGCGGCGAAGGTGACTTTGCTAGAGGCGGTAGAGGTGACCTTGACGTTGGCGATATCCGAGAACGAGGAGCCACGGGCTGTGCGACGATGGGTTGAGTAGAACTGGGTTCCGGGGTATGCCGTACTGGCGACGAGATAGCAGGGATATTATCGCCATTGTCTACAGTAGGGTCAGAGTGCCTTGGTGTTCCTCCCATCGCCATCGCCATCGGGGTAGGGGTGGGGTCACGCGAATCCGTGAGCATTGGCTCTCTGAAGCCTAGATCTGGAGTAGCTGCACGGCTGCCGCTCAATGTAGTAGCAAAGCGGCCGGCGATGGGCGGTAACGGGAGCTGCCAATCGATTTCGCTCGCGCCCAGAGTGGCTTGGGCGGCGTTGGGAGGAGCACTATCTTCCTCGGAGTGTTTATCCTTCTTCTTACTTTTCTTCTCCTTCTCCTTCTTCTCCTTCTTCGCCTTCTTCTCCGCTTTCGACTTCACTCCAGACTCGCTCAAACTCCCTAGATCATCGTCGCTATCGTGCTTCGATCGCCCTAGTCTTCCGAAAAACCCTCTCTTCTTCCCGCTCTTACTCTTCTTCGACGAGGATGACAGGTATCCACTAGCGTCCGTCTCATTCCCGCCCTCGCTGACGTATCCATCAGTGTCATATTTCTCCTTGTCCTTCTTCTTCTTCCGGAGTTTGTTCTTTACCGACGACGACGGAGGATTAGCCAAGAAGGCGAAGGCTGGTGAAGAGTGGTCGTCACGCGAGGATGGATGAGACGCGACGTGAGATTGTAGAGATTCGGAGTGGCCGTCTAGCGACCTGTCATCGTGAGGCAGTGGGTTTGCGATGGTCGGCGCTGTGTAATCATAGAGGTAACGCTTATGCGGGTTGGAGAAGGAACTGGGGGGCGACTGGGCGAATGCGGTCGGAGGCGTGTACGGGAAAGACGATTCATCCGTAGATGCTGAAGTCAGTGAAGGAGACGTCGCATTCTAGGAGAAATTGGTTAAGCTGTGATCGTAGCGAAGCGGAACTCAACGCACCTCGAAATCGGCATCCTCCTCTCTCTCCTCCTCAAGAGTGGGCTGATTGAACAGCCAGTTTGTGACGGTCGGATTTGCAGTGAAGCCAAGCTGAAGCGCCGCGTCGAGTACGGAAGCCCGAAGAGCATCCACGGATGGTTGCGAACGATGTCCGACGCTGCTGCCTCCGCTACCAGGCTTTTCTTCGCGGCGTCGCGGAGTTGGAGATGACATCTGGTTTGCGTACGAACGAAAACTCGATTCTGGGTGAAAGTAGTCGGTTGTTTCCTCAGTTTTAGGCTGATTCTGCATCGTCGAAGCGAAAAGCTAATTATTCATGAAATGGAGGTTGAGCTTGAAATTGATGTGGAAGAGGAGCGATTGTTTGAAGCGAACGTTGCGGGGAACGGTGGTGACGGCCTGCGCCTGCGAAAAGGAGCGTGCGTGGTGGTCGTGGTGGTGAAGAGCGAAGTTGAGGACTCAGCGCAGCGCCTCTGGAGAACAAGGATATACGTGGGAAAATAATTTGGTGACTTCACAGAAGGCCGACTGGCCGGCACATCCCATCCTTGACCAAGTACTACTAGTACAAGGAACCAAAGGACGGGACATCAAGAATGCTATTCTACATCTACACTCGCATGAGCGTATCGGCGAACGTATGTAATTCGGTACGACATCATTAATCAAGGCCCAGGTACCAGTCGAGGCCACTAAGCTGTCACTTTGTTGAAAGCAATAATTGAGGCTGTATGGAGTTTGCTTCGTCGATCCTGAGGTATGTAGAAGCGACGGGGCGAATGGGCCCAGGGTCACGTCGACCAAGAGAATCATGGACGAATGATTGAATATTGAGGGGCGATTGAAGGAGTAAGTAACATGCTCGCATCGCTTACGACTGGACTAACCGTTCGAAAAGTCGACGTCTCCTAAGACAAACTGCGCAACACTCAGAAGTCTTTCGTGAGTCGTACATTAAGCTGTTTCTATCATATAGGCTGATACTGGGCCGTAATTTAGATACCTGGCCGAACTATACTACGACTTGTCCTTCTCCGTGCTCTTCTCTGGCCTCGCTCTCTGTTCGGGTGCCTCGCCAAGACTAGGAATCCGGTACCCTCGGGACTGATCTCCCTCGGAACGGCATGTGAGGTGGATCCTCCCCGTCATAACTGTTGAAGCTATCTCTTACAAGCACCGTTTGGGAATTGTTGCTATCCGTGGAAACGATGGCCGTCGTCGTTGTCATACAGTGATGGTTACCGTGCGCCGTGCGACGACTTCTGCGCGTAGCGTGTCGTCGGCGAACACCATTTGGATTACTGTTGTCGATGAACAACTCCTCGACCAAAGCTGGTGGCCCACCGGGGTTGACGAATGGGTCATCACAAGTATCGGAAGCAGATGGCTGTCGATTGTTCGTACTTGTCGACTCTGCCTCGGGGATAAATGGAGAGGCGTTGTCGTCTGTGTTTGCCTCGTGGCACGTCCAAGTTTCCTCGCTGCCATCCGCGTTTATCTTCGTGAACGTGCAGTTCTTCATGACAAAGTTGCTCGCGTTCTCGAAAAACGGCATTCGGTCAGGTATCGTGGTTACTGGGTGTCGCGTGGGGTGGGTGTTGATTTCAGATCAATTGGGTATGCGTCTCTAACCGTGTTCTCTGGGGTTTATATAGGAAAAGCCTGTATACACGTTCGGATTGTTCTGCATTTCCTTCAATGCGGCGAGTCGAGTGTGGCGGGGACTTGTACTGCGAAACAATAGACAGAGCACAGCATCTGACGCTTAATCGCGAATCATTCCTGTTGGCGACGAATATTATCTAGATATGGTAAGTGAAGTAGAGCTGCGCCCACAACCTAGAAGAACAACCCTCTTTTAGTCTTCGCTAGGTCATCTACCAGGTGAACCGCCCGCCTTGGTGATTGGCGAGGTTTCTTGTCTACGCTACGGTTCTAGATCATTCCCGGGAGCTTAGGGGCGTCCTCAAGAGAATCTTCATGGTATTTTTCGTCCTTCTAGCATTGCCCGAAGTCCTGTTGTAAACGCGACTTTTTATAATTGCGGCGATGTATATTCGATACCGTCACTCCCTCATCTCAGCCAGCCGAAGCCACCAAGTTCGTTACTACCGCCGGCGACTGAAAGTGCTCAATGGCCGTAAGTATCGTAATAAAGTGTAACTCTTCGCGTGCCACTTACAGAAACGTCTCACCGGGTCCATCACCAGACAATTCGCGCAATCCTATGGATCCGATCTTCGTTCTGTGACTCTCGGCGTTTGCGGAATCAGCGTTGGCATCTCCAACGGCGACTACTACGGCTTCTACAACCCCAGCGACTGCCCTATCAACATCACACTTTCCCAGCTCACTCAAATCAAGTCTATGCCCCGAAACGCGCCGAAACGGCCTCGAATGCCCATAAACGACGCCGCAAATGTATACCACTACTCCCACCAACTCTAGCTCCCGTACCCTGCCTAGAATACCCCAAACTGCGTCGAATACCCCGAGCCACGCACAAACACCAAAAAACGAGGCGGAGAGACGCGTTCCCGGCCTAGGTAGTGCGTAGTGCGTAGTGCGAATGGGTCAGGGCTCGGATCGGATCGCGGGGAAGTGCAGAACGGAGGAGAGGAGAGGCGGGACTATATGAGCGAATGAAAATGAAGATTAGAATAAGTACGAACGAACGAAATGAAAACGAATACGCGAACGAGAACGAATGCGAAACCAATGGGAAACGAAACGGGGAGACGATGGTCAGACACTGGAGAGATGGGGACATAACGGGATCCGGGAATACGACACGAACGAATGAATGAACGGGGAACCAAAGGGAAGATAACGAAATGCGCAATACGAACAGAACGAAATGGAAAAGACATTGTCGTTCATCACAACCCAACTGCTCCATCTAGCGCGTCTCACTAAACCCGCCCTGATGTATAGTGTATCGTGTATATCCCAGCCCTGGGACGTACCGTACATCATACAACGGGGCGGGACCAACCACAAACCCACGCTGCTCTCTCTCTCCTATCTATATTATCCGACGGATTACAGGGTGTAATCGGTCGACCTTCTCCGTTCGCGGCGCAACAACTTCACACACCTCCGTTAGGGTGTTCTGATGAAGAATCACCTTGTCGCGCCGAGTTGCGCCGCTTCCCCACGCTCCAGTGCCCCCTTCTTCGTCGAGAATCTCGCTGAGCGCAGCGAAGCAACCATCGCTCCCCGACCCAGGGTTAGGTGACGAAATATGTCCGGGCATGTTAGGAGAGTATACTGATAAAATTCCTACGGAGATAGCTGCCCTCCTCCTCGTGCTGTAGCTCAAATACTGTTTCGGTACGAGGAGAAGAGGGTGCCAACGGCCAGGATGTTGGCGCGACTCGGCGCAACAAGTACCCATCTCTAGGTATACCCTCAAGGTATATGGGACAACTTGTTGCGCCGTGTTGCGCCGCTTCCTCATCATCCAGCAGCACGTTTACTACCTGCAAAACTACCATACTGGCCCCAGCCACTTCAAACAGTGGCGCAACTCGGCGCAACAGCTCCCCAAACCTCCCCATATATATCCCCCAGGACTGGGCCGTTGTTGCGCCGAGTTGCGCCACCATCTGAGGAAGCTGTGGAATTATCTTTGTGTTTTATTTAATGTGCCCCTGTTCCCCTTTTCCCCTGACCTGCCTATTCAGGCAGCTGAGTTTTCGCATTTTCTCACAGTTACAATACATCACAACTCCGACCTAGGGTTAGGGTTAGGGTTAGGGTTAGGGTTAGGGTTAGGGTTAGGGTTAGGGTTAGGGTTAGGGTTAGGGTTAGGGTTAGGGTTAGGGTTAGGGTTAGGGTTAGGGGTTAGGGTTAGGGTTAGGGTTAGGGTTAGGGTTAGGGTTAGGGTTAGGGTTTAGGGTTAGGGTTAGTGTCAGGGTTAGGGTTAGGG